AAAGCAAAATCAAAAGCTCTATTTTGAATATGGCAGTTGGAAACGTGGCTTGTCCGTTGTCATTCATTCAGAGGCTCTTCTTCCACCGAATTGAGAGAGTTGCATGCCTTCGCTAGAACATCCTTGTTTATACTCGGTACCTCGTACTTGGTGGTCTGTGGTGCGCAGCGGAAATGTACCACGTGATTTCACGTGACCATCTCACTGACGCAGCTCTTGCTCATGGTCCTGCAGGACAGACGAGGCAGAGGTCGCCGGGTATTCGTTCTACCCATCTCGCACATCGCACATCGAGCACTGCACGTGACGGCAAGATTTTGTGGCCCGGGCCACAGGCGGGCAGGCGAGCCATCCCTCCATCCATCCCGCCACCTACCATCCACCATGCATGCATGCATGTACGAGGTATGTTTTTTCGTCAACAAGACGATAATTTCAGCCCTGGCATGTCTCGTATCTGGGTAATTTCGTGACGAGACAAGGAGATACCTGTGGACCGGATTGGAAACAAGGTTTTTTTAGCTCGTACCTTCAGCTACTAGGTATCGAGGTATGTATGTATGTACTCGGTGCAGGCAGGCAGACAGGACAAGTAATACCAAGGTCCAAGGTCTAAGTGACCAGGTACCGAGCGAGCAGGCGAGCGAGTGCAAGGCAAGTAGCTTTTGCTTCACGAGTTTATTTTCCTGTGCTGTGCTGTGCTATGTTGGGTTGGGGGGCCTTGCCCTCTCGTAGGGTGCTGGGCATGGGTGCTGGGCATTAAACTCCGCGGTAGTGGTAACGGGAAGAGTTCAAGGTCCGTCAATCCGGATGTGGACCGTGGACCGTGGCGTGAAGAATGCTGCACCGTCACGTTGGAAATAAAATGCGCGCACCAGAAACACCTAATGCCTACCTAAATAAATGCTTGAGAGGTGCTAGTATGCCAAGATACCTTTGCAGCAAGGTACATGGCCTCGATAGGTACAAGCACCATAAGTACGGGGAGGAAGACTCTCCCTGCCGCCGCATCCTCGGATACAGCAAACACCCAGAGTCTGTCTACTCGGTAACCTTCATTTCCCATCCTTGGTGACCTTCAATTACACCATGGGAAAGCCAGAAAGTTTATGTCCAGAAATGCAACCACGGCTTGAGTCTGGTGTGGTGGTGGTGGGTACGAGACGGAATTGAAACCCATCTGCTGAGGAATAATAATGATGCAGTAACCAGGGGGCTGGAATACCAAGCATATTGGCGGCAAGTGAGGAGAAGGAAGGGGAGATGAGTTCCACGAGCAAAACACTTGATGTAGCCCAAGCGGCAAGAGTTGCTATCCGAAAGTGGATGTTGTTATGATCTGAGCTTTGGCCTAGTCGGCAAAGATATAACAAACAATCTATGGTGCAAATCGCTCCGGGAGAAAGGATTGTTGCAGCATGGCGCCATCACTATCGTCAATGATTGTCCAGTGGCTGCAATTGAGGATCAAAGAAAGTGGGTTTCTTCAAGGTAGGTAGGTGGGCAGGCTTTATTGCGGGCCTGAAGAAAAAGGGCGCAGGTAGCTGTAGTAGGTGGTGCTGAGCAACAAGGAGAGGGAAAAGATAGGAGAAGAGAGTGGAGAGGTAGAGGAATCTGCGCAAGAGAGAGGGGGGAGTGAGCGAAGCCGTGGGTAGTAGGTAGAGTGATGAGATCAATGGGTTGATTGATTGACTGATTGATTGATTCAGCTGGTACACCACCGAGCCATGAGGAGTGGAAGAGGGGGGAGGAGGGAGTTTGGAGAGATGTGAGTGGATGGAAAAGGAGGAGTGAACTGGGTAAGATCAAAACATGGCAATGATTGTACGAGGAGCAGCTTTTGGTTGAACGGGGTTTGGCGGGTTACGGAGTCAATGGTATTAGCTTCAATCATAGCAACTTCAGTGGTGGTTGATGATTGCGTGGTGCAGTGGTGCAAAGTCACCAAAGTGGTTTGTAAGTGGTGCAAGTGGTGCAAAGCAGGGCAGCGGCAGTCCAGGATCAACTCTCCAAAGGGCCAAAGGGGGGGGGCCCAGCAACCATCCAGCGCCCAAGGAGGTAAGGAGGAGGAGAAGGAGAGGGAAGAGTTCGGGGAGTCTGGCCCTGCCCGCCTTCTCTCTCCCTGCTCTCTCCCTCACTCGCTCTTGTCTTGTCCTCTCACTCACTACTCCCCTCTCAGTACGTACTATTACCCAGTAGTAGTAGGTCAGCCCAGCCCTCTCTGCCCATCAGCCCTCAGCCTCCCACCCTACCCTACCCTCCCACCTCCCAACCCTTCTCCCATACATTTTTCCTCCTACTACCACTCTCCCTCATACACTGTACTGTGTGTGCATACACTGTGAGCGCCGCTGCCAACTGCGTTACTACTACCACCAAATCACCCTCATACACTGTAAGTACTCACTTTCTTCTCTTGACTATTTTTCACCCTCACCTTCCACACCACCCATACTCTTCTTCCATAGCTTGCGCGCAAAATTGCGATGCAAAATGCTCTTCTCATCATCCTGTTGCACTGTTTGCTCCCTTTTGCGACCTCGTCGTCGCCGTCTCCAGCACCCAGCGCCCTATAGGTCTTAACCACCACCACCAACCACTTCCCAGCTATCTACCCACTTCATTGACGCGTTTTCCTTGCGTCGGTGAGTCCAAGCGCATTCCAATCGCCCATTGTTGCTCACAAAACACGCGTTTGGGACGCGAATGCACTCTTCCAAAACAATCCCAAATCGCCTGCGCCCGGCCCTCCCAGCTTTCACCTACACCACCCGCCTCTGTTTCCCTCTCACCTTGAGTGCGTTATTTGGATTCTCTACGCGATTGTCGTTCGACGTTTCTCGTTGCGCACTTTCCAAATCCTTGATTTCTTCTACCACTTCCTGCGTCTTTCCAATTCAACTCTTACTCTATCGTTACCATGGCTAAACAACGCGACACGCAGACTGCCAGCGATCCCGCAACCGCGATCAACCCGAATCAATCTTCCACGACCAAAATGCCAAAAGCGAGCGCAAAGAATACCAAGGCTAAGGGCCGTGGAGCCGAGAAGAAGAAGAAGGGTTGGTGCATACTTCTGCTCATTGTGAAAACCTGACTGACCTGATGCGCAGACCCCAATGCTCCCAAGCGTGGCCTCTCTGCCTACATGTTCTTCGCCAACGAGCAGCGTGAGAACGTCCGCGAGGAGAACCCTGGCATTAGCTTTGGTACGCCCACTCTACTCTGGGGCAGATGACTCCATGTGCTGACAAGATCACAGGCCAGGTCGGCAAGGTGCTCGGTGACAAGTGGAAGGCCCTGAGCGACAAGCAACGCGAGCCGTACGAGAAGAAGGCCGCCGCCGACAAGAAGCGATATGAGGACGAAAAGGCGAAATACAACGTGAGTGACGAAGCCTTCCTCCCCGAGACAGAGACATGCTCTAACAACCCACCAGGCTGGCGAAGACGACGACGACGAGGACTAAACGGTCTCGCGCCCTCGACGCGTGACCCGAGGTCTTTCGCAACTGCGTTCAAGGTCCAGTGGGATATTTCTCTTTTTCTGTCATCATGTTTTCACTAGCAATGATCGGCTGGGAGGCAGGGGTTATGGGAGTCAGTTATGGACAGGGTCGGTATGCTTCCGAAGTGCAGCTCACGGCTGGAATCATTGACCTTCGGAGATCAAGTCATGTTGTCGTGAGGTGAGGCACATCATCCACCATCATCATCACGATCACGAACCGGAAAGCTGAGCTGCAAACATTGCATAAGCATACTATGATCCGTGCTGTATACTAGCTTTTTATGCAATGCAATGTCTGGCAAAACGATCCAATTGATAACCTCTTGCTGGTTCTCCAGTAGTGATTTGCTCGGTGTTTTGTTGACTCGCCCAACGTGCCTTGGTCCGTGTATTCCAGTTGGTCGTGGACATGCTTGACCAGCTTTGGAAGCTTGAGCCATCCATCACACTGTGCTGAGAGCATTACCGATCCTTCTGGCGGGCGTTGTTGCGTTTCAGCCCCCCCGTTTGCCTACCACTCTATTTGGGCTTGGCCACAGGCAGCAGCAGCAACAGCAGAAGGAGGGCGCAGTTTCACTTCTTCAAACCTCATAAAGGCTCAAATGATGGCTCTCTCTCCCATCTTCTTTGCGATGCACCTCGAGTCGAAGGATATTTGAGGCCCGGAACACGTACGCCTGGTACATATTCTAGACGAGGTTTGTGTGTATCGGAATCCTCCTCGACACTCACCACAATCATTCCACGCGTCCTCATTGCTGAACGAGCAATTTGTCGCCTGGGTATTTTCCCTGCGAGAAGAATGGATCTCATGCTGACAGAGGGCGTGCGTGAGCGACTCGCGAAGTTCAGGTAGGAAGCATCTCTTTTTCCAACAACTAAGTAGAACCACGTCGCCCCGCATAAAAAGCCTCGCTTCGCTCACCTGCGACGGTTGCTCCTGGAAAAGCGATCAGAGAAAATGTTTGGACGCCCTAACTTAGGCAGCAAAATCCTATGCCTGCAGCATGCTGCATGAGATCTGGCCACCTTCGTCGAAGAAATCCGATACTGCCAGACTGCTCCAGTCGTGTCCCTGTCTTTCGTCGACGGGTCGCAGAAGCAGGACAAAAATTGACATCTCTGAGGGGGTCGCCAGGGTCATTTAAAAGCTGGTACGAAGCATGACAGTGGTCAACGGTGGACAGCCTAAGGGCTTGTGCTGCGACAGTTCATGCGCATGCTGGCCGGTGACAAATCGGCGTTGTGTCTAGGTATGCATCGGTCCCTTCAACCTTCGGCTTCGCCTGCTGTCCGCTTGACACGTCAACGGCTTGCATGAGCTTTGCCTCCGCGCGAATTACGAGATTGTCAGTTCCAGCCCGCTCTTATCCTGGGCCCGCATCTCAATTTCAGCACAAAAGGAGCCTCTCCACTACATCTCGAGTCGATCTGGGCTTCTTCTCATCTGTCAGTCTGATTCCGAGGCGCATCCCCCCCGTCTATCATGCATGGATTTACTTCTACGAGAGGAGGCTGGGAGAGCCCAGGACATTGCCGAAATTCTCAGTACGATCAGGAGCAGCGATCAAGATCATGAGCAGGACATCACCTTGGCCATCACGGGATTGAACGGCTTGAGCTGGGCACTGCGGGAACTCAATAACCAGATCGACGCGGTGAGCGGCAAGGTCACCTCGACCTTTGCAGGCGACTTAAAACTCCTCCAGCACAGTGTTGCCTTCACCCTTCAAGACGTATGGACCATCCTAGGCAAGTTGCCTCGCGTCCCGGTCGCGGCCGACTACCAAGATGCCTGGAAAGAAGTCGCCCGGTATTGCATGAACATGGGAAAGCAGACCCTTCACACCCGACTAGAAACATATAAACTCTTCACATACTCGCTATGCAAGGTTCTCTCAAGGTATGGTACTCCCAAAGCCCTGAACTGGCCGTCGCTCAGGAGCATTTTTGGTTAGGCAATCCTTCAATCGACGACACCTCGAGGATTTGCGACTCGAGATTTTTGACCTACAAACCCTACAACGCGAAGACAGACGATTAATTCAAGCTTCCGAGACCTTTCCTACTCTTTCTGTGGTACCAGTCCACCAAGGTCACTCAGTCCCTTTCGCTAGTGGCCATGCTTGGTATTGACGAGCAGCAGTCATCAAACCTCTCCCGTCCCATGAACGGGTAAGACCAGAGCCTCTACGACCCATGTCGCCAGCAACCTCCCAGGACAGTTACGAGACATTCCAACCCCAAGCGGCTCCCAGTCCGCCACCTCTGTCCCCAGTTTCTCCTGCTTCACCCGTCACCACCTTTTCCACTCTCAGTCAAACCTCGAGTGTCGACTCGGAAACCAATCACTGGGCGACCAAGATATTCAATAATCTGCCCAGTACTCCTCTGGATGTGGACCCAAACCCGTAAGGACAATAATCTTCCTCTGGCTTCAGATATTCACTTACCCATTTGCTTCTTCAACAGATCTTGCTGTTTCGGTGATGTGGATGCACGCTACCGCAGACGACCAGATCCAGAATATGAAAGGATCCTCCAACTGTAAGGTTTGTCAAGTGTTTGAAAGATAGAAGACTCACCATGGCCAGAAAATTCCCTGGCGGACTGAGAACGAAATTCTATTGGCGTGCTCGCGATTACCGCGTCAAACTCGTCTGCGAGTGGCATGACAATCGAAAGAACCTGCGAATGTCTTGCTTTCCTTTGAGTGAATTACACATACGTCGCTCGGGGTCATTGCTGTACCTTTGTTGTCCGACAGTTCGAGGTGCTAGCACTTGTTGGACAAGCCTCAACTTCACTTCGTACGAATGTCAGTGCTGAAGCTCTCCTGCTGGGGATGTCGCTGATCGTTTCAGGGCTCGTCATCTTCCATTGTACCTTTCTATCGCTTCGTTCACATGACAGCACCTCGCAGTTCCGCAACATCGACCATGATCTTGATGGCGAGATTCTCCATTTTGCCGGGTGAGCTGCTGAGATGCTCTCGTCGATGAGGTCGAAACTGATCCAGTCAGGGCCATCCGTGACGGTGGTTACCGGCATGTCCTCCGATTGTACCGTGACAAGAGGACGGACGCCGTGCGGCTCGAGGCCGCTGTCCTCGACAAAGAAATGAAAGAGTAAGCTCTCACTGCCGCCTCGGAGAATGTAAAAAGCTGAGTTTTCCAGCAGCACACCCATCTGGACAGCTTTTATCACGCACAAAATCACCTCGCCTAGTTGGTTTCGATGGCCTAAAAATAGCTCCACGATTTATCTTGCTGAACTTCAACGACATGTCTTCTCTTCCGAATACTCACCCCACGTCCGCGCAAACGGCGAGCATCTTCTTGACTTTGAAGTTTTCACAGGTAGGTCGTTTCGAATACGCGCTCTCCCCGTTCGATGGGCGAGTGGCTGACTTTGTATAGATGCCGAAGACTTTGTCAAGACGCTCAAAGATTTGCGCGAGGACATTCGCAGACCGAAACCGACCAAAAACGTACGAGTCCCTGTGACATGACCTGACGACCATAATGACATGACTAATGACACTGACAATGAAATGGGCGGCCATCTTTGTGTGAGCTTTTTCGACGGTGCGGCAAAATGGAGGCCTCGTGCCTTTGGATACCCCTGCCTTTACCTTTCTTGCCATGTCTTCTCTGCTCAGCCTGTTGCTTTCCAGACTTCTGTTTGATCGCCTTGCCTAATTCCCAGCGGAAAAGAGACTAACTGGTGGAGGGATGCCGATATTGTTTGTTTTTTGTTCTTCTTCTACTTATCTGTTCGGTGGTCTGCACGGGTACTCATTCCTAGCAAAAAGTCGACACGCCCTTGCTTGGGATCCTACCAGGCTCAAAATCGTGCATTCATACAGCAGTGTGTGGCTCCCCGACTCGACCCACTTCCATATTCTACCTTTTTATATATATCAAGACGTGTTGCTGTTTTCTAGCCACGGTTAAGTACTTCGTACTGGCAAGCTGGCTGTGCATCGGCGTAGATGCCGAGCGAGACGCCTTTGCCCGGCCAGATTCCGCGAATCGCTTGACAGATCAGGCTCCTTGCTCCAAGAAACGATCGGAGATTCTTGTTTTTCTCCCCACCTCGATCCTTGCCCGTTATCCTTTATCCGATTTATCTTCGCGTCATTTGCGTACACCGTACAACGGACATTAGCCTTCGCACCAGAACTATCTCCAACTCCTCCTGTTAATATTAGCCAGTGTCGAGGACCTGGAGAAGTCATGGCTCCTCTTCTTTCGCTGTTCGGTGCTGTCTGCGGCTTTGAAGTTGTGGCTGCTGGTCGTCATGTCGCAGTCAGAAGAAGCGTCTCGGGAGACCGAGAACGCCCTGAGCGTTGAGGCACCGCCAGCGACCACCCATCAGTATAGCGACCCGAGCTCGGGAAGGACGTTCCTCCAGAAGGCGTACGCTTGCCTGACCTATGTGCCACCGAGGTGTCGCTATGACCCCGAGAAGCCGTTTCAGTTCTCAATGGCATTGAATGTGCTCTTTGGTAGGAAAGAAACCTTACCCCGGATAAATCACACGAAATTGACAGTCTGTAGCATTCGCCGGTTGCTTCACCGTGGCAAACCTCTACTACACCCACCCAATCCTCAACCTCCTCGCAGACGACTTCCACGTTACCGACGAGCAATCTTCCTATATCCCGACTCTTGCACAAGCCGGATATGCGGGCGGATTGCTGTTCTTGTGCCCGTTGGGGGACTTGGTCAAGAGGCGGCCGTTTGTGCTTTGGCTGGTCTGGTTTACCGCGACCTTGTGGTACGCTTGAGCGAGATCCTTTCGGGTGTGGTATGGTCGAACTGATGTTCATTACAGGATCGGCCTCTGCGTCACCAAATCGTTTGCAGCTTTCGGAGTTATCACATTTATTACAAGTGTGACAACTGTGACACCTCAGTTGATGCTGCCACTGGTCGGTGACATGGCTCCTCCTCACCGGCGGTCGACGTCTCTGTCTATTGTCGTGTCGGGGATGCTGCTGGGAATGCTAATTGCCCGTCTCTTGTCTGGCGTCGTTGCTAGGTACATCGGTTGGCGCTATATTTACTGGATCTCATTCGGATTGCAGTACTTCATCCTGATTTTGCTGTATCTGTTCATGCCAGATTACCCTTCAACAAACCCGGGCGAGAATATCTGGAAGAAGTATCCCATGTTGTTGTGGGATATCGTGAAGCTCGTGGTCAAGTATCCGGTTTTGGTCCAGGCATGTCTTGTTGGAATGTTCACCGCGACGACCTTTACCAGTTACTGGACAACTCTTACTTTCCTCCTTGCGGGATCTCCATACCATTACAGTTCCCTGGTTATTGGTCTTTTTGCTTTGATCGGCATTGGCAGCATGTCTTGGGGCCCTATCTTTGCCAGGACGGTCATGGAGAAACACCAACCGCTCTTTTCGGTCATCATTGGCGAAGTTATTTGTTTGGTCGGTGTGGTCATTGGGACATATACCGGCAAATTTACGGTGGCTGGGCCCGTGATTGAGGCAATTTGCATCGATATCGGCCTGCAGACCAGCCAGATCGCCAACCGGACGGCCATTTATAAAGTCGCGCCCCTGGCGAGGAACCGAGTCAATACAGCTTACATGGTCAGCGTTTTCGTGGGCCAGTTGATTGGCACCGCCGTGGGGAACTCGCTTTATGCTGATGGTGGATGGATCTCTTCCGGATCGGCAAGTGTCGGGTTTGTTTCTGCGGCGTTGGTTGTGTGTCTCTTACGCGGTCCTCATGAACAAGGATGGATAGGTTGGCGAGGAGGATATAATATGCGAAAAGGAATGCCAAAGAAACCCCAAAAGACCCCAAGTGATACGGAGGCTGTCCAGATTCAGGAAGCGCCTCAACCATTCAGCGAGGAGAAGACGAAAGAAGCTGTACAGGGAGAGAAGGAAATCGAAGTGCAGATTCACAATGAGCACCACGGAAATGATGACAGTTCTCGATCCTCGCAACGTACACTCAGTGAAGAGATACAGCCTTACAGGGAGAAGGATTAGGTTGGACAAACCAGAAGTCCTTGCGAGGCATGTCGTTGAGACATGCATCGGAAGGTCATTCCTGACTCCAGAGCGCTGGACACAGCAGGGACTACGTGGAATCGCAACCCAATGTCCCTCAGCGGCCGAGTCGCCTGTGATCCAAAAACCCATTGCAGCTCGGCAGACAGCTTGCCGCCCATCAGCTCATCGAGTGACAAGTCGTCAATATTGAGGTCGCTGGGATCTACACAACACTGAGCACGTGGTCGCATACTCTCGGTGGCATTGGTGTTGATCGATGGCCCACGAGAAGACAGTCGCATTTGGATCCTCTTCGTGGATATACAGCACTCTATCCACAACCAGTCTTGGTAAATCGAGAGGGACTTCAAACAACAAGACCGCGGTCAATATATGGGCACGAGTACGCCGGGCGGCAACCAGCGGCCTCTACAATGTTTGAGTCTTCTATAGCCGCCTTGGTCTCCACATCCGCAACAGGAGCAGGGGGACACCATTTTCATACTGAGAAGGAGTTCCGCTCTAGTTTCCTGGAGTCTGTGAAAATGAGAACATGGATACCCCCCTTCCTTTCCCCCACAATGTTGTGCCAGGCCCCGTGCACATTCCTCGCAGATCTCGCGATGGAATCTGTTCCAAGCTTCGTCCAAACGCCTTCATTATGATCTTGACTCTCCATTTCCCGTGTCCGTTGAAGCGCAACCGTCTGCCTGCCGTTGCCGATCATGGCTGTCCATTCCTTTTCTCTCCGATGCGCGGCTTATCATACACTTTTTGTGTGTTTTGTGTATTTCCACAATGTCCTTGCCTTTACTAGCTCGATCTATCAGCTGGATTCGGAGTATTCGGGGTCCAATTTCTTCCAAGGATGGGATTTTTTTACGGTGAGTCGCCGATTGCCCGCGTTTTCTCTGACAAGGCTGACGCTGGACAGGGCGGCGACCCAACGGGAGGATTTGTAACGTGAGTGAGGAGGAACAAACAATCGAGAAGCAGGACCTGACAGTCGAATAGGTATTATAGTCAGGGCTCTGCTGAACTCATGGGCATGATCAATGCCAGCGACAGCTCAGCGATCTATATTGGTTCCGACTACAACACAGTGATCGGGTCTACACAAGCAGCAGGGAGACCCAGCGTCCGCATATCCACGCAAAGATCATGGACCCACGGATTGTTCATCGGGGATTTCAATCACGCGCCGGGAGGAGTTTGTGGAAGTTGGCCTGCATGTATGTTCTTCCAGCGAGGGATTGAGACCATGCGCTAATCAATCACACAGTCTGGACACTGGGACCCAACTGGCCTAACAACGGCGAGATCGATATCATGGAAGGAGCAAATATGGCCAACTACAATGCGGCGACATTACATACGTATGTGGACACGAGGATGTTATGGGAGACGTTGCTGATGGATGGTTGAGGAGCCCCAATTGTACGATTGCTGGGGATAGCAGGACCATGACAGGCCAGTTGTCGAACAACAATTGCGCCTATTATGTGAGTGGCATGTCGTTTTCGAGTGGAAGATGCTGACAGGACCATAGCCTGGCTACAATGTCGGCTGCGGTATACGCGATAATCGACCGGCCAGCTACGGCACCGGCTTCAACGCCATCGGTGGCGGCGTTTATGCGATGCAGTGGACTTCTGACTTTATCAGTGTGTGGTTCTTTCCCAGAGGCTCGATTCCCAGCGACATCACCAGCAAGACTCCCAATCCTTCGTCCTGGGGTCTGCCAGCGGCGAAGATGCAGGGTTCTTGTGTCTTTGACCAGCATTTCCAAGCCCACAAGATCATCCTGAACAATGCATTCTGCGGAGAATATGCGGGAGCAACCAGTGTGTGGAACTCGACGACAAACTCTTGCGCCATCAATACTGGCTATTCCACCTGCAACGCCTATGTGGCGGCTCAGCCTGGAGCATTCCAACAGTCGTACGTATTGCAGAACCTCCTCTGGACCAAACTCTGGGACTGACCCGTCAATAGCTACTGGAGCATCAACTCGATACGGGTTTATCAATTGGCGGATCCTAGTGCCAATGTCAGCAGCAATGCCACAACATATATTGCAAGCGATCAGCCTACTCCGTCCAGCACATCAACGATCTCATCCTCAACCCCAGTACCAACGACGAGTTTGTGCCCGACGTACAACTTCACCGTCGTCCAAGCCGGGGATTACAAGTACGAAGTTGAATGTGGAGTCAACATCGGCGGGTCTGATATTGGACGACCCTATCCCAATTACCCCGTGAACTCGTTCGAGGACTGTGTGGCTGGATGTAGCTACTGGAACACCTTCAATATTAGCAACATCTGTGGCGGCGTGACATACAGGGTCAGCACCAGAGCATGCTTCTGGAAACGAAACGTCGGAAGCACTCCCGCAGATCCCAACTTCAACAGCGCCAGGCTCATCTACTATGCCTATCCACAGGTGACGGACGACCCGCGAAAGCGGACCTCGAGCAGCAGCAGTACATCATACGTGGCGACTTCAGTCACGCCTCAATACTATGTTGCTGCGGGAACCACTTCGTCGACGTCGTTCTCGCTGATCTCGGAGACACCGATGTCGAGCTTTACGGATGGTGTTCCCTTGGGGGAGACGACGACCGACGATGGTTCTTCCACCGCGTCTGATGGTTCGACGACAACGTTGGTAACCACGGGAGGCAGCTCTCAGAGTACGTCTATAGCTACGGCGAGCCCGTCGTCTTCTACCACGTCTTCCACTTCCCGGCATTCGACCGTGTCATCAACCAGTACCGCCTCTACCACCTCTACCTGGTCCAGTGTTTCGTCGATTTCCAGCCTGTCAACAGCCCCGACCACGAATCGACCTTCTTCTTCTTCGTCGTCGTCGTCGTCGTCAGCGGGAACGTCAACAAGCAGCCCTACAGCGACCTCAACGAGCGGGCAGCTATCCTCTTCAAGGTCAACAGCGTCAAGCTCATCAACCATACCCGTGAGTCAACCCACAACCGTAAGTATTGCGAGCTCGACCTCTACTTTGGGGTCATCGTCGTCAGAGATGTCCCTTTCATCCCATTCTGTGAGCTCCTTTGCGACTTCTGGCGCATCTGCTACCGCGACACCGACGCAGTCCCAGTCTCAGTCTCAGTCTCATACTCTATCCTCATCGACGACCGCAACAGTGTTCAGCCCCAGTTCAGCATCCACAAGTGCAGGTCTTCCTAGCACGAGCACTTCTGACCCAGGTGTCTCTTCCTCTGTTATAACTTCGTCTCCGCCTCCTCCCCCTTCATCGACTGTCTCTTCCTCAATCCCGCCGTCGCCGCCTTCAACAACGCCTCCAGTCACTCCAACGTCATCTCCTACGGCCAGCCAACCGTCGACGTCAACGACGAGCAGCTTTCTTGGTGATTCCACGTCTTCGTCTGCGTCACCTTCACCTCCATCAACATCCACTTCTCTTTCTGAAGATTTCTTCTCCACCCCGACCTCCCTGCCCTCCAGCAGCTCTGTTAGTTCTTCAACGACTCCCCCAGCCTCGACCACGACCACGGTCTCAACCACACCCACTACGACGGATACTCTTCCGGGTCCAACCCAAGTCTCCTCCTTTACATTCGCAGGCTGTCTGGGACCGCGGCCGGACACTGCGTTTGCCAACAGCTTCACACTGGTGGAGGACTCTCCGCTCATGTCGATCGAGAGATGTGTCGATGACTGCTCATTGGATGTATACGCCGGTCTCTTTGATACGTAAGTTTGGAGTCTCTCTACGTTTCAATTGTATTCGCCCTAGCGACTGGCGTAAATATGAATGAATGTGGTTCACTAGCGACCCGCTCAGGGTTGATCTATGCTAACGCTACCTCTTTTCCAGGCAATGCTACTGTTCCACATACTCGCTGCCTCTGGACACCGACACCGCGTCTTCCGACGACTTTGTCCGCTACCCGGATTCGGCATGTAACACGACGTGTCCGGGCAATCCTGCGCAGAAATGTGGAGGGGTGGCTCGTTTTCCTCCCCTGACGAGGCTTGGTAAGAGACAACTCGTCGACGCGAACGGCGATATTGTGCTCTTGACGTTGTATAACAACACGGGTGCTGACGTTGGCGGTTCATCGTCGACGACGACGTCGACTTCTTCGGTGGATACGACGGTCGTGTCAACGGCATCATCGTCCGTTACGACGTCGAGTAGTGGAAGTATGAGCACGAGCGCGAGTGTGAGTATTTCAGCAACAGGAACAGCATCACCGTCCTCGTCATCCCCGTCATCATCAACGACAACACCAGTACCAACCGCACAAACGAGTTCCACCCTCTCATCCTCATCCTCATCGTCGTTCACCTTCTCCGACTCGGTAATTTTCATCACACCCACCTCTTCTTCTTCATCGTCACCAATACTCTCCCCCACAACCATATCGACCACATACGCCACCATCTGCGCCTCACATCCCATCTCCTGCCCCGTGCGGACAGAAACCTGTCTCGCGACAACCATCACAGTCCTGCATTGCGGATGTACGGATACGTCTCCAGTGGCGGTCCCCATGACTACGACTGTCGTCGCCGCATGCTCGACCCCGACACAGTCTCCCGGAGTGGGCGGGCAGGGCGATAACGAGGTGGAGGAGATGACAACCCTCACGGTCCCGTGTACCCAGTCCATTTCGGCCTTGGAGGACGCCGTCTCGAGCTGGTCCGCGTCTGCTTCTCTCTCTGCACCATACCACGCCCAGGTCGGCGCAGACTCGGGTGCATACGCAAACGCATACGCATACGCAGAGGCCACGGCTACCGCCACCGCCGACGCTGATGCGCACCCACACAGCTACGTCCCTTATAGCTTCCCCATCTCGTTTCCCATGGCCACGTCCACGTCCACGTCCACGTCCACGTCCACGTCCACGACCACGACCACAACCCCGGTCGCCGAGACGGATGTCGTGACCAAGAACCTCGTCCTCGTCCTCGCGACCGCAAAGTTCAATTTCTCCCTGCCCCTGAAGAACGTCACCGTGAGTCCGATGCCGGTGCCAGCGCCGTCGTCGTCGGTGGCTGCGTCGAGCGAGTCGAGTGTGTCTAGCGTGTCCGGCGCGGCGGTGGAAATTCATCAGTCTTCTTCTTCTTCTTCTTCTCCCTCCTCCTCTTCTCTTTCGCCGAGAAGATGGTCTAGGACGTGGTCATTGGTCCTCCTCTCCGTTATCGCCATAACCATCACCAACGGGGGGATTTTTGGTTGAGATTACTCTTGGGATTTGCCAGTGGTGGACTTTTGATCGGATCCTGGGAGATCCGACGGGCGGTTCTGTTTCTGTTCGGTGAGATGGGAATGGATTGGATTGGATTGGATTGGACAAGGTTGGGTAGAGGGTGGTTTGTATTGCTTGTAGCTTGCTTGTGACTCGGCGTGAAGCAGGAGCTTGGAGCTTGACACAGATATGGATATCTATTCGATCTAATCTACCTGTCTGTCTGTCTGTCTGTCTGTCTGCGAGGATGTGTAGACGTGTAGACTGACCGTCTTTTCCCTCTGGCCAGAACTTGGAGGGCATTTTATCTAACTACCTACCTACCTATCCATCCATCCACCCTAGCACCCTACGTAGCCGGTCAGGGTACCTTTCCCAAAGTACTCTACCGAACCTACCGACCCTACCGACCGTGCACGAATGGTACAGCACAGTGCAGGTTTGATATACCTACCTACCTATCTACCTAGGTAGGTACCTAAGAAGGGACCTAGGAAGGGACATGCGGTATCCCAAGAAATAGAAAGAATGGAAGGAAGGAAGAAAGAAAAAAAGCAGAGGGAGAGGTAGAGGCAGAGGTCTAGTGTGGTATGATGTGAATCATTCGTCCCGCCGCGGTCTGTTTATCCTTCCCGTCAAGACAAGGAGCATTGGGCACTCCCCTTGATTCTGGGCATCATCTCGAGATCTGGGGTCATTCATCCCTTCATTCAGCAATCACTCGTTGTTGTCGTCGTGGTTCATAGACGCCAGCACGCCAGCCCAGATCACCTTGTCACTCTTCTTGCCAGCTCAGTCGGTGGGATCAATTCAGTCCTGTGCCGTTCCCTTTTGTCCTGTACTGTCCGATCCAACCTTATGGAACCAAACCCAATCCGGCCCCTGGTTGAGTCATAGCCGTGCCCGTTCCCGTTCCCGTAAACGCATTGATTATTCGAAGCTCGTACCTCGTGTCCCTTGTCCCTGTTCAGCCTGAGAGCTGGTCGTATTCAATAGACCTCGTGCAGCCTTCTCGCTACCACCGAGACCCAAATCCAAATCCACGTGAGACAGAAGCCAGCTAGGGCATTCCTGCCACAATCCCGAGAAGCATGCGTCTGAACATAATGTTCCTTTCGCAAGGGGTAGGAATCCAACGATGACGAATACCGGCCACATCAATAGCAGTCCACGCCATAAATATGCCATTGCGCCCTTGCCAACACACCCAAACTAGCGACTGGAAAACCTCCTCTTATGGTCCCCACCACAGCATTCGAGTTCGACAAAGCACTCCCCAACCATGTCGTCCCTCTCGTGGGGTCTGGCTCGGACCCAAGCTCGACTATCCCTCCCCAGTTCTTGGACATAATGATTCGTAGGTTGATACTTCTTCTTCTCCCACTCTCCCAACTTGACGTCGAGTTGTCGAGGGCCCCAGGTTCTCGAGCCAAAGATGATCTTCCAGGCACCGATGAGAAAGCGACACAGGGCGACGTACGAGGTCGGAGGCAGCAACGTAAGCTCCTCGTCTCTTGAAAGATGGGACCAGCCTAGGTCACTCTTCTTAACCGTCACCGGCAAGGCATGCCCAAAAGCACCATCGAAATCACATCCGCTGGGCAGGCGGATATCTGTTTGATCGTCGTTCATGCGACGAAGAGCTTCCATCCAACTGCTCTCCTTGGATCTGCTCCGCCGGTCCGCTTGATGGAACCATGGCAGACCGTTCTCAACATAGATTTGGATCTTGTCAAGGTTCATTTTGCGGAGCTCGTCAAAGATCGCCTCGTATTCCTCGACCCTGAGTTGTGCCGAGACTCTGTTGAGGTCAAGGGTAAGTACCTTTAGCCTGGGACACGAAAGCCGGATCGACTGAAGTTCCTCTGCCGAGAAAGCGTCTCTGAGATGAATACCCTCAGGGTCTTCGCACTCGTGAAGCTGAAGGTCCCGAAGAGTCGCTCCATGTCGATTCAAGATGGTGGGCAATGGCACTTTCCCCCTCCACGACCAGAGACTCAGCGTCTCCAAAGGTGGGCAGGTGGCAATATATTCTTTTGCTGCTCCCAAATATACGTCGGACCGAAGCTCCGCGCCAAGGTTGATGCTGAAACTCTTCAGATTCGTCAGTATTTTGGGGGCGCGGTCGAAAAAGGACGAATAGATCGGACCCCGGCTACACTTCAAGCCTCGCAAGCTTGCCAGATTGACGTACTCGGACCAGAACTCCAGGCATTCAGCAGAGATTCCCCAACCATCCAAGGTCAGGTGACGAAGCGATGTGCTCTGCTTCCCCTCCAGATCCGGAGGAAACCAGCTGTCGAGATTGGGTCGAAGGAAGGTGACGACGGGACTGTACGACTCCATCTGGGGAAAAGAAAGTATCGAGGCGAATTCCAGGTTTGGGGCCGATTTCAAAATCATGTGAAAGACCAAATGATCTTCGATACACGTGGCGTGTATGGTGGTCATCGACAACGAGTTCAAACAAGTCGCGGCCGCCAGGACCTTTTCCGATTCCAGTGGGATTTGTGCGAGCCCGAGCCTCCTGGCACGGAAGATGTCCAGTTTCGCCTTTGGCTGATGGGCCTGCAAGGTCTCGACGATGCCTTTGGTTGGTAGATAGCTGGTTTTCCAAGTCAAGGTCTTTAGGTTGCTGGCATTGCGGAGGACACTCTGCAGCCGGTCCAAGTTGTCGCAAAGGTTTCTGGCACCGGGGAGATCACCATTGCCGAGCTCGAGGAGCAGCGCCGGGAGGTCGCCCTTGCAGGCTGTAAGGTGCCGCAAGCCCTGGAGGAGCTCGGGTGTTTCCCATTCTTCTTGTTTGCGACCGGCCATGTCGATCCAGGATTCCCGTTCGCAGTCCCAGTGCACGGTGATGTGACGGTAGCGGACAAGCCGAGTCACGAAATTGAAGTACTTGCAGGTCCGAGCCACCGCTGCCATCGTGCGAGGGGATTCGTTGTCAACGTACTCAAGGACATGGGCGAGGACTTCAGCCTCGAGATTGAGGATGTTTGTGTCGGTCATGCTTGCTGGCTGTACCGTAAGGTCAGGGGTGGTGTGTTTGAACTGATAACTCCGTCTCTCTCTCTCTCTATCTCTACTCTTGGGGACAAAGGTATCTTCCGTGTGCGGTAGAATATTCTTTGCAATGAGGTGAAAGAAGTCCCTTTGTCAAATATGGCAGAGCGCAGTTATGGAGGTCGAGAAAGACGAGTGAGATGAATTAAGAGGACAAAGCAAAGGCCAGAGGGGCGACCACACAGTCCAAGTCACATCGAACTGCCTGCCTTGGCGAGGTCAGGCAGTTGTGAGGCTGAAGTGAACAAAGCTCAATGCCAGAGCGCGGGGTCAATGGATACCTCGTACTGATTCGTCCGACGCGTGCCAACACGACTCAGGCACCAGATCACGTGTCACCTTTGATATCAGCCTGATCAGTCCCACACAGCTTTGGGAGCGAGAAGCGAGTATTGGATAGTGAGTGCTGAACGTGTCTCATGTCTCTCTAGCTCTATGCTTGTATGCGAATCGTCGGCGGCTCCTCTAACATGCAAGGTGTATCAATGCGTCCCACCAATGTTGCCAAATCCCATGCCCCTTCTCGCCCTTGTGCCTCTAAAGTCCTGAACGCCTCGCTATCATCAGGTGTCTATGTGACCCGTCCTCACAACTCTATCCAACCCGATTGGTGTCGCCCGAGCAGCTAACCGCTCTTCTGTGCCTTCCGGTAGGTGGCTAGATGTCTTCGTCGATGATGGCTTCGTCCAATTCCAAAAGCATCGATTCCTCAAGTAAACTGCTGCTCGCAACATAGCTGAACCCCCCAAATGGATCAGACTTGCTCAATGTTCGGCTGTGTCGTCGCGTAAGAGTGTCGATCGCCCTATCAGTGAATTCTTTGGCAAAGTTCTCGGCCAACTCCGGGTTGGTGACCAGCGGCCTGATGGGTGGTTCGAGCTCCTTGGCCTCCAACTTCTTCCAATCGATTTTCCGGAAAAATCGGTGCTTCTTGATGACGTTGATGTCGTTAGGACCAACTCCAAGTCGCTTCTTAGGCTCCTTGCGCAATAGTCGCGTGAGAAGGTCTTTGGCGTCTGGCGATAGGAAGTAGGGGAGGCTCAGCTTTTGGTACATGATGTTCTGCTGGATCTTAGTCCAACTGCCGCCACCAAAGGGAGGTTTGCCCGTCATAAGATCGCAAGCCATCGCACCCAACGACCACCAGTCGCATGCTTTCCCGTATCCCGGACCCCAGTCAGATTCGTCACTGCCTCTAATGATCTCAGGAGCCATGTATTCGATCGTGCCCACACCCAGACTGTTGCAACGACTCCCGCCCGGGGTACTCGGATCCTGCACAGCGACCTTGCTCAGACCGAAATCTGTCAACAGCAAATGGCCCTCGGCGTTCAACAAGCAATTCTCCGGTTTGAGATCACGATAGATGACGCCAACTGTGTTGTGGAGATAGTCCAGTGCCAAAACAATCTCGGCGATGTAAAATGCAGCCACTTCCTCTGAAAAGAACTTTTCCAATTCCAGGTGACGGAACAGTTCACCGCCTGAGGCATATTCAAGAATCAAGTATAGCTTTTCGTGGTCCTGGAAGGCATAGTAGAGATTGACAATGAATGGATGACGATTGACCAACTCGAGAATGCTGCGCTCGGACATGGTTGATTCAATCCGCTTCTTGTGAACCTTGAGGAATGCTTTCGTGAGTTGCTTTTGAGCAAACAGACGACCCGTGGCATTCTGTCGCACAAGAAGCACCGTTCCAAAGGCCCCATCTCCGAGGCAGCGGATCGGAGTGAAATCTGCCGCGGTCATCTTGCGGACAATCATCGAAGTCGCGCGCTGATCTGCGTCCATCGTGGCAGTAGATGCCGCCGAAGCGACTTCGGTCTCCGCCAGCGATTGACTGACGAAGTCTTGATCGATCTGGACATGGTAGCTGACCATATCTTCGTGCGGCTCCTCCCCTTGGGTGTCCGACGCTGCACTGGCGGCGCTGCTGTTCGCCTCCGAATCCAGGGTATTGCGCACGCGCGAGTTAGAGCGGCTTTGACTGCGAGAATTCAGAGCATCAAGCTGGGCCTTTAAGCCGCTGACACCCGGCGACTGAGGTCTCAGTCCTGGGCTGGCACCAGCCAATGCAGGCAAACGAGGGATAGGTGACAAAACCCGTGGGCTGTTGCGTGACACGTCCGACTCTTCAGCTCCCGAGTCAACGGGAGTGAACCCCCTGACAGTACTCAGTGCTTGGGCGGCATGGGCCGCTTTGGTCTTGTTTTTCTTCTTCTTCCTCTTTGCCGCGGTGGATGACAGGATGACGCTGCCCTTGACTTCTTGTCTTCCTCTTTCGCTCTCCAGTTCGACGAGAGCCCCGTCTTCGCGCGTACTGATCGGCATGGTTTTTTGCGGTGTCACGGGAGGACTCTTGTTTCGAAAAGGGATGATTTCCGGATCGCCTGGGTCCGCGTTGTTGTTCCCCAGCGCAATGGAGTTGAGTGCATCCTCGAAATCGGCTGAGACGTCGGCGGGTGGTGGCATCCCAGTGGGAGTTTCTGGAGCCTTGTCCATGATGGCTTGAGTAGTTGAGATACTCATATTCGCGGGTTCTTTTTTGATGATACCCGCAGGGTAAAAAAAGGGGAGTTTGAGAGTTAGATTAAAACACGATGCTCGAGGCCCAGGCGGCTTGTAGTATTACCGTCCGCCCTTGTTCAGGACGGACCTTGCGCCAGTAGCCAAACCAGAATATGGCCAGTCTTGCACGATGCGAGTGAAGATGACGTTGGAATCACATGGGAAAGTGCAATCCGTCCGCGAGCGGCAGGAGTGAAGTCTGAAATTGTGGCTGAGGTAGTGACGGCGCTTCGACCCATTGAAGGTGACAAGAAATCTACTCTAACCGTAAGTGACCGAGATAGATGAGACGCAAGAGAGAGACTCGTAAAAAGGCCCAAAAGAATAAAGACAGAAGAAGAAGTTTCAGTCCAAGGAGGAGAATGGGGGTGGTGGACGAGGTCAGCAAAAAAAGCCACTGGAGCGCAGCCTGAGAAATTCTGGAGGCGGCAGAGGCGCCCAGTGCCCAGTGCGTTGTCGGCCAACGAAAGCGGGAGGATCGCCTAGAGCCCCCCAATCAGACCATGGCTAAAGAGGCTCCCCCTGCAATTTTTTCATCGCAAGCAGCCTTGGGCCGCGGCCCCGTGTCACCACAGATCTGCCCCAGATATAGCCCGTGCTTCTCCAGAGGCTGGCCTAGCTGCCTAGCTCCCGGCTCTCCGGCTCGCCGAGTGTTTGTTTCTGTTGTTACGAGAATCATCTCGGGAGAACGGATTATCTTTATTCCGCCCTCCCACCACTACAAAAGTCATACCATCCTTTTGTTCCCAAGCCTTTCCAAAGCACACCATAACCTTGCCACTAGATATTCCTCCACATTGCTCGAACCAGGGAACCACGCATATAAATTCCCGCTCGTCAGATCAGGCCAGACCACGTCTTTCTCTTTCAGCATGGCAGTTTCCATCATGGACAAAGTTATTTTGAAAAACATGAGGTTCGACATTCCCGTCGGCCTTGATGCCTGGCGTCGTTTCCGCAAACCTCAGCCTGTGTCGATCACCATCGAGGCTCAGCCTACATCAACCCTTGAGCCGGCGGCTTCCAAGGATGATGTGAATCTCTCCATGGATTATGGCAAGTTGTACAAGAGGATCACCGCGGCATTCAAGGACGCCGATCCCGAAGCCTTTCCGACCATTTATGCCCTGATCGGTTTAATCTCCAGCCTGGTACCAAACTGTGGTCTGCTCACCATCGAAATTGCCCTTCCCAAAGCTTTGCTGCAGGCTAGAGGCGGCATGCTCTACCAATATCAGGTCGACAAGTCCGAGCTGGAAATTGACACTTCAAGCCTCACTGTGACGGTCAAACAGATTGCCTGTACCTGCATCATTGGAGTCAATCCCCAAGAGCGCATCTACAAGCAGACCTTGTTCATCGACGTTAGCGTACCTCTTGTCGACCCTGCTCTGGGAGTTGGTGCTCTGGAAGAACATTACACCGCTGCTCTGCACGACATGGTTCAAACAGTGGTTGAACGCGTCGCAGGTTCAGCGTACCACACAATCGAATCTCTGGCAACGGCCGTGGCCCAGATTGTAACAATGAACTATGGACACACGGTCGCCAAAATCCGCATCGAAAAACCGAGCGCCATTGCTTCCATAGAAGCCGCCGCTGTCGAAATCACCCGCAGCAAAACATTCTTCGAGAACAAAGACTTCTGGAAGGTCAAGCTCCCGTAACATCTAGAGACTCATCCTTTAATCGGACGTTAGGTCGATTATGCTCAATCGAGCACGACGGGGGGACGCTAGAGAAGGGTATATCTGAGTACTCGAGCCAAATTCGCATTCGACTTCTTTCCAGGTGCCTGGAAGACTTGGCCTGGGAATTGCATGGATGTGCATGGCCGAAGATGGGTTTGCAGACTTTTCCGACGGTAGCTTTGGCAGAACTTCGACTGGACGACTTTCTCCTTCGGCTGGTGCTGCTTGGGACGGTGGCGCCTTCTCGCGCACATATGGCTTAAAGAAACTCACGATACGCCGTTGAGGTTCGGCGAGGATCTCACTCGATCCTCCAACCTCGGTGAGAGCTCGGTACTTATTTGCTCTTTTCCTGGGCGTCCGCCGTGTGATGTTGCTCAGCGAATCAAAGGTTTCCTGCGTTTCTCGATAGTCCACTGCTGAGTTGGATTTTCCCCGGACTGGCGAAGAGAAGGGGAGGGATTCCTCTTCGATCGCATTTCTGGATAGGTCCTCTCCCGATGTCACCTTCGCCAAGACCTTCTCTGACTTTTTTTCGCGTTGCGAGAGCACAAGCTGCCTTGTATCGTGGAGCATCGGTTGAATCGTGTTTCCATAAAGCTGAGATGACTCGTGTACGATCCGCCGTCCCGTCTCTGTTGAGCTTGAAGTCGAGGGCCTCGAATGTTTGTCACTACAGGTCTGGTCGCTGAGTACGAATGGGTCGTCTCCACTGCCAATACTGGTTCTGACAGTGTCAAACGATACACTGTCGCGTGCTGACACTGTCTCATGGAAATCATGACGACTCTTGGTGGACTTGAAATGCTCAAACATCGTGGGGGACTGCCCATCGTTCATCTGGCTGGATTTGGATTTGGTGGACTTGGACCTTCGCGGTTCGCTGACGTTGGCCTTTGGGCGGGGACGAGGCGATGAGATGGACTTTGCAGGGTATACCTCAGGCTCAGCAGCCTCGTTGGCAGTGACGACGTAGTTTAAAAGAGCCCCAGGCTGCATACCTCCAGTCGTTTTCGACTTTTTCTCTTTCTGCTTTGCACACTTCCGCGCAGCAAACTTCTTGGGATCATTGTTGATCTCGAACTGGATCTGTTCCCACCGTTGGACGTGCTCGCGAGCCCCGATCTCGACAATGGCCTGGGCAATCCACATCTTTGCTGGCGCATTGGGCAGCCACGGAGGAGATTTGCGCTTCTTGGAAGGGCTCAGAGGAGCATTTCCGTCCGTACCTGCAGTTTCCGTTTCGCCCTCCACTCCTTCATTCTCTTCCTCGGCAAGAAGTTGTAGATGTTCGGGGCTGTCCTTTTCCGCAGCGAGATCCAGTCCAACGACTTCCTCTGGGATCACCGTCACCCTGAGTTCTGGGATCCCGTCACTCACAAAATGTTGTCGTCGTTCGGTGATTTGGTCAGAAGATGTGATATGCGATGCTGCTGCACCACGTTGTAGCCGGTCCGCAAGGAGAGCCGGGGCCATCACTCGCACAAACTTCCAAGCACCCGGTTTGTACATCCAGTCGAACATTTCCGCAGCATAGACACGAAGGGCTTGCATATCGATTTCTCCATCCCAGGCCTTGACCCATGACTTTTCCAATCTCTTCAATTCGTCCGCTGGTGTGACTGCAGGATTCATATAGTATCCCAGTATCTTTCTGTCGGGGAAGTTGTCGGGAATTCGTATCGATTTCCTTTTCATCTTGAAATAGCCGCTCTCGTTGGTCTCGAGCTCGAATTGTAGTCGCTCCCTCCATTCTGTGATTCCATCTTCGTCTCCGCTCCTCACTAGGTCCAAAAGGTCGCTTCCAAACCCTGCCCTGGCGATCTCGCACGCCAGCGTACTTCCAATTCCGGCAACGCCATCCTCATCATAATCGCCACCGCTCAAGAGTGCTACCAGAATCATTCCCTCAGGATCTAACCCGCTGAGCTTCTTCACCCGATGCAAATCCAAAACGCTCACATGTGTGGCAGTCTTGTTGCCTTTCTTCCCATTTCCCTCCTTCGACCAATCCCGTAGCGTGAGGCCAGAGCCAAACATGATGGCATCAACATCCTGTGTCATAACCGCATCCACGATCCCTTTCCGCTGAAGCATCGCACACTCTGCCTCTGCTTCCCCCGGCGCCACGTGCGTGGGATATCGAAACAGGGAAACTAAACCCTTTGACATTTCGCTCTCGACGCATCCCCCATGCCATTTCGACACTGTCCGTCCCCGTTTCGTGAGAGGTTTATTCTTGCCATCATAGACGAAGACAGGCTGAACAGGCAAAGCCAGTAACTTGACAAGGCGGTAGAAGAGTGTTCGAAGAGCCGGGTTTTTGCCCCCTTGCCCGCCGTGCTGGGTCTGGAAATTCCAGATTGCGGCATCAATAGCGATTCGAAGGGGTCGAGATTGTTTCTGCAAATGCTCGATAGAGAGGCGGGAAAGAGCCACGCGTTCGCCTTTACCGATTTCTTTCAAAAGGCTGACATGAGCAGCAAACATATGAGGGTTAGCATAGGATTTTGGTCATGATGCTGGGCTTTTTCATCTTTCTGATGGAATTCACCAGTGGTTCTTCGAGGCAAACAAAGTTGCTTGCTACAGGTTTTATGCCACCGTCGCACAGGAATATGTGGTTGATATGGGTCGACTTACCCAGGAATGCCCATTTCATCAAGCACCGACTGTCCTCACATTTGAGTAATTTTAGACGTGGCCTCTTGCCTAGTATCCTTTCAACGCTCGATTCGCTGGGGCGTGGCGTCGTTGAAGCTGTTGAAGCCGTCGTCGTTGCTTCCCCCTTTGGGTTATTTGTTGACGTGATTGATGTTCCTGCCCCTCGGCAAAACTTCGGCTGTGGCACAATGGAAGTCAGCAGGCGATAACCACTCACACCCACGTGACCTACCAGCCTACCTAGGAACAGAGGTGTGGCAGGCTCGTTCTTTACTGGAAAAAAGTAAAAACCACAGTCGGGATTGGGACGAAGATATGTTGCGGTTTGGCGGTTTGATCACTCGGAAGGATGCTACGAGACAAATATTCGGTCATACAGAAGACGAGGCTGTTGTACACGCTCATCGGGGCAATGCCAGTAATATTTCATTGAAAGCACCCACCAGGTATCGTTTTTTATCATTCTCACGGGAACTCCCAACTCCGAAACATTTCCCAATGTGTATTAACGTCACGGACCCCGGACTTCGTCAAAAAACTACATCAGCTGACAGGATCTCTCTTGCCGGATCGGCCGTCCCAACCACAGCCTTGTTATTCTTCAACCAGCAATTGCGATTCCAATCGATCACGTTCTGGTCCAACCCTGCCTGAAATACCGCATGTATGCAGGTGGTGTTGGAGCCACCGTTCATTTCTGCGTAGTGATTCATGGAAGCACATGCCTCGACGCAATCCTGCCACGTGTAGACAAAGACGGAAGCGAGATCGCCGTCGTTGTACAGAAAGTCGCAGTTCAAACTGAACAATTGGCCCTCCCACTTGGATGGGTAGCTTTGAGAATCCAGAGTTGGACAGTCAAGGGCGAGGGTCGATATCTGGGTGTCGATTAAAGCGGTGTAGTCAGTAGCGAGGGCGGCGGAAGCAGAGACAGATGAAGGAATTGATAATGTTGGGGCTGAATCTGCCAAAAGCACTGTTGAAGTTGCTGTTACCGCTTCCGAGGAAGCTGTCTTCAAGGCTCTGCTCTATTGTCAGCCACAAGTTGTAACCTGCGATAGGTCGATGTCTATGTCAGTCCCATACCTTTGAGAACTAGCACAGGCGCCACCAACTCCTCCTCCGACTATGGCGGCTACAATTATAGCAGTGGCCAGAGCTGTGACAATGCCGAAAATCGTTGGAGTCCATCCAAATGGTAGCCTGTGTTGGTTGTTTCTGTCGTTGCCGTCTTTGCCGTCGTTGCTTGCATCATTGGGCAATATGTACTCTGTCGATTTCTCCGTGTGATCAAGCTCTTTAGGGTGATAGACTTCGGGATAAGAAGGCTGCAGTTGTCGTCAGAGGACCGCACTCTTACAAATAGAGCTTCGATACAAACCTGATAGGACTCTGGCAAGGTACTATAAGGGTCGACTCCACTCCCGCGAGCATCCATGCTGGCAACGGAAAAGGCTTGAAGGCTGTCGGTGTGATTCTGAGGCAGATACCTGCCCTTCGCTCCAAAGAGGCTGATCCCGAGATACGGGTCAAGTGAGAGCTCGAGAGGAAGACCATTGGCGTTGAAGGAGGTGGGAATCAATGTAGGAGTAAATAGAGCGAGATGGATGTCCAAGACCGGCTGCCACGAAGGCCACATATGAAGCATGAAACGTGAAAATTGTGTCGGCCACGTTGAATCTCTGCGCTGTGCTGCCCCCTTGACGCCGAACTAGAGATTTTGCAAGTCGTCTGTAACGGCCCGAGGCGACGATGCTGACCTAGTGTTTCTGGGACGAGCATTTCTAAAAAGGACGTTCTGAATTGATTCGACACCTTGCTAGCGGGGCGTCTACCGTCACCAAGCCGTTACAGCTGGCGCTTGGTGGTGTGTAGCCCAAGGCCAAGTGGGGGCCGATATGTAAGGAATACGGAAGGCTCCGATCCCATTGATCAAGCGAAGTAAATTTAAAGGTTGCCAGAGGCGTAATGTTTCAGGGATTGGATCGCAATGTGTAAGGTCGACCGGCCAAGGGCAAAAGAGCGGGAGTCTGGGAGTGGACATACCGAGTGTTTATTGGTGGCAGCTTCAGCAAGGCAACTTCTTTGGAGCGCTGCTGCTTGCCGAGTTCCCTGGTAGGTTCGGAGTCGGCCCGTGTGCGACTTGAGCCTCTAGATCAAATACGGAGAATACGAGGTACTCCGCATCGATTTCCCTGTGCTTCCCAGATGATCCTGTTGGCTCTTTATGGACCTCGCCTCGCTTCTCCCTTCACAAACCCAGATAGTTTAGGGAGAACCATGGACGATTCCTCGCTACACACGAACAAGGCGGTAGGTCGCTGTTGAGAACCAATCATCTTACCGAGCTTGTGTCCCAGTTGAAACACGTACTAGCTGCTTGGCCGCGGCTGCGAATATCAATCGTTCTATCTCGATGCATATTAGACGATGTGAGATTCGCCTTTGATATGTCGTAAAAATCTGCCAGCCGGCGCAATTAATTCTCTAACGTCGGTTAATGTACCGAGTATTTCGAAGATATATGAAAATGTAGATGCCGAATTAATATTGCGTTGAACTGTAGACGTGCTGATGACTAAGCGACGTATCGCGTTTCTGACTGGTCAAAGGATGTCGCGTTAATGGAGATTTTGTAACGACAACGCCTGATCTTCGCGAGCCAGTCTCCGTGCCACAAGCTCTGTACAACAATTCACTTACTTGCAAGGGAGGTGGGGGCGACGACAAGCAGAATTGACCGAGCAATGGCATCCACCGTCGCCTCCGCCATCCGCCCAAGTCTCCGCGAAGCATCTTCACGCCAGCAATCCGGCAGCCCTCACACACCCACCGGTCGCTTCATATCCTCCGCCCAGTCTTCGCCTGGCTCGTACTCTTTTCGCGCCGAAGAAGATCCCATCATCATCGAGATTGACCCTCGTGGCCTCAGTGCCGGCTTTCAGGGCGAAAGCGGACCGCAGTGTTTCATCCCGTTCACCTCCCAGAACTCTGGGCGAGTGGGTGACTATCGCTCCTTTCTCCCGGGATTCAGAAGACGCAGGCAAGATCTGGCATTGAAGAGCAAGGAGTATGAACTGTGGAGAAACGATCTGGGGGATGTCGACTTGGGGCTGTTGGAAGACAAGTTGGAACGAGCAGTGCGGGAGGCATACAACAAATATCTGTTGGTGGACGCGGGCACTGCACGCTTGGTCCTGGTCTTGCCTTCGTTAGTACCTCATCCCGTACTATCGACAGTATTGACACTTCTGTTCGAGCGATGGAAGTACTCTACTATCACGTTGTTGCCGGCACCGACCATGTCCATTGTCGGGGCCGGATTGCGATCTGGTCTGGTTGTGGAGGTAGGCTGGGAGGAAACGGTGGTGACGGCAATCTACGAGTATCGCGAAATACACGTCCGCCGGAGTATCCGCGCCATGAAGGCTTTGATTTTGAAGATCGGGGCGCTCTTGGAGAGTATCAAGAAGGAGCAAGATGAGTCGATTCGTGATTCTCTCGTGCTTGATTTTGACTTTGTCGAGGAGTTTGTGGATCGCGCTGGTGCATGTCATGCATTATTTCCAATCACGAAAGATGATCTATCAGCAAGGACGACAAAATTGAATCTGGAGGACCAAGGACACGCTGGTGCCTCTGGTGGTGAAACTGAAACCTTGGTGATTGACTGGCCAACGGATACATCTTCTCGACCCATCGCTATCTCGAGACGGGCATTGTGTGAAGCATCTCTCGACACACTAGTCGCACCCAAGACCGATGATTATCGGGACGATCATGAACAGTCAATTAGTCAACTTCTGTACGCGACGCTTCTGGCTGTGTCGTCGGATGTTCGGGGTATTTGCATGTCAAGGATTATCTTTTTAGGTAGGGGTTCATCTCTGGCAGGTTTGTCACAACAGGTCCTGGAAACAACCAACACCATCATCAGCGAGCACGGATGGACACCTATCCGAGGGAAACACACGAAGGTCAAGCGCAGCAGCCTTGCAGAACTTGCTCAAGTGAGGGCCGTCCCCCCTGATACTCGACATGACCTCAATCCTCCGGGGACCGACGACTTTGTTGAGCAACGACTCTTCAAGCAGAAATCGAAGGATGCGCAGCAACCCGTCACTGCCATCCTGCGGCAGGTCGAATCTCTTGGACCATGGGCTGGTGCCAGCCTTGTTGCCAGTCTCAAGGCGAAATCCTTTGTTGAAATTGAGAGGGAGAGATTCCTCTCTCATGGACTGGCCGGAGCACATCGCGACCTAGATCCTAGTGCCCTTCATCAACAGCGCAGCACAGCAACAAAAGGCAGCGAGAGGACTAGCTGGACATTGGCAGGATGGGGGTGAGTCAAGGATCTGAAACGCCATTGAATGTGGTTCGGTCATCACTTGTATTCGTTTGGGGGTACAGCGGTTGGGCATTGTGAATGTATGTGGTTGTCGTCGTTTCACTGTTCCGTCGTTGAGGCGACGTATTCTTCTGCGCGCCACCGCAACGATAGTGAAATGGGTAGACAAAACATTCCCTTTCTGCTCATTGTCTCGTGCTACCTTTTCTTTGTATCGGGATGCCAGCAACAAACTCTAGCTCTCACCACTTCTCTTCATGGGCCACGGCACCGTTGGTACTCTGAGGGAATCTTGTCGGACTTGTGACGTCTCCCTAGCTTCTGACAGCAGTGATATATCTGCTGTGACTTGTTTTCTGTGGAAGGGGAATCGCCGGCTCAGGAAAAGAGCGTGCGCCGACCGAACAAACGGGTTGCCATCGGTGTTTGCCATTGATGGTGACGTCCGCTGCTCTCCCAACCTGCCTTCTGGCACAACGAGGACGTCATTGCCATCCACTGACTTTACCTTGGTGAAGCAAGCGCTACTCTCGACTAGGCCACCAGATGAGTCTGACCAGGACGCCCTTCACCCAAGATCCCAAGTCAAAGACATCCACAAACAAACTCTTAAGGAGAAGCAGAAACAAACAAACAACATCCACATCTGCATCTACATCCACAACCTCACCACGCCATCTCATAGTGACACATACATCAAATATGTCTTCCACGGAGAACCTGAACAGCAATGTCGAGGAGGAGGCGAACACCTCCAGCAACAGCTTGAACAGCATCAAGTCGGTCTTCTCGTCGTTGAGACGCGCCGCCACAAACGACAGCAAGAAGAGCGACGCGTCGTCGGACTCAAAGTACGACCCCCTCACCATCCAGCCCGACCCTCTCCCGGACAATCGCAGCGAGATTGAAGGTCTCCTCAACCGTCAGCTTAGCGCGCTCGACCACCTCCGCCGCACCGTCGTCGCCCGCAACCAAGAAATCAAAGACTACTGCTCCCGCGCAGCCTACTACTACAACCTGCGACCGCGAGTCGCACCCTCGTTTCTCCGCCAGCTCGACATCGAGATCCACGTCCTTCGCCAGCAGCGCAACCGATTCCAGGCCCTTGTGGATATGCGCCACAATGAGATCGTGCGCATGGCTGAACATCGGAAGAAGTTGGATGCGGACCAAGGCCTGGATTGCAACGTCTATGACATGTATCTCGATTTCCGTCGCGTTTCTGAGTGGGAGCAGCTGTTCTCAATCTGAAAAGAAGTTTGCAACTGCATCAACGTTCAACGGTAGATCGGGCCCTGTGACAGCCAATAGTGACAAGGAGTTCAAGGGTCAAAAACAAGTCACTTGGTGACAACACCAAGGGGCTAGAGGATTGTGAAAATTCAAATCACATGGGACACGTCAATGGGACAGCGTTAACAGCATTTGTTTTTCAAGGGGAGATTGGCGAGCTGGCGAGCTGAGAGAGATGATACAAGTGGAGCTTAGGCTCAAAGGGTCCCAGTATCACGACTTCTCACAATATGATATCTGTCACGACCAACGTCGCGTGGGGGGAGAGATATGAACATTGGCTTTGGCATAGTGTTCAAGCACAAGGATAGTGCAAGAAACTTCTAGCTGAATGGACAGGGCACGGAAGGGCGTGCGACAAAACGAGATGAAACAACCGGACATACAAGTCGTGATGGATGATCTGGAATTTGCGCTTTGACTGATGGGCTGAACTTGGGATAAATCGTTGAGGGCATGGCATTTTTTCTTGTATGCATTGGGGGTTGTACTTGGGGCGCGTCCCTTGCCTGCATTTGTTACTCGAGCAGCATTCATTGCAGTAGCAGCCTCATCGCGTCGCACGAGATAGCTGACATGCATGCAAAGTAATTGATCATGATCGATATGACATTCAAAAGACTGGGCCATTCATTGATTGATTGACCTGGTATCTCCATCATCCTCGGTGCTACCGAACAACTCTATCTAGCCAGGAATGATATCGACGTCCCCGAAAATGTCCATTCGCTTTTGACGTGTATAGATAGTCAGTCGTGGCGCAGACGATGGGGTGGTGGTGATGGCGGCGGCGACGAGGTAACTCGATCTGCGCAGTTGTCGTCGTATAGTACGTACAGCACCCTACAGTACAGTACGTATCCTTTGGCTGCTGCTCATGCTCTGCATTTTTATTTATCTACCTACGTAACTCGTGCCTTGTATACAACAGGTAGATAGATTATCTACTCGTATATGTACTGTAGGTGCATATATACACACACATACCGAGCTAGCTAGCTAGCTATCTAGCTAGGCAGCTAGACACGACCGTTTTGTTGTTTCTTTTGTCTCTCTGCCAAACTACCGTACCACCCCTGGCCGGTGTCTATCTCTCTCCCTCCCTCCCTCTCTCTCCCCCTCTCTTCAATCCATATCTGCGGCCACGCACCCCCAAGTCAAGCGCAAGTCAACCCAGGTCGCAAACAACACCCCCCCCCGAACCTCGAACCGCGAACCGCGAAACGTAACCTCGAATCTCTAGAATATGTATCTACACATCAACGACTCCCAGACCTCTGCACTTGGCGCGGAAATCGTCCATGCCGACGTACGCGCCGCAGATGCGCCGCTTGCCCTCGAAGCCGAGCCGGCCGTGCAGGACGCGCCAGTTGTCGAAGATGACGGGCTCGCCGGGCCGCAGCATCACGGTGATGAGGAACTCGGGGCTCTCGAGGATGCGGCTCCACTCGCGCGCGGCCGCGTACCACGCCTTCAAGGCCGTGTGGTTAGGGAACGGCGGCGGCGTCGACGTCGACGTCGGCGGCACCCGGTCGAGGTTGTTCCATCGGATCTGGACCAGAGAGGTCGGGCTCGCACCTTGGTGCTGCGGGGGGCCTGGCGGCGACGAGTGCACGAGCACGGGGTAGCCCTGGACCGAGCTGGCCGTGTTGTAGAATTCCCCGGCTGACGAGCCCAGCGCGGCCGATGTCACCGGGTACGTGCTCAGCGCGCGGTAGTGTTGGGGGAATTTCTCGTACAGGTGCGTGGCGGCGGCGAAGCCGTCTACGAAGGTCGACTCGCCGCCCTTGTCGGCGGGGGTGAGGCAGTGGAAGAGCTGCAGCCCCGCCGGGTCGGTGAAGTAGGTCGTGTCGGTGTGGGGTGGCAAATAGTCGTCGGTGTACGCCGTGTCGATCGGGTTGGGCTCCGAGGTGAAGTCCCAGAAGCCGCCGTAATGTGTGGGTCGGATGTGCGAGATGCGTTCAACGAGGGATTGCGTCGCGCTCGGGGTGGGTGGCGTGGAAGGGATAAAGCACAGACCGTAGGTGTGGATGGACTCGAGAAACTGGGCCAGGCCGGACGTGGACGAGTTGTCCATGATTGACGGGAAGGGTACCCGAGGTAGTGATGTCGACGAAGGAGAGACGTGCGTCCAGTTTCTCTTAGGAACGGCCGGCGCAGCAGCCTTGTTGCTGGCTTGTATAAAGGGGGGATGGGTCTGTAGCCATTCCCACGGGTACACGCTTCGGTGTCTCCCTTGCCCGTCAGTACCAGATACGCCATCACCGCTCGCAGATGCCGAGTCTGTCGTCGCCGTGGCTGGCCAAGTGACTTCCAGTCCCTCTGGTGTGGACTGTACACTCGAGACCTTCACCTCCGGATCGATGGCAAAAGTGTCGAGTTGTCGCTGATGGGTGCTTGGATGTTGGCATTCCGGGCAGGGACAATGATCTCTCAGCCAAAATGACGGATACCGCAGTGCCACACCTGTGTTGAAGTCCACGATGAGTTCTTGGTTGGCCATGTCATTGACCAGGACACGGGGGAGAGCCCCGCCGGTCGACGTCGCGGCGGATGTGGTTTGATATCTGCGGCCTATGAATGCTGTCGGGATTCGACATGGTGTCTGTATGCTCCGCGGATATGAGCTCTTCACGGAAGGGCACCTTATCGCTCGTGCGCCTGCCCCCGCCGTTGAGAGATGTCTTAACCCTTGCCTGGCGTATCCATTCCCTTGGACCTGGATCTTGAAGGCCTTGCGCAGACTCGGGCAAACCCGGGGCTGCATTTTATATAGGGGTTTGTGCTCTTCTTGGTTGTGGTCTGGAATGGCTAGCAAGATGTATATATGGGCAACGAGAGTCTCCTTTCAGTCTTCGAATATGATCCAATGCACATCGCATGAATTGCTTGCCAGTTGGTGCCAGTGTCCGGACAGGTGGAAGAGAATGGGATGTTGCTTGACGGCAAAGATGCCTTTTTCGGGCAAAGTCTGGGCAGTCACATGTCACCCATATTAAGCCTCAGTCACCACCACCACCACCAACTCATCTCCCTTTCTTCCTCCAGCAGACAAACACAAGTATCAAAAAAGACAATGCTGCAGACAGCCTTGGAACAAAGCTCGCTGTGCCATGACAACCTACGCTAACCCAGCTGACCCCCTGCAAGCTGTCGCAAAACCCCGTCGGCTTTGCATGCTCTCTCCTGTTGATGAAGGATGTTGGAGGAATCAACCGAGTGCTCAACAGTCCCCAATCGGAGTCAATGGACCTGCTCTGGCCCGCTATAGGGTGGTACTTTCAAGCTCTAGACACTCCTGGACCATGGCCCATCAGAGTAAGTCGCCGTGCTCGCCCGTTAGATGCTTATCTTTCACTAGACCCAAGGGTGGGAAAGCAGCTTCTTATCAACAAAACTTTATTGGTGAGTGATGGGGCTTTCCCTCTTGCATCATTGCCGACCGATCGAGCAGCGCGGTAAATGTTTTTGTTAAAAGAGCATGGCATGTGTGGGAGCTGTAGTTCCTTGCTCTTCATTCAGTTCATTCCCTCAGCTAGCATGGAGCATGAAAAGACCGCAGACCACCAACCTGGCGATACGAGCAAAACGGAAGAGTCTGATGCAAGGCGCCGTTCAAGTCTCGTTGATGTGCGCGACGATGAGTTCATCAACGTCTCTGGCCATAAACAAGAGCTCGACCGCCTCTTCAGCTCCTTCAGTGTCGTGTCGACAGCCATCACCACCGGCAATGTATGGATTGCCCTTGCTGGCACCATCGCCGTGGCCATTTTCAATGGCGGTCCCACTGGCATAATCTACGAATTCATCGTCGTCTCCTTCTTTTACTGGTTCATTGCAGCCAGTGTTGCCGAACTGGCTTCCGCAATTCCTTCTTCTGCGGGAGTCTATCACTGGGCTACGGTCACGGCTGGGCCACGTTATGGTCGCGTATGCGGATATTTGGCAGGATGGTGGAACTTCTTCGCCTGGATCTTTGCCACGGCCGTGACCTTGCAGATCACGGCAGCTATAATCATTACGATGGCCCAGCTCAATGCATCAACCTATGAGTATCAGCGGTGGCAGGTCTTTGTGCTCTTCTTGTTCTGCGCCTGGCTTTTCGCAGCAGTCGTGCTGTTCTTCAACAAGGCCATCCCCCTTCTCGAGCAAATCGGGGGCTTCTTCATCATTGCCGGGTTTTTGATCACGGTCCTCGTCTCAGCTATTATGCCGCACGTGCAGCATAGAGAATATGCCACTTCCCATCAGGTGTGGAACTCGTTCACAAATTTGACGGGGTATAGCAGTTCTGGATTTGCTTTTCTACTGGGAATGCTGAACGGAGCGTTTGCGGTCGGAGTGCCTGACCTCACAAGTCATTTGGCCGAAGAGATGCAAAAGTCAGTATTGATCACCCTTGCGCGAACAAGACTTTGGCCACTGACAAGTTCCAACAGTCCCAGCAAAAACATTCCGGTAGCAGTGTGAGACTCCACCATCTCTGTCTCCATAGCTCTTTTGTTTTCAAGCGTAACTGAACTGCTTCCAGGCTTTGGCAATATATCATCGGCTTCCTCACCGGCCTACTGTTTCTGATTGCGGTCCTCTACGGCCTGACCGACCTCGACAGTCTCTTTGACACAGGCTACGTCTTCCCACTCGGCGAGATCTACCGCCAAGGTACAGGCACCAGTGCTGGGGCTATTGGCCTTTTGTTCCTCGTCCTTGCGCCCACCACGATTGCCTGCATGGGATGTTATTTGACGGCCTCGAGAGTGAGTTATGCCACAACACCTGGCCATTTCTCTCGTGAAGGGGACGATGTTACTCACGAACGGCCTAGATTTTCTGGACATTGGCCCGTGATCGCGCCACTCCTTTTGCGGGATTCTTCTCAACGGTCTCTCCGCGCTTGAAAGTCCCGGCGAACTCGATCGTTTTGTGTGCAGTGATCTGCACGATCCTTGGATGGTAAGTCCCTGACTAGAGAGAGATCGTTGTCTCTTTGATTTCCCTTGCAATACTGTTGAGCGGTCTGGGTTAACATGGTATAGTATCTACGTCGGTAATCTGACCGCCTTTAACGCCTTTACCAGCTCTTACATCGTCCGTAAGTCTTCTCCCCATGAGCCAATCCCCCATGACGAAGACTGTTTGCTAACCCTGCGTAGTCTCCATGGGTTCGTATCTCTCCGCGATTTTGCCGAATCTGCTATCCCGACGAACAAAGGTTGTCCCGGGACGGTTCTATATGCCCGGCGCGATCGGGCTCGTTGTCAACACGGTCTCGTGCCTGTTTATGATGGCCTTTATTGTGATTTTCTGCTTTCCGGTGCGTTTCCTCCCCAACCCCTCCCTCACTGCTGGGTACAGTTGGTGGTACATTCAATGCTGACCACAAATACTAGTTCGCCATGCCCGTCGACGCCGAGACGATGAGTGAGTGTCTCTTTTCTTTCTTTCTTGGCTGTCCCCCTTTCCTTTGCCCGGGAGATGTGCGTCCAGCTGATCTTCGCGTAGATTATACGTGCGTCATTTTCGGGGGACTTACCATTATCATGGGCACTTTCTACCTGCTTCTGAGACGGCAGTATGATGGGCCTCGCGTGATCATGCTCGGTAAGAGCGTGGAGATGACCGCGCAGGAATACCGCAACTCGATCGCCGCGTGAAAGACGACAACTGGACGATCAAGGCCATTTCGGATGACATATATCCGCACCCGGGAAATCACTTTCGAGTTCTCGAAGCCAACAAGCAACCTATCAAAATGTTCTCGTCCTTTTCCCCACCTCTTTTGACATTGGGTTTGTTCGTCTATTCCAGCCAGCTGGCAAGTGGTAAGGGTGACCAATGGCCCCGGCAGTCTATTTTGAGTTTGGCGATTCTTTGTCCTGTTCCACGATGAAGAAAGAATCACTTGTCGCAGCCCTCGACAATTATATTCTCAAACCATTGTTTCCAAGGTCCATGGTTCTTTGTCAGACCTAGTCAGGGGGGTGTGTGTCCTTTGTTTCTATTTCTGGCGACCTATCCAGCGAATGTTTGATAAATCTCTCGATAGTATCCCCCTCTGTCGAGGACGTATATACCTCTGAATCCAACAGTGTACGGATATACCACCATCGATCTCACAGTTTGTGTCTGCTTGCTTTTCGTGTTCGTTAGTTGCGCGACTTACTTTCTTTCCTTGGTAAAAATTTTCAGACATGAGCGCACCCAGACAGTCGTCGCCATTATCGGCGGACGTGGAGATACCCTGTTCGATCGTTGCAGCACTGCGCGATACATCCGACGTCAAGGCACAGGGGGCTGCGTCAGACAAGGTGTTGCGGATGGACACGATTCAAGAAGAATGGCCCGAGGCAGAAGACGACATCCATTGTCTGCCCTGCTTGCATGCAGCTGGTGAAGCGACCCAGACTGACGACGGCACCAGTCCCGTCGATCAATCCGAAGCAGTTCCTGAATATGTTCTGAAGATCCGAGCGGCCGTCAGGCTGCAGGGCCAGCGGCTGCAGAAGACGCCATTCGAGAGCGAGCAACCAGAGAAGCATGAGAGTGGAGGCGAGAAGCTGAACTCCCACACCAAGATCAGCAGCAAAAGAAAGCGGACCTCACTACTCTCGAGCGCAACGGAGCGTGGAAGGAATGTGGTATCCGAGGTCAAGTCCCGAAGCAAGAGGTTGTCGACAGTTCTCACAATGCAAACAAAGCACGATTCTGCTTCGGCCGAAGTCACATCAGAACAACAGAAGCGCAGGTCGCTTCCTCTGGTTGTGGAAGAGGTGGAGCGTCCTTCCGTCCTCACATCTCAGCGAAGGAGAATGTCCGCTATCTTCTCTCCGATGCGGACGAAGTTGCCTGAGCAAGACAAAGAAAAGCCAAAAATCAAAAGCAAGACTCGTACCCCAATCTACCGTGTCGCAGGAGAAAATAACAGCACGACTCAGAATGCGGAATCCATAAAGAAACCTTATGCCGACAATGTCGAGTACACGGATAGCAACAGTGATGACGATGGCGAGGATGTAGGCCTGCTTTCGCTCAGACGGTCGGGATCATCCCAGCCGCATAGTTTCGATGCGTCCCATTTCTATACACCAATGGTCCCAGCTGGTTCGAGGCGGGGCCGTGAGTACCGCATTGGTAAAACACGATTCAGCCATGCCATTGATTCCGCAAGAAAGCTGGCGTCGAGGAGCGCTAGGGGAGTCAGACACAACGTTGGCGATGCACTGAAAGCCCGAGGCAGGGGTCGCGGATGGTCGAAATTGAAGATTTGAGATCGACACCTGCGCCAACAGATGCTAGTCGGGCTTGGCTGACTCAACAGCAAGGCGAACGAAAGCACTAGTGCTTGCCCACGAGTAGATGCTTGTAGAACCAAGTGATCTTGTCAAAGTGTTTCGTAGTGGGGAGTTTAGGATCGCAAAAACTTCGGTGCTTCAACCCGGACCGTGGTGGGAAGGTGGAAGCTATTTGTTAGTGTGCATGGCCAGTCAATACATAGAAAGCAGCAATTTGCATTATAACCATCGCGCCATCTTGCAGGTTGACCACTTGCCCGAACTTGGGTATTATTATGTTGTTCATGCGCATTGGGGTGTGTTGTCCAGTGATTTGTGCCGCCCATCGGGATTCGCAATCCCCGTCAGAGCACCATTGAACCCTGCCTGAAAGCACCTCGTAGCCAGCGGCATACCCCCTCTTTCGGAAACGGCTCAAGCCTCGCACGTCACCGAGATCCCGATGTGCTTGAAGAGGTAAGAATGGAGGGATCTGAACCTCGTATACTGGCGCACCCTGGCAAAGCGGAAAGGTATCTCTGCAAAACGCGACCATGGCGGAACGGAAGCCTTCACTCGGCGCTGCATTCACATAATCTGCGTTGCTGATGGAACGCTGCGGCATGGAGGGAAAGACGAGGAAATATAGGTAAAGGGTAGGAAGAAGAACGATTCGTCCGCTGGTCCCCGAGACGGCTGGAGGGTAATTTGTACTTCGTCTCTCGTGGAACGGAGATAGAGAATTTCGAGAAAAATGCTAAATATGGTCTGCGCGTCGGAGAAGGAGGCCTATTTAGTCGATTAGCGGTTGGATTCAAAGAGGTTAGGCATGTTCAAGCTGGTGTGTGTGAGGCTGGTGGTGCTTGTTGGACTTGGTCTTGGTGGGCAGCACAAACCCAGCACAAACCCAACTGGGTTTGTGCTCGTCCTTGGCAGTCGCTTGGTGCGAAAACCTGCGAAAGCCTCTTTTGATGAGACTTCAACCCTCCTCGTCGCCTCGTTGCCTCTGTCCAACCCGACGACCCAATGCTGAAATCCATCCCCGGTCAAGCTATCCGTGGCCATCCTCATCGAATCACACCTTCTCTGGTGCATAGGCGCTTTCAGAATGCCATCAGTGCCCCTCGAGGCTCCAGCACCATCTCCAGCCCATATTAAACGAATCGTCTTTGTCATCAGCCAGTTTGTGTGATATGGGTGGTCTCAAGATCTATTGCCTTGGGCAGGCTACAAAGAGACGACGATGGACAAAGACAGCAACGACGATGATGATGGGAAGGTCCCGAAGCCGTACGATGGCCCATTTCTATTCATCAACAAAACCTCGGCGACCCTGGCCCGAAGTCGAGACGAGAGTTTCACTATATCCTCGCATGTGTCCAAAACACATCGCAAATGGTTGAAAGAAGAGAGGCTCAGGCGATTGCATGCATCTAGCAGCAAGGCTGTGGCAGCCCAACGATCGATTCTTCCAGCGGCAGCATCGCGATTCCCAGGGGCTGGTCCATCAGACGCCGTCCTAGTGGACCATTCTGCGCCTGCACGGGCAGTCACCGACCCCAGTCAGTTACAAGACGACGGTAGCGCTTCGCGAGACATCGTACGACGTTCAGTGGTCGAAAGGGTGCGTGGCGACGAGCATAGTCATCCTGTTTACCCTTTCGAGGGCAGCCAAGAAAATATTGACCAACAACGAACCGCCTCCTACGAGCTATGGAACAGGCGTGCTTGGGCGATCAAAAAACCCTCTCTAGGCCTTTGGAAGGGTAATTCTGACCCCTTTTCGGCTGCCGCGGTGCCTCTTGCTACCCCAGACCACGAGATCATCCGACTAGCTCAGCGATTTTTCGTGTTTGTGGCTTCGCCAGACCAGACGAGTGCAGTGTGGAGGGCTCCAATAGCCGACACTTCCAGTTCGCACGTTCATCTGGACAAAACTATAGGAGACGAAGCCGAAATCCATGCTATCCTGGCCGCAGGTTATGCCGTAAATGGAGAGCTTTCCCCGCAGCTTTCCGAGCAGTCCATGACCCGGCAGCTGTTGCATAAAACCAAGGCTGTCGCACTCCTTCGAGATAGGCTAGTGAAACACGGCTTTTCACCTGGCGTCACTACATTGATCCGTCTCCTCATCTCTCTTGACTTTCACGCCTCTGATGATGAATCGGCACTGGTTCATTTGCGTGGCCTCTGGGCCATGGCCTCGACGACACCTGGAGTTCTGGTGGATGCCCAAAATCTCCTCATGATCAGCGATGCGTGGATCTCCATATCACTACTGAAGAGACCCGAAATATCGCCGGAACGATACGACCCCGGCCCACGTTCGCAGCATCCGTTTGACGAAGCTCTTCGAGAACTGGAAGATAAACATGGCATTGCCGTTACTGATGGTGCCAAGAGCGCAACACCGGAGGCTGCATTCGACGAAAAGATGTGGAGGCTGCTGGAGAGTGCCCATGAGATTGTCAATGCAAAGAGGATAGTGGGCGAGATCACTGATACCAAGTTACAAGAGTCGGTTGTCCATTGGATAAACAGTCGGAGCACTGCCATCAGCGGCTTCTGTACCACTGGGTATGTGGATGCGACAGAACTTGCACAGTCACCTACGCAGGATGATGCGAACAAGGTCAAGCAAACATTGATGGCTGCCGCGTGTCTTTGTGGAATGATGTTGATGAACTTCAAATTCTTGGATCTGGCCCACAACTTCAACTTCAGCAAAACATGCCAAAAGATTGAGCAAGTCCTCCACAGTGTCTCGCAGGCGCTGGAACAAGCGCGTCAACCAGCACAAGACAGCGACTACATGTGGCTTTTGTTTCTCGCCGCCATGGGCAACGATATCTTTACCGGGAGGGGCGATGTCACTTACTCGTCGTGGCCGGTTACAGAGTTCCACTGTGTCAGTGAGCGTCTAAGCGTCCTTGTGGACCAGCAGTCCCCAGCCGCCATTTTGCGCAGGTATCCATGGTATCCAGAAATGGACATTTTCCTGCTCGAGCTACTTTGTCAGAGGGAACCTCGCGCACCTATCATCCCGTGGTCGAGGTGGCGGGATATTCTGAACCATGCTTGACGCTGAGGAGGGGGAGAACCAAACAAGAAATGTACCGCTGTTCTGTTCTGGCTTGTACAGCACCTCGCCTCATCACACCCCGAGCCATGACGAAGGTGCTGAGAAAGTCATCGATACGGCAGCGCGAGGATACAAGGCGTGGTGCGGCGTCTCCTCACGACAACTGTATCCTCGATTTGTGACTCCCATTGAGACACGAAGGGCGTCTTCTCACTCCCACGGTGTACACGATCGTGCAACACACTACGCCGCGAGGTAACTAAACATCCATCGATATCGAGTCTCCCAGTCTGCCTATCGATCTATCTATCGGTTTGTTAGCCAGCCACCAATCTCACAGCCTACCTGTCTATCAATGAGCCAGTCAACCAGTCTGCCCGCCGGCCTCCTCCAATTAGCCAAAGCAGCCAGTTCAACCAGGTGATGATGATGATGATGATGACGACGACGAAACAACGCCCCAGCCAAGTTACGGGTATGTAATCATGAGGTTATGTAGTTGCTACTTCCAGACAAATGAGTTTTCTCTCTTTCAAATACTGGTAGAAAGAACATGGATTTTGTCCAGGGTTAGGTTCTATCTTTTTTCGGCGGCTCGCTCACTTCAATTCAATTGAAGCTCCAGTTGAGTGGAAGCCAGGGGTCCATTACCGTTCATTGCATTTCATTTCATCTCATTTATTCATCTTGCTTATTTATATACTTCTCCACCCCCCTCCCCCTCTCTTTTCTCTGTCATTCCTCCCTTCCCTTCCCTCCAGCAGAGGCCCTGTTCAGAATTCAAGTCCGCTCAGATTCTTCCATCCATCGCATCCCATATCGTATTGGGCGAAAGAAGAATCTACAATTTATCTTCTAGGTAAAAAGTGCTCATGCGGTACTGGCTCTCGCCGTCGTACTGGGCCAGCTCCTCGAGCGCCTGCTTCCCTTCGCGCTCGATCGTCTCCTTGATCTCGGGCGTGCGCGGCGTGATGCGGCATTCGAACGGTTCGGGGCGCATGTTCAGGCCGTTTCTGTTGGTGGGAAAGAAGAAGAAAGTGTTAGCATGTCCATACCGGTATGAGGTAACGTGTGCGCCAAACAGGGAAATACTGCAATGCCGGCGTGACTTACGTGTATGCAAAAATATCCACGGGGATTTCGTTTCCGTCCTTGTCCAATGCTTTCTGGATGTTGAAGCCCCAGAGGATTCTCGCCACCGTCAGGAATGTGCCCTGCTCAGCTAACCCCTGACCGCTGCAGACACGCCGACCCCAGCCAAATGTCATGTAGCCCTTTTCGTTCGGGAAGGGTCGGTGGAGTGGGTGGTCTTCGAAGAAGCGCTCGGGGCAGAAGCGGTCGGGTTCTGGGAACTCGTTCTCATTACGGTGGATCGCCCATACGTTGCCCTGCACCCACGTGTTCTTAGGGATGTACCAGTCCTGCACAACGTCGAGTGTCAGTCACAGGTCTATGAGAAGCCATACCGCGAAGAATGCAAGCAGCCTTACCCTGAAATAATCGTCTTGGATCGGAGCATGTGGCTGGCCTCCAATGATGGCCACCGATCGCCATCTGAATACCTCCTTCACAAACGCGCGGATATAAGGTAGGTCGTCGTCCAGACTAGGACTTCGGTACGATCCAACCACGCGATCAAGCTCCTCCCACGCCTTAGGTAGGACTTCGGGGAAGGCGCAACAAGCCAGGATGAACGTGATGAGAGTGGAACTCGAGGTATCGCTACCGGCTCCAAAGAGATTCCCGTTGAGCGAAGCGATCTCCAGGGTCGATAGATTATACTTAGGGGCTTCGTCGAAGATCTTCTTCGCGTAACATGTGTCGCCATTACTCTTGCGCACGGCCTCTTCGGCGAGGGCATAGTAAAATGAACGACCACGCCCCTTTCCAGCTCCGAGCCCGCACTTCCAAGGTGCCATCCAGTTGGGAAAGTACGAAAGCCCTGTATTCATCGTTAACTTTGGGGATTCTGCTTAAGTCTCTCTGGAAAAGTTCGGACTTACAGGGGAATGTCTCCATCAGCATTGGGAAGGTCTTGCCTGGGACGTTCAATTCGGCGGCTCTTTGCATGACAGCGATGACTTCTGTAATAATGGGATCCTCCTTGCTCTTAATGCGACGATTAAAGCCAATAATGCTCACGACCGAGGCGGCATACCGTTCGAAGTGCATGACATAGTCGGCAGGATCTCGGACCAAATCCAACGCCACGACTTTGCTTTCGTTGTTCTGGAAGCCACTGTAGCTGCGAACATGCTGCAGACCGACACCCATGTGGGTCAATTTCCGATGCAGTCGCCATCGATCCCCGTAAAACATAGAGACGATATTCGACTGGCCCATCGAAAGTTCCCCAAAGACGACCATTCGAGGTCGAGATGAGTAGATACCCGCACGCTTGTCCAACATCTCGGAAGCCGCCCAGGCATCGCAGATCCATACTGTGGGACTCCTTCCGATCCAGTACGTGATGACGGGAGTTTTGTACTGCTTGGCGAGGGCCTCGAAGTAAATCCAGGGCTTGTTGTCTGGTAGTTGGAATGTGTTACCCACGATCGGCCAAGGAAGTGGACCAGGAGGCTGTATGTGGAAGCCAGTTAGCGAGGGTCAGGGTCACTCAATCCGTGGTCAAGCAATATGCGATTTTTCTTACCATCTTTCTCCTCAAAAGGAGCATCCGGGCGTAGTCGGCGATGAGAGCCAGCAGCCCGAAAAATACCAGCCCAATGGCGATTTGGCTGGCACTAGGGGCCGCATGTTGGAGGTGAAGCATTACACCCATGATGAATGGCTGGCTCAGTGGAAGTTGTGTAGGAGTCTCAGACCACCATCTGGTTCAGATCGATGTCTGGGTGACTTGTGGAGGGGAGCTGGAATATATTGCGATCCCCAGAAGGATTTGTACGAGGAAAGGTTGATTTGCTTGAAGATGCCCATTTTTGATAATCCATCGTCCATTACTGCCTATCGGCATGCTGCCATACCGTGCCTCTGCTCTCGGCATTTGTGCGAGAGCAACTCCTCATTTAGCCTGCGTCCCACTGGTTGAGGGCTCTGGTGGTTTTGGGAGAATGGACTTGGTGTGCTTGTGCATTTCTGGACGTGGGGCTTTTGTCCGTGTTTGGAGAACTTCGGTGGCTTTCAGAGGCACGTTTGGCACGTGCAGGCCCCATCTTTTGGGTGGCACACTTGGTGTCGGCCGTGTGCAGTGGTGTTGTTTGTGCGGAGGAGGATGAGGAGACGGAGGAAGTCGAGGTGATGGCGCAGTAAGTACAGAGTACTCCTCGTGCACACATAGTGAGATGACTCGTACAAAAGGATGGCGACGTGAAAGCAAACATGGCGAGCGGGGTTATGACCACCCAGAGGTGGCAGCACAGGCACCTATTATTGGGATGCCCATTGGGAGCCCTCCTAGGTACCTAGCACTATGAAAGTGCCTCGTACGACGACGTGGACGATTCCTCCCCCTGAATCGTTAGTCAGCGAAATGAGGGGAAGCGTCCACCACCATGACCTCAGCCTTGGTTCCTCCACCACATCGTTCCAAAGTACCCTCGTCGTACTGCCCCTTTCCTGCTTGCCTTTATAGAGGGCATTTTAGATGGGCGAAGGCTGCATGCATGTCTGCTATGAGCAAATGCCCCCCTGTATACCGAAAAATGGATTATATCCATTGCCCATTGCTCAATTTATGTCCCACAGATGCAAGATGGTGACATACTTCAGAGCCACCCTCTGGCTCGGGGAACGGCCGGTCGCCTGGGATGTACTCTTGTGGTCCAAGTCCCTAGGCATCTAGGTTTTGTTCAGATCAGGAACTGGTCAATCCTGCCCCACTGGGATTCCAGAGCCATATTGTTCTCAATGCTATCCTTGGGACCAAACAACAGTGACCTGCTCTCAAATACGGCTGTGAGAGCAATATACGCCTTATACCGGACCAAGGACTGATTGGAACCTCTAAGAGAAAAGACAAGGGAATACCTCGTATATTCCTGGACGACACCACTATCACTGCCCCACCCCTTGTCCAACTGTGTGCTTTTCCCGCATCTGACGCGAGATCCTAGATTCTGGGTGGCTTGGATCTTACATACTGGGCTGCACAGATCGACAATTCCACTTGAACAATTAATAAATACCACCTCTCCCCGAGTGTTGACCATTTGTGGTATCGACCGGACGCAGACAGTCCGAAACATCTCCTTATGTAACGAATATAACGCTGAGGGCCGTGACTGGACGAAAGGCGAATATAACAAGTCAAGTATAGTTTAGATCCCTCCTATTGCTAACACTTGCGTCTCTAGCTACACAGCATCTGGAACACCAGACGGACTGGGGGTTCTCAATACCATTCAATCCACACTCACTCATTCACGCATAATCAATTTCGATTCCTGTTACCCGACTCTCTGAATCCCATGCTTTATCCGCCCTTCACACCAAACCAGTCCGTCAAACCCCCTGGACACTACCAATTCACACACAAGCAATGTCTAACTTCGAGGTCATGAAAGCTTGGTTGTACTCGACATATCGAGGATCTTTGAGAGCGACCGTTTCTATGCTCGTCTCCAATCTCCTGATAACGTCCCGTCCACTCTGGATGTTGCTGGATGTCGTAAGGAAGGAGGAGTTTTCAGATGCACTGTCTTGTTCCCGTTTGATTTATGACGCAACGGTGAATCCACTCTGCACATGGGGTTAGGACATCGCCGACCACATTATCAGTTCGAGAGCGGTACTCAAAAGGAGGGCGTTGTGGCTTGAGGACTCTAGACCAGCACTTGTCCGGCAACATTGAAAGGGGTAAAGTATAGCTTCAGGTGAACCGTCTCAGGTGTGCAGAATGACGTGAGGGCAACATGCACATAAGACAAGCATTGTTTGAACAAGAAACTGTTCATTCTGTGATAGAGTGGAGAGAAGATTGCATCAACCATGTCGACCTGCGCTGGAGATGGTGAGCAGTGCGCAGGAGAAAGTGCAGTTGGTCGTGCACTCGCCCCACCGCAGGCTGCGTCACGCTTCCACGCCACCACGCCAGCTCAATCCATCAACGCGCAGCTTTGGAAGCCCGAACAAACATCCATCAACCTCGCCAAACTCATCTTCGGATTCTGCCTGTCACACCGCGGAATCGGCCACCTTTTTGAACCCAGCGCCGGGCATAAGCAGGTCAGATGCGCTACCCGAATCTGGCCTCCTGCGACATTGCCCGAGTTCGGGATCATCCTCGACTGACTGACTCGAGCTGCGCTACAAACGAAGCGACAGATCACCCGCCTCCTTTGTCAGCTCCCACACATCAGTCCTCACAACATGGCCATCCGTGAACACAGAGGGAGGTGCTTCCCCGTCAAAATGATACAGAGACATTCCGGCTGGCATCGTGCCCGGTTCTCCGAATTCCAACAGCCCCTGTACGATGCGATATTTGATTGATCCTCGAAACCCTGGCTGCGTCGTGTACTTGTCATCCAAGGCCTTCCAAATCGATTCATCTGCAGTTCTCGTCTGTACACTAAGCAAGTATTTGGGCCGGCTGGTGCTTCCAGTGGTGTCGTCAATCTTGCCCACAGTTTCGTAACTTCGCAGTGCTCCCCACCAGCAGCTGAACGCACTCCCAGTCGACCCGTCCGCCTCAAGAGGCAACAACTTGGAAGTTCTGGGCATGTCGTCGAATTGCTTGCTGGTCAGCCAGGCTAGATCGCTCAGCTTCACCAGGGCGAGGTAAGGCCATAGTGTCTCGCCAATGCACTTTTCAGATGCTTCTGGTGTGCCGCGCTCTGCGAATTTGGGATCGACGTATGCGTCGGCGGTCGGATCAATGTTTTTATAACGCAGAAAAAGTCCACCGTTGCCGGGACATGCCAGGACGTCGCCCATGTGCTCTTCGTACCACGCGTCAAGCAGCGAGGCGGGTAGGTCCTTTTTCTGGACGCTGGTGGTGACCCATAACAGCCCTGGGACTGGACCTGTCGACGTGGCTGAGTTTGTTATTGAACCCATGGGGAGGTGATTTGAGAAATTTGTCTCTTCTTTCTGAAGGTGTGCTGGGTAAGGAGTCGCTGAATTGAAAACAGTCACGAATGTCGCAGCCGAATGACTAACTTCCGCTTCGAGTGAGAGAGACGACGGCGCCTTATATATCGGCAGATCCGTAACTGTTCACGTTGCCGAGCCCGAGAGGTACATCAGTGAAGTCACTCACCTGTTCGGCCCGTCGCTAATCATCTGGTGGCAACGGGGATGCGCGAACAGCTTATCCGTCCGTTATAATGAATGGCTCCTGCAACATAAGCTTCTCGCTAAGGGCAGGTCGTGCTTCACTGGGATTTCACGTGCATTGCCAGCACATCACTGCGTCTCGGTTGGCATTTCCTTCCCCTCTCCGACACAAGGCCAACCTGTTCAAGCGTGCAGTAGCCTTAGAGAATTGCTGAAGTTGCAGTTCAAGCGGATTATTTACTTTGTCTCACGGGTGAGTAAGTCCAACATTGACGGTCCGTTGGCGATCCGAGGGGTGCTCCACTCGACTCCCAAGACAATGGTTGACCTATTGAATGAAGCGTGACCATGTCCTCGAGTCGCGGTCTCTACGTCGATAACTGAGGGACGATCACACCATCGAGGGTCTGTGGCAGATCACCTGCTGATACCAGCTCAGAATGTAAGACGTTTCAGATGGTCCCTTTGAGTCTACGCAAAATCAATCCAAACCCAGTACTTCATCCACCTGAACCCTTCTTCTAGCCTCCCAATGTGCCTGAGCTCGTTGTTGCCCTCCTCCCCTTCTGTGGTGCCTACCTCTCGATCTTGCCCTTGAGCCTGATGTTGCGCTGCCAATTCCTCCCTGAGACGATCCACGTTCCTCCCCAATAAAGTCGCGCCAGCTTCTATGCTTTTGATCTTATACTTGGTCGATTCCTGACGGATGACCTCGTCCCACATCTTCTTCCAACTTGCCTCGTTGTGTCTGTAGCGCGAGCCTCCGCCTAAGCGTCGGGGGAACTCGCCCGGATTCTCGTTGCCTACCTGACACCCGCAGATCAGCACCCGGCCGTTTTTGGAGGTCATCAACTGCAAGCACCGGCGCGCCATGGTGACTTGTTGGTCCCAGTCGAAGAGATGGAAGACCGAGGTGGAATGGAGGATGCCGACGCGGCCATCGCACTTTTTGCTCAGCTTGCTCTCGGGGGAGAAATCGAAAACGTCGGCTGGGGCGATGAAGTGTTCGGCGCGTGGGAACCTGTCTTCATCCCGGAATAGCTCGTACCCGACCTCGATGAACTCTGGGCGCAAGTCCGCGCCGTAGATGCGGCTAGCATCACCGCCGTCGAAGAGCAGTTTGCGGACGTCCTGCCCCAAGCAACAGCCCAAATCTAGGAAAATCCAGTCCGGGTTCTTCTGACCGTCGGTGCCTTTTGGCTCTTTGGCCATCTTCGGCACGATGTAGCCGTGGTACAAGGGGTGGCTGGACAGGTCGAGCTCGAGGAACCGCCAGCGGCCCAGGCACGGGTATGGGTGCGACTTGAAGGCCCGGTCGCGCACCGTCTTGATGTGCTCTGTCTGTGCTTCGGGCGGGATCCCGGAGTACTCGGTCAGCAGCGTCGCGATCTGTGATGGTACCTGCTCCAACTCCGGTTTATAGATTAGGGATGGGTGCATGAACCTCGCGCCGGTGGCGGCACCAGCGAGGGGATTGTTGTCTGACATTATCTTTTCCTCCCCCCGCCTCGATGGGATTGCTGTGCGCCGTGAGTAATAAGCAAAAGCACCGTCAACTGTGTGTAGAGATTGTTCGCGTCAAAATTGAGACCGGCTGCGCTCAATTTAGTGGAAATGGCGTGCGCACACACACACACACACGGACGGGGCAAGAAAGTATATGTGAGTATGTGAGAGTAGGCAGGTTGAAGTGTCACCTGGGTAAAAATTTTACACTGAGCCACCGCTCTCCATCTCTCGCTCAATGAGAGATTATATAGGCTATCCTGCACCCCTCACCCTCGCTCTCGTTATCCCACAAACCGGGCCGGACGGTCAGGGTGTTCAGGGGCGGCGCCGAGACCTCTTGGCAAAAGTCCGAGGCAAGAAATCAACCAATTCCGTTGAAGTGTTGTTTGATTTGTCTGTTTGTCTGTTTGTCTGAGATATCATGCGCACCAGGGGTTCAAGGATCTCGTATCGTATTCGGCATCGGTGCGCGATACAGCTCGTGGAATTGAGGGCGAGGTGGGCAGACCCAGGCAGACCCAGGCAGACACCGCGGCACTTTTCCGTAACGGGTAATTGTCGCGAGGTGGTGACGATGCGACACCGCGTGCCTGCCTAGTACTCAGGTAGTGAGGCCGGCACCGGGCTTGACGGGGCGACTTGCGGTTGGATTTGACCGGGGCGTGATGAAGAAATGGAGGGGAGGGGAGGGGAGAGGAGGGGGGCTTGGGGGATGATAGGGAGATAGCAAGATATCTCCGTGGACTTTGCGTCGACTTACAGAGGAACTTGAGTACCTGGGTACATGGGTACGTACTTGGGTACTCGAGGTACTCAAGGTACTAAAAATATCTGAGGTAGTGTGTCAGAGGATCTCTTTGGGTACGTAGCCAGGCAGGAACATGTAGGTACCTGGGTTGGGTATGCATGTTTCTAGCTAGGTATCTACAGTACATACTTGACCAGAACCAGCCTGCCACCATGCCCTGCCAAACGCCGAGGCGCCGAGCGAAGCACCGAAGCGAAGCACTCGTAGTCGTACTCGTACTCGTAGAGTGCGAATCGCTTGCCAGTGACGCTGACTGGCATTGGCACTGGCTGTGGCTGTGGGCTTCAGGCGTTGGATATTGCATATGCGGCACAGGAATACGCACATGCACATGAACAGGTAGGTGAATGTGATCTTCTATCGGGTCGACGACAGGGGCAAACAGCAAAAAATCTTCAATCCAGGATCCACCTCTGCTTCTTCACCCGCTGCTTGTCCTTGTCGCTCACGCCCACCTTGGTCCATGCAATGTCAATGTCCAACGACCGCTCCTGGCCCTGCTTCTTCAGGTACGTCACTTCGCCGGTGATGCTGTCTCCGCCGACAAACTCGTCCACGGGGTCCTTGATCAGGAAGATCCCTTGTTGCCAGTGCGTCGCTTCGGAGTGGGGTCCCGTCGAGAACGCGACCACGCCTTTCTCCTTGGCCTCGGCGGCTGTCGTGCCTGCTGCGATACTGTCAGAACGCGACGTCTGGAAGAAAATGTCGAACCAGATGACGAAACCCTCGAGGATCTTGAACCCGTCCTTCCACGTCGTTGCGAAGGGTTTGGTGAAGGTCAAGTCGTCCACTTTGGTCCGGTGCAGATCCAACTCGAGAAACGCGACGCTCTCCCCGGTCAGTTCCTTCTCGTCGGCTAGCCGGACCAGGGCTTCTTCGTGTGCCTTCTCCAGCATCGCCGTCATGTCGAACCCGTACACGTCGCGCCAAAAGTCAATGTGCGAGGCCTTCAGGTCCGAGTCGGCCAGTGGCGCGATGCGCAGCGTCGCGTGCGAAGGGACCATCAAGCCATCCGCAGCAAGGTACTTGTCGCGCGCGTAGATGACCGAGTCGAGCATGGACTCGTACAGCAGACAATAGCCCATCCACTCACTCACGATCACGTCCACCTTGGGCACTGGCAGAGTGACCTCCTCGATCTTACCCCGCACGCACTTTACAACGTCCTGCAGGCCGTTGGTGAAGACGTTCTCGCGAGCCTTGTCAATGATGCCCGAGTTGTCCACCGCAATGACGAGCCGGGCACCCGCTTTCGCACAGAACATGGACAATATCCCCGTCCCACAGCCGACGTCCAAGACGACCTTGTCTTTGAAGAGGTGTTTGTGGTCGTAGATGAAGTCGCGGTACGTGTCGGTACGTATGCGATCCTTGATCATCGATTCATGGATCGCATTGTACGAGTATGATTGGAAATAAGCCTTGTCGAATTGCTCAGCGTTGTTGCTGCCTCGGTCTTTGGTCTCGGGTGCTGCATCCACAAGCGAAGCGCTCGATTCTTGTGGAGGGGCTGACTGCTCGATGCGATCCAGCATGGCGTTTTGCACTTGTTCTCGATAGGCGGAGAATTGACTCTGCAGCGTTGCCAGTTGCTCTCGAAGTTGTTCGACTTCGGAGAGTGGAGCTCCGCTCACATCCTCTTCGAAGACATCGTCGAGACTGTACAAAAGGGCATCGTCCTCTAGGACGGGCTTGAGATACTTTTCATCGTCGAATAGCGCCTTGGACGAGACGTCAGGCTGTGCATGACCGGCCTTGACCTCCGTGCGGATGTAGTTGACCAGTCGGACGAGTCCTAGGTAGTCGAGAGCTAATAAGAGGAAGAGTTAGCACAATCGATCTCTCTTCCTGCATGAATCTTCAGTGTTTACCGAATTCTTGCCTCAACTTCCAGATATCCAAGCCATGGCTGTCTCGGCAATGGGCCAGCATGCTCTGTGCGTCAGGAAAAGTGGCTTCGTCAAGCAGAGAGATGATAGTGAGAGGCTCCTCATCTTGCTCGATATCCTCCCAGCCTTCATCGTTGGTTGTATCGAGAGGATCTGACAGGGAAGAAGTGTCACTGTCGCTGCCGTCCATGTGAGGCTCTGTCGAAGGGGCCATGTTGACGGCTGGGGTCCAGGATTGCAGCACCAGCCTGGCTCAGTAGGATCTCGGCCGTTTTCTCCTCCAGACAATTTCACTTGTAAGATGGATTCCCAACTCCGCGGTACGTGGGATTGAAAGTGAAGACGGATGGTGAAATGAAATTTCAAATGACGCCAAGACAAGAGAGAGATTTGTGTGTCATTTGAAAATCATGAATTCATAGCCAATGGCTTTTTTGCCTCTGCATAGACCATCCTCTCTCCTCCTGCTCTGCACACATTCCAGCAGCCTGCCCTCACAGCTATCTCCATATCCCTCAGCTACACCTGTCTAGCCATCTCGTGGGGGGAGTCTCTGTGATCTCTAACTCTTAGCGCTTCGGATCCAGTTTTCCACTTCCGCCTTAAAGTCCGGCTCATACAGCCAGCGCAAGTCAAACTCCTTCTGCACGACTTCATCCACCAGATCGGCAGGGCGAGAACTCTTCGGCATCCTCCTCAAGTCAATCTGCTTGTTCAGCTCCAAGATCTTGTTGATCCTGTCTTGACGGAACCCCTGCCAGAACGTCAAGGCATCCTCGAAATTGACACCGCCCGACTGAGCCCCCGCCAGGAGAAGCGAGAACATGTATACATCTTCGAAAGCCTGATTGATTCCCTGCCCGGCACTGGGTGGGATGGCATGGGCGGCATCACCCAGAATCACAACCCTACGCTTCTGGGAAGCCCACCTGTCCAGGGGCGGGATGACATAGAAGGGCCAAACGTTGATCTTGTCATGCGGGATCTTTGCCGTGGCAGTGACGGCAACCTCGCCAAATGCTTCGGCGCCCTCCTGCAGGAACTTGACCAAGCCTTCTTTGTCTGCAAGGAACTTGTCCCATCCTTCTCGGCTCAGCTCGTCAATGCGCTTCTGTCTCCCGAAGAACATTTCCGAGGCGTCCGGTTTCTGAGGCGCAATCACGAATGCACCTTTGCCTTCAGCGGTGATGGTGAGGGGTTGGTCAATCTTTCCGTAGGGGTAGGTGACTTGACTCGCGGGGACGGCTGAGGTGATGCCTGCCATTCCGATGAACTTTGGCTCCACGTCTGGATAGAGGTATTTTCGAACAGACGAATGGATCCCGTCAGCTCCGACGAGGATGGACGCGGTGGATTGTGTGCCATCAGCCGACTCCCAGACAATGTGATGGTCGGTCTCCTCGACGATGTGAGTGTACTTTCGACCAAACACCACGGGGATACCCAGCGACTCGACCTTGGACAATATCACGTCGATGAGCTCGTGGCGATAGCATCGATTCGCTTGGTAGCCGTATTTCTCCTTGCCGCCAAACTCGTAGGTCTCGACGAGGTCACCGTCGACTGTCACCACCTTGAGAAGTTCAAAGTTGTAGCCCCGGCCACGGACATCCTGGTACAAGCCCAGGGCATCCAAGACCTTTAGGGCGTTGGGGGATAGCATGACTGCGCCGCCGATGTTGAGGGGCGCTGGTCTAGACTCGTAGATTGTGGCCTTGATGCCTTGGTCATGCAGAGCCAGAGCCAACGTGAGGCCCGCCAGGCCCGCGCCGATGATGGCCACTTCGGGGGTCGACATGTTGAAGTTATGGAGAGAGAGAGGTTGTGTCAAAGTGTCAACTGCGTAGGTATATTGCGGCTTGCTCTTTCGTCGTTGTCGTCGTAGACTTCTTCTTCTGTTTGTAATTTGAGATATTCGTGCGAGGTGAAGCTCTTTGAACTATGCAATGGATAAAGAAGTGTTGTTGCGTTCAAGCCAGACCTTTCGTGTCGTTTATGATATATATATACCTGTCGAGGTGTCCTCGAGTGCTTATCATCCGTCGTCGTCAGGCGCCCCAACTCAACGTACGACAACCGGGTATGCCCTGGCTAGCAGGCATTTCTCCTGCGGCACCGAGCCTGTACCCAGTACGTCCTGACTCGATTGTGACTCTATCGCTCTCCGTATCTCTTTCCCGTCCTCGATCTCTCGGTGTGTATGCGTGTGTGCGTCTCTCGCTCTCGATGGCCACGGTGATGGTTGACCGAGTATACCCCGCTTCTTAAGGGGGGTGGTTGAGTATCGGTTGAGTGCCAATTCAGCTGTGTCGCTCGGTCGTAATGCACAGACAAACTACAGATTGTTGTGGTTACAGTTACATGTCCGTGCATACCATCCCTGGGGGTTGCTCAGTGAACTGCAACCGACCACTGGCCCAGACCAGCTGGACAGATGTTAGACCGGGGTACCAGGACTCGCTGTTAACGTGACGGCGGCATACCTACGAGTTAGTTGCGACGGCAGGTATTGTACCGAGTATGGACGTATGTATGTATTGCATAAAGCCGAGACCGAGCCCCTGCGCAATGCGAAAGGGTGCGAGGTGCAACATCCTCGGCCGAGCAGAGAACCAATCGTTCTGTGTACTCGGTACAGGCATACCATACCATACAACGCATATATCCCCCATAGGTAAGATATAGTCTATAGTCTATAGACATGCTATTGAAAGAATACTCGCTCTTCGGGGGCTGGGATGGGCAGACTAGATTCAGGAGCTGTATTGAGCGAAGCGAAGGAGATCAGAGCAAAACGGGAACGGTGAAAAGGAGGTGGAGAGCAAAAAGGAGAATGGAATCCTAGAGAGGATGGCGTTGGAACCTATATGCGGTACCCCTTAGAAACTTCTGGGAATGAAACCTGGATAGCTGCACCTCGTTGGACCGGGTCGGGACAAGGCCACGTAGGTATGTCTGTATGGATATATGTCTACCTACAGGGTAGGTACGTCTGTAGGGACATGCTACGCTAGCTCGACACAAACACTCCAAAGTACTGTACTTGTAGAACATTAACCCCCTACCCGCACCTTGGTTTCACCCCTCCCCCAACCGTCTCGACCTCGGAATGTCCAGAAATCTAGACATCTCTCGATCTCGAAGTCGGTCGGTCGGTCGGTAGATTGCGGTGTCACCATCGCCCCCAGCACCACTCCACATGAGCAGAGCACGAACAAACTGTCCACGGTACACTAGCCCATCTCGCTGACGGGCCCGTGCGTCTCCATCTTCAACGTCTTGAACAGGTCGTGCCGGGCCCACCAGCTGCGCAGGCGCTTGCCGAAGATGTACACGGGGATGGCCAGGAGGGAGAGGAAGATCGAGGTGCCGCCAAAGACGTACATGATCTGCTCGGGCCCGCTGTCGGCGACCCAGTTGTTGGCGTAGTTGGAGAGGCCGTAGAACATGAAGTTCTGTAGCGGGGTGAAGAGTGTTAGTAAAGGTCCGTGTGGTACAAAGAAGATGATATGGAGAGAGCGAGCGTGGAGGGAGAAAAGGACGAAAAGAGAAAGTTGCCGTAGTAACGCACCTTGAACAGCATGTTCATGACAAAAATCTCGTTGCTCTGTTCCCGGAACGAGTCCAGACCGTACGACAGCGTCGCGAAAATCCCAATCAACACGCCCACCATCATGACTCCCTGCAGGAACGCGCACAGCTCGGCCGCGGCGCCGACCTCCAGGGTATACCCGAACAGGAACATCCCCAGACCACACGCGACGCCGGCCGGGGCCATGAACCACAGACGGAATTCAGGTTCGCTAAAATCGTGCCCCCAGGCATGTCAGTCTCGGGTTGTCTCAGAGAGAGAGAGAGGAGGAGCGAGGAAGATAAATGAGGGACTTACTAGACGCCCTTGTTCTTGCGACCGAGGTATTTGATCACGTAGTCGCTGGTGACGCCGGTGATGATGGATCCAATCAAACCGCCGATAAACGGACCGAATCCCACGTATCCGATCTGCGAGGCGTTGAACATCCACGGAGGCCCGGAGAAGATGCCGGCCAGGATGATGGCGGATCCGACATACCTGATGAGCAGTTAGAGACTTGTTAGGAGAGTATTCCACATGACGTGGAGGGGCGGTTTAATGGTATCATCAGGCCCAAAACTTACCAGCTGTTGAGCACGCCAGACGCGATAACGGCATAACAGGCCGCCGGGTTGAGGAGAGTCAAAAAGGGCCCGAACAAGAATTTTAGAACATTGTCGTGCGAGTAGACGCCCGTCCAGACGGCCAGCTCCTGCACAAATGTCTTCTTCTTGGGCACGTCCGTGCGTTCGCCCTGGCCCGGCTCGCCCACCATTTCCTTGTGCGTGGCCTCGATCACGGCCAGGTCCTGGAGCTTCTCGTCGACGGCGGTGTCGGTGTTGTAGCGCGTGTCGCGGATGTACGTCGTCTCGGGGCAGAAGAGGAACATGAGCACGAACTGCACGACCAAAAAGATCTGGAACATGTGGAACAGCCACAGCCAGCCGAGCTTCTGGAACACCTGCCCGCAAATGACCGACGCCAGACTCGAGGCCGAGTTGAGGATGAAGTTGATGATGGATATGCGGAGACCTCGCTGGTGCACAAAGTACATGTCACCCACGGCGGACACGATCAGGGACTCGAAGGCGGATGTCGAAAACCCTTGGACGATGCGCGCGGCCAGCAGATATTTGTAGGAGATTTTGGCCTCGCCGATGGCCGTTCCGACAATATCGAAGAGCGTCGACACGAGAAAGACCGGTCTTTTACCATATTTGCGACTGAAAGCCGAGACTAGAGACAAGAGAGGCGCCCACGTTAGTTTCGACAGTCTTTCTCACCCGGGGGACATCCTCTAGAAGTCCACGTACCGAATGGTCCAATACATCCTGCAGCCAAAAGATTGTAACCAGAAACCAAGACGACCGTCGTTATATCCGTGTTGAGCTCCTGAGACATTTCGAAATACGACGCATTGAGGAAAGGGCCCTAAGCGACACCACAAAGTTCAGAAACCATTGGCTTCACCGCGTCGTCGCTCTCTTGTTCGCTTACATTGGTGCCCGCGTTAAGCATCGAGCCGAAGCAGAGGATGGCGATGATGACTTCCTTCTTCCATAGTGGCCAGTTCAAGGGACTGTACATGTAGCGAATCAGCTCCATTCTCCATGTGAGGAGGAACGGACGATCTATGCGAAGTATGAGGTACCAGGCACGCGCAACTTACTCATTGGGGTCTTCGCTGGGTTGAGGCGACAGCACGATATGAGCATCAGAACCCTTTCCGTGCTTGAGCCCTGAGGTGATGTCTTCCGAGTGGGCGGCTTCATCGTTCAGCAGGACCGTGCCGGGGACGTGGTCCAGCTTCCTGTCTGGTTGATGTCAGTTCGCCGCCGACCGTGGAATAGAAAAAGCGTGCTTGCCTTCCAGGACTCCGAGACCCATTGTTGCAGGGCTGCGACCACCAAAGAGGTTGAACCACTCGGGGAGGTGATGATCTTGTCTTGTTTAACAACCGATTTCTGTCCGTCCAGAGGACCCAAGGGAACCAGAGACTGTCTGTCTGTCTGTTTGTTTGTTTGGTTGGGCGACTGGGAAGAATCGAGTGTCGAGTCGAGAAGATGTCGATGCAGTGGTCTGACGCGACTACTTGTACTTAATATGCCCAAAGCCCTCGGCCCCTCATTGAATCTCGCTCGTTGGGCAATTTATTATTCGACCTCGTGCATAAGGGAGTTTGGCAGGATGCAGGAAACCCAGCTCGAAAGCTTCGTTCGCGTGGGTGTCCAAGATAGACGTTTCTCCAATGATCTCGCCCCATGGGGCAGGCAGACCAGTCGACGGAATTGCCCCAGTTCGCCGAGAGTCGTCCAGGTGGTCCAGGTGTCCAGTCCAGGCGCCGTGGGTCTGTTCCGGTGCCCATGGGGGGGACCAGGGGAGATGGACCAATCGCGGGTTTATGGTGCGTGATCAAGTACAACTGCCGTTGCTTGAACCTTTGCTCCAGAACAGAATAGTAGTAGAGTCGGACGGACGAGTGGCTGAAGCCATGACCAAACACCCCCTGTTTAGGCCCGAGTAGTCGATGCTAGTGACGCCTTGATGATTCCTCCCCCCATCGACGGGTTTATTTCGTCTAAGGATCTGCCGAGCTCTGACTCAGTCCTGTATGAGAGGCTGGTAGGCTGGCAAGTGGCGGGCGTCCGGTAGAAGCACCCTAGCATCCCCCTTGGGTGGTTCCCCTAATATTGGGTGCTTATGAAATCCTCGTATATTTGTATCAAAGATTGAAATGCCGATGGTTTCTCTCAGCCGAGAGAGATTGACAGTTCCGATGTAGGAGAATGAGCTGGAACAGTTTGATTGACCACCTGGGAGTTAGGAGTAGGAGGAGATGACCAGCCACAGCTCCAATAATTGTGGTTTTAGGCGGTGATGGTGACCCAGAGTCCGGACAACGAAGAGCCACAAAGTGGAGTTTGTGTCCGAATCTGGGGGTCCCGCACCCGGGGACCACCACGACAGCGAGGAGGAGGAGGTGGTGGTGGGTGAAGAAGCTCTTCTCCTCTTCATCCTCCTTTGCCAGTGACAACAGCCACAATAATAATACTAAAGACCTCTCGCAAAGGGGACAAAGACTACCTATACCCTCTCCGTCCCTCGTCGCCATTTTCCCACTTCCCCCTTCTCCTACCCCGAGTTTTGGAGCCTGTACCGCATTTCCTGGGGCAGCCTCGCATTACCCTAGTGCTTGTAGTCGACACGTGTCAAAGACAATCATGGACAAAGTAGTAGTAGAAGCGAACAATGGGCATTCTCCCCGGACCTTGTGACCACTCACGCCCATTCAAGATGCAGAGATGGTGTTGATCCCAGGGCTCCAACCGGGACCGGCGAGGCTCTTGCTCTCTGCCTCTGTAATTTTCTGTTTTGATTAGCGACAAGGAGAGTTGCCGACGCTGACACCATCGTGACCACTACAACCACTACAACCACCACGACCACGACCACCATCCCCTTGGCCAAAAGGTAAAATTTCAAAACTGCACACTTGAAGGTTCTCTATCCGAGGGCTCCATGGATCTTGAGGGAAGGTCCCGGCAGTTAATCACAGCCTTCATCGCACTGGACTCGTTTAGTATATTACCCAAAACATGTCGACCCCTTCCCGGTCCGGTACTTTGATCAAGTACCGAGATCACAGGGCTGATGTGCTAGACCAGCCAAGAATTGTTTGCTTCTACCTCGCACCTATCTACGACCAGGAGCCAAGTACGAGTTGGGCACAGTTCAGAGGGAAAAAGGAAAAAACAAACGAGAAACATTTAGGCGCCGGATCCGCTTTCGACGTCTAAATGATCCCTTGGACTGTTCTGGTTCGCCTTTAGATAAGCCACTTTGGATGTGTTCCTACTCGTGCACAGGGCTTTACTTGCGCGTAGCCCTTACTGCCGAAGGTCTGGAATTGGACACTACTTCTCGGATACGCCGAGACTGTTATATGCAAGAGAGACCAGATCTATTTCCGTCATAGTGTCTTCGTTGCACAAAGACCGTGTTATGGTATATGCCGATGAGGCTGAACAATGGAAGTCGCAATCATCTCGTTCCCTAGCCTCCCCTGTTGCGCCCTGACTCTTTTATGATTACACGATGCTATCCATCGTCCGAGCACTCCAGAGACACGTGAAGAGAGGAGAGTGTGTGGACTTTCCCAGAAGAGCTGAGAGGAAGGCATTGCTGCCCCAGGTCAAAATCCCACCTTCAAATATCCTGTCTATGCGAAACCTGTCCAGAATGTTGGCCGTCGCTAGCCATCATGCCTTGGACTTATTACCTCCATCTCTGTTGAAGGCTATGCACGACGCAGCAGAACCTCTCTCAATTCGGTTGTCCGGACTACCACAGGCTGCTCGGGTGGCAGCTCCCCACACCGTTCCCAAGCCAACAGTTGAAGCCGCGAGAAGAAATTGCTCCTTAGCCGCTTCTCTGGAAGGCCGTGCAATACCAAAAAAACGTGAAGAATGCTCTGCGAGAATGCAAGGTAGGCAGACCTCCAGGGTATTGTACGTCCGTCGTCCTTATCAGTTATATTGCTCCGTTACTCTTGTTTGAGAGTGCCCCGAGGTCGATGATACGCTGCAGGATCGGTCGAGCGACTATATATTACGCTGCTGGCGTCCTATTTCGAAGTCATCAGTCCATACCTTCATGCAGGATCCTACATATACGCACACACGCATGTACATGTCAAAGCAGCCTCCCTGATTGACTGACTGTTTGTCTACCCTAACGGATGATGTTGCAGGGATCCAATCTTCAATGATGCCCCGATCTAGACACAGACCCTCTGGGACATGCAACGTTGTTCACCTATGCGAGACCACAGACGGAAACCGACACTATACCTACGGAGAGAATGTGTGTAGGGCGTCAATGGATTGGTCACTGGCCGGAGAATATATGCAGCACAAATTCAAGAGGACGGCAGAGACAGAGACGCGAGTGAGGAGGCTAGATAGTCTGGATCCAAACGATCTACCACATATTCTACTGAGCTGAACAATCGCATCTACTGTAATAACAGTGATGCTACAGTGGTGTCTTCTACCCCCTTGTAGATGCCAACATCTCATCCATCATTCACCTTTCAAGACCGCCTCTTGATGGTCAGCCACGACGGTCACTTTACCCTCAGCCTCGTTCTCACTCGAAGGCGTGCTGCCGATATTGACCCCGACTGCCAACAGACGCTCGTCGAGCGCCCGCCGTCGCTCCTCGTCGAGATGGGACAGGTCGACGGCAACCTCGTCGCCGAACTTTGCGGCAATCTCTTCGAGCGAGAGGCCGTTCGTCTCGGGGAGGCGCCACAGGAACGGAAGGCAGGCTGCCGGCACGAGGATGAAGACGAGGTAGTATCTAGCGTATACCAGTCAGCAAGCACATTCACACAACCGCAATCGCAATGGGCGGAAAGAAAGGAGCGTAATAGAGAGAACATGACTCAGAGGAAGAGCCAAAAGGATAACACTCACTTCCATCCAATGTCGGCGAACGCGGTCGGCGCGACCTCGGTGTACAGCAGCGTCGAGGCGAAGAGCCCGGCGATCGAGGTGCCCAGTCCGTGGGCGCGCACACCAGTCGGGAAGATCTCGCTGCAGTACACGTAGCTGCTGGCGTCTTGGCTGCCGCCGTAGAACGTGACGAAGAGGAACAGGAACAAGACCCCCGCGGCGTTGCCGCCCTTGTTGTCGGTCCCCGCGTACGTGGCCACCATGGCCGTCTCGATGATCATCATGCAGATGCAGCCGCTCAGGCCGAAGGTGATGATAGGGATCCGGCCCAGGCGGTCAAGCAGCATGGCGTTGATCCAGTTCATGAACGCGGCCCACGACGTGTAGATGGCGTACAGGAGCAGCGGGAGCCATCCGTACAGACCGAGATTGTTGTACAGCAGCACTTGATAGTTGTTGATCACCAAGACGCCAGTCGACTGAGCAGCGCATCTGCACGAGAGCGTTGGTTAGGACAGAGGATATACAAAAATAAGGGGAGGAAGGGGAGAGGGGGATCGAAAACATACTGCACCAGGAGACCCGAGTATATCCGCTTGCGATACGAGGCGCGCTGGAGCATGCCCCAGATCCCGTGCACACCCGTCGCGTTCTCCAGCTCGATCTGCTTCGAGATCTGGTAGAACTCTTCCTTGGCCGCCAGCCCGGCGGGATCGTTTGGTCGCGAGTGCAGTTTTTGGAGGATCTCGAGCGCTTGGAGCTCCCGGTTCTTGGAAATGAGCCATCGAGGCGATTCAGGCAGCCACGGCGAGCCGATGAGGAGGACCAGGGGCGCGACAATCTGCAGACTGAGACATAGACGCCACTGGACTTGGGGCGCTGCGAAATAACAGCCCAGACCGGTAAATGCGGCGGCTCCCTGAAAGATTGGTTAGAGCTACAATCTGTGGCGAAAGGGTTACAGATGTAAACTCACGTAGCCGCAGACGACCAGAACGCCGTGTGAACCTTGGGTAAGTTGTCAGAACCCAGCTCAAAGGGAGATTACTGTCACGAGGGTTGATTACCTGTCATTCGACCTCTTTGTTTTGCAGGTGATAGCTCCGACTATAGCGCTTGTCAGTACAGTGGCACCTTTCAATTCACACGAATCGACTGACCATGTATGCAGGCACTGTGACTTGGATCATGCCAACACCAACGCCATTGAGGAAACGCCCAACGAGAAACATGGCAATATGAGCCGCCCCGCCTTGAATCGCAGCCGAGATAACGCAGATGGCGCAGACGATCTGAATAGATCTGCAACGGCCGAGTTTGTTGAGAATCCAGTTGACGATGAGAGCACCGATAATGCCACCCCCGGCGAATAGACCATTGGCAGCTAGTTCTCATTGTCAGGCATATACAAAAAAAAACCGCCAGTGAACCCCTTGCTTGCCACGTACCGCCTATCATATCATTTCCCTTGTTGGCGTTGGGCCCCGTGAGAGAAAGGTCAAAATAGTCCCAGAACGCGGGCAGACCAAAGACGGAGCCAATGATGGACGAGTTGTACCCATACGTAAAGGAACCCAGCGCGCTGAAGAAGACGACGGAGAAGTTGTACGTGTTGGCCTTTGCGGAGTGCGAGGCGTCAACCACGTCTCCCGCGTCATGCCTGAACAAGCCCATGTTGAAGAAACGAAACAGACCTTGGGACGATCAAGTCAGATCCAACAGATTGGGACCGAAAAAGGGCACAGAGGAACATGCCATGTCCGTCACCAGGGGTTTATATTCCTCATGCAAGTCCAACCACGATGCAGCCACGAGGCGAAAGTGGATGCCATCTTGGGGTCGAACTAGGGTCATCACTGGTGATGTACTTGGAGAGAGAGGGTGCTCGCTGCTCTGTAGGGCACCATGGTGTTGGAGAACACGGCACCATAGGCGGTGAGAATCCGACAATCGGCAGCGACGGCGTCCAGCCTGGTCGCCTCGGTATTATGGGTCGCTGTTGTGTTGAACCAAGGAAGATGAAGCATGTTGACACCATGTCTGGGAAATGGGTTCCGTGATAACCAAGTCCGAGAAACTCTGAGTTTGTGGGGAAATTTGATGTGACAAAATTTGGGGAATGGAGGGTTGGAGAGCCACTCTCTCCACGCTGGGGGAGACGTGGAGAGTCAGCATCATACAACTCAGAAAGCTGCCTATAAAGATCCACAGGGCACACACACCCTCGTGCGGTTCTCGTAGGCAGTCAGACGATCCTTCACTTAACCTCGGGTATCATGTTAGTCTGTCGGCATTTCTAACAGGAGGAACATTTTACAGGGTGCGAGATGCGCATAGTATCTTCGGTTTTTCAAACAGCGATGCCAGAACTATGCAGGATAGTGCTTACCAGACTAAGTCTCTTGAGACTATAGTTGCAGAGGTCGTCTCGACTATACGAATCGTTGTGGGTCCACATTGAGATTACACTATTTCCATTGGTCGGAATGAGAGTCTTCCGCACTAGAGACTTTTAGTTAGACTACCACAACCTAAAGCTTGCTTTTTACTGGCTCCTCCGGCTATTTAGAGCCCTTGACTATCGCAGAAATAGTTAGCGACTCTTATTGCACTTATAGTGGATTGTTAGTCAGGGCTCACATGGAGACTATTCTCGGGACTACACTTGTGGTCCTGGCAGCTTATATATGACCTGATCAAGTAGTCGGCATCCATATCCACTGGGGCTCATCGTAGGGCATTCCGGGGTTCGTCCTGCCGGACCAGTTCGTTGGGATCATCGGTACCAGAGCATTGGGACGGCTGGTTTGTTCTTAGCAGGAACATACCCGACACAGAGGATGATGTTAGACAAGAGCTGCAGCTGAAGAGCCTTGTACGGTGCCTCTGGAATGGTCCTTGCTGTATGAGTCGCACCACAGTCTTGCCGATACGTTGCCTTCCTAGATCAACGAGTTCGAGGGATGTCCTGTACAAGTATACCCAGTGCACCAGAATGTAGAAGGGAACCGAAGCCATGATCGAGGGCTCACTGTGCTTTCCCCACTTGTTGTGAGAAGCCCCGCTATCCTCGAGCCGTTACCGTAGCTCTAGTTGTAGGCAGGTAGTCGTTTGAAGAAGGCTAAGAGGGGCCAACCTATGCTTATACACCGAGACAGAGGCGGTATCGGAGGAACAGTCTGGCTCATCGGCAAGGGAGCCCTGCTAAGGCGGAGAGCAGGCGACGGGGCAGTAGTTGGAGACGTGCATGAAAATGTGCTTGGCCAAGCCCAAGATGTAAAGATGTGACACTGGGTCAAGATACGCGACCTTGCAGGCGAGGTTCATTGTTCTGTTCTCACGCATCAAGTCCAGACCCATCTATTTAGCGAAAGGGGCAAGTTCCCCAGACCGTGACATCCATTCTCGGAAATCGTGGGGAAGGCCAAACTCCGAGGGCATTCGCCCTGCCCCCGCTACAATAAGTGCGACACGTCCTGACGTGGGCGACGGTATTGTAAGGAACCCGAAGCATCAACAGACGCAGGCGCAAAGCAGTACCCTCACAGCGTCATTATAATTGTAGACCGTCGCAGTGTGCAGTCAAAGCGTCTATTTCATTCTTCTGTCGACATGTCCAACTCCAGTCTATTTCTCGCGGATCTCGTTATCAACATGTCCGTTCCGGGATATCTCTTCCTGCGAACTCGATCCCTCAAATGCAATCTCGATATCGTTAATGCCCGGGTCGTTGATTGCACGTGCAACCACTTCACCCTTGACCTCGTTGACCACGGTCGGTTCCGTTCCCTCCTGCCGACGGTGCATCGGGATCAAAGCGTCATACCAGCGTGGGAAAAACAGACCGAGGAGAATTGCAAGCATGCATAGATGTGCGAGGATGAAGCCTGAAATCATCAACGGGTCGTACCGCAAGGTGTGAAATTCCGGGTAAGCGAAGCTGAAGACAATGGCTAAGATCGGACCGCTGACATATCGCAACAGTATGGGGAACGCGGCGGGGATATTCCAGTTCTTCCCGTGACCGACGATGACATTGAGATCTCGTCGCAGTTGGTTTCCCTACACATCAACGGTAAGCTTGCTGCAACAGAAGAAAACCAGGCACAGTGTCAGCGTTTTTGAGAGTATCTTACCGAGTAGAACGCGAGGTACCATAGCCGGCTCGAATATACATTTCGACCCCAGAAACGCGGCGCCCTCACAGTTGGAGTTGCTGAAATAATGACCGAGATCGTTGTCATCAAGACATACAGTCCAAAACCTGCACCAGCTCCGGCAGCTGGATTTTCTGCACCATGTGCGACTGCAACCCCGACAATTTGTCCACCGAAATATCCCACGTTGTATGTGATGAGGGCAGGCATGCCCGTCTGGCTAACCACGTCCGACCAGCGGTAGACAGTCGTGGCACTCACCACCTCGGACCAGACCACAAAGATCAGGGCCACATTGTTGATCCAACGATCGATACCGTCGAGAAGGTAGTAGCCGAACTCGGTGCAATACGGCAGACACAGGAGAAACGACAACAAAGTGAGTGCCGTGACGATGACTGGACGGGAGAACTGGATGCCGGCATCGACAAGCATGGTAGCCACGGCGTCAAGCATGACAAATGCCGACGAAAACCCGAGAACCACCAGAGTGAAAAAGAGTAGCACGGCCCAGAAATTCGCTCCAGGCATCTGAATGACAGCCTCGGGCAGTGTGAGAAAGCCCACGACGAAGGCTCCCAGTCTGACACCATCTTCCGGCCACAGACGCATGTAACCGACAATGCCAAAGATGGCCAGCGCGGCGAAATTTTCGAACAAGACGTTGCTACCGCAGATGAGGAAGGCGTCCATCACAGCATTGGAATGTTTTGCGTTGTAGGAGGCGTACGAGGTGAAGTAGCCGAAGCCTACCCCGGTCGAGAAAAAGACTTGTCCGACGGCGGTCTGCCAGATGGTGCCAGACCCGAGTTGTCCGCCCCGCCAGGTCGCCCAGAGCAGTCGAACCCCGGCGCCAGCGTTGTCGAGAGATAATGACCGACCAACAAAGATGATGGTGGTGATGATCGGCAGACCCATGGTGAAGTAGACAACTCGACCAGTCAGACCTACTCCGCGAAAGATGGAAATCCAGACCAGGAACCAGATAAAGGCACTCCACCCTACGGTCTCTCCGATCAGACCGATGCCCGGGTAATCCGTGTACGCGACCACGTTGTCGTTGCCGTTGCTAAGACTGCCAAGGATAGGATCAACATTATTGACGACATCTCCCATGTAGAATTCCTCGATCCGCCCTTCCCAGGGTAACGGACTCGTGAAAGAGTGGCGGAAATAGCTCATAATCCAGGCCAGGTTCACGGTGAAGTAGTGAACCACGATGAAGCTGACAAAGATTGGCCCGACACCAACACCCTTCAGGCGCCGGTTGATGTTGTTGAACGCGATCACGCTGCCTCCTCGGTAGGCCTGGCCGATGGAGATCTCAAGGATAAGCGCGGGGATAGCCACAATAAAGACGGCCATTAGATACGGGATGAACCATTGCAAGCCGTAGTTGTTGTACACCACGGACGGATACCGCAACAGGTTTCCCTGCCCTGCGCAACCGCCCATGGAGGCTAGCAGGAAGGCCGTCCGCGAGGGCCATTGGTCTCGCCCATCCTCCGACTTCTGGGGCGGAGGGGCGAAGATATCGGCGGCCTTCTTGAGGTATCGGACGAACACCATGGTAGATGGAACGTCACTTGTCGGCAGTAGAACTGATGCGCGAAGCACCCTGGCATTTTTAGGGTGTCCACCTCCTATATATACCCTCGTACCCGATCGCAGTAAAGAAAGCGGACCATCCCACGCATATCCACGAGGGTGGGAAGGAGATCCGGTTCTGGTGACGAACGACAATGGGTGAAATTGACGGATCGAATTGCGTGACCTGGACTATGAGGTTGCCAAGCAATCGATGTCGTTGTCCAAGACCTCTCGAAGGCGCTTGGTGGCATATACATACCTTGTCTAGAAGGTATGGCGCCACGGATCCACCGCAGCAGACTGCGTGTCTGGAGGTCGCGAAGTTGTGCAGCATAGTGATTTGATTTCTCCATCAGAAGAACCCGTCGAGTCGGTCAAGCGTGCCGAGGTCCCTGATCTTCACGATCCAAACGCACACTTGGCAACATCTCGACAAGAAATGTGAGAACAAGAAGCCTGGTTCCTGGCAAAGTGTACAGACTTCTACTTCCCGTTTGCGTCAGACAAATCTGGAGGAGGACAACTTTCGCCAAGGCCGTGACGATCGCCAAGGCTTCCGCTCCACCAAGAGCCTTGGCATTCCGCATAACTGCACTCTCTCGGAATCTTGGACGAAATCTTCCTTGTAAGTTGGAGGTTGGCCCGCCTAAGCTTGACCAGATAGAACTTTTGTCCAAGGCGGATAACGTCACAAAGGCCCGTCTTAGGCTGCGCTGGCCTACGCCTAATTTCTTACTCTTCTTTTCATTCAACGAACTTGTCCCGCGCAACAAGGCATGGCTCCGCAGCGGCTGCTCATGCTTGTCTAAGTTTTCTGCTGGGTAGGATTCCGGGTAATCACTTGCCACATGTACTAGACATGGGTTTCATTGCATTACGATATTATTTCAGAATATGCTACGTACAGCTTGAAATTTTCCCCCGGTATCTCCATAATTGGTTGTAGGAACGCTCAGAGATCATAGAGAGGTCAAGATTCGCCGAGTACGTATTCAGCGGCATGCCGCCCTCAACTCATGTGTCATGTGACCAGACTCAACTTCGGCTCCGTTTCAAGTCGTCGTGATCAGTCCTCGTAGTCTTTGGATACTTTGCGCTATAATTCGTGTCTCTCTCCAAGGATGTGGAAAGCTTACACGACCACTTCCGAGGGAGGGTTCCGAAATCTTTGTGAAGACGGCGGATGCAAACTCTTGTACCATATGCCCTCCGTGGAAGATTAGGCCCGTGCTCCATGTTGCATTCGCCTAGATTCCGTAGTCATTTTAGCCGCCGCGATGAAGACGAGGAAACAAATGGTTGCCCCACTGTAAAAATGGCTACTCACCTGATTCCTCAAGCCGTGTTATAAAATCGCCTCCATATGCCATCCATCACCTCGCATATGCAGGTCTTCGGAACTGGATCGCTTTCTTTGCTGTCCCTCTGGAGAGCCTTCAGTTCGGACGAGAGCCACTTCGACAGCAGCTTCAGCTCCAGCTCCCCATCAACCTCCAAATTCGGATTCGCCTCCAAGGCGGTCTCTTCACAGACGCGGTAGTTTGGAATGGCTGAGGATTTCAGTGGGATAGTCCAGTGTCGCCAGTGCCTGGTGTTGCCCTGTCCACATTGGCAATTTGCGATCGAGTCTACCCCTGGCAAGGACGACGCGAGAGCTTTGCATGACGGGTACCACCTCACACCAGTTATGGCATTGACCGTCCAGTGTATCGTCTCCTTAGAGTCACCTGTGTTGGCATTTGGTTCTTTGATGTTATCGAAGGTTGTTGTTGTCCAGAAATGCCGACGTGATGTCCGGTGTTTCGTTCCTGCTAGGCGAAATTTCGCTTTCATCGAGTCGGACCCAATGACCTGGGGACGTACTATTGTAACTTAATTGTCAGCCACTGGGGACTCCACAGTAGGACTAAAAAGGAGATGCTTGTGGCCCTTGCAAATGGGGAGGACGATTCGAAGATAGGAGTCATCTCACCGACGATTGAGTCACCACTGTCAGGTTCTCCATGGAGTATCCAGCTTGATTTCGTTGGGGGAGGGTTAGAAAACTCGTCGACGTCAAACTCCAGAAAAGCCTGAAGCCTTGCGATTATCCACGCCAGTGAAATATGACTGAGGCCCTGGAACTCACGTCCGCCACCAATATCGCTGTGGTATCCTACAAACCAACACTGTCGTAAAGTTCGAGTCTGGTTTATAAGAGTTCCTGCGGTATCAGATGTCCTCCAGACAATCGGCAGAAAAGGCCTACGACGTTCGTGGAGGGAAAGTGCGTGTATCGCATGTTGGATTCCGTCATCCAGCCCCGAGTTGACAAAGGCGAAGTCGCCGGGAACGCGTATCTGCTGAATTCCAAGAAGGGGTGTGTCGACTGCCGCAACTGTATCCCAGAGCGGGCAGACCTTGATAGGAACCTCGCGAATTAGGTACGTGCTGTGTTGCAACAAAAATGTGAAAAGCGCGTCCTTGTTTTTTCGATCCTCATCACTCAGGCTTGGAACAACTTCTGGGACAGCAACTTGCCCATCATCAGTAGTGGGAGTATCTGCAATGTCAACTTGCCTTGGGTCAGGATCATATCGTTGGTATTGGCCGTCCTTGCGTGCTTTCCACTGTTCAAAGACGAGGTCCACAAGATGGTCGGCAAGACGATTGGAAGCTTTTGTGAGCACCCCGATTCTGCCGACCATGTCAGCCACACATCTCATAACAAATGCGCCCCTAGAGAATCCCAGTAGGATTATCTGATCGCCGTCGTCGTGGCTATAGTTGTCGTGAATGGCGATGTAACCTGCTTTGATACTTGTCTCGATACCTATATGTCACAAATTAGAAGGTATTCGGGTCCCAGAATCCCGACACAGAAACTGCATCGGAGCCATCGATATCACTATGGCTTATTGGTCAGGATGCCCCACCTTTGGCATTGGCCTGGTGCAGTTTATCCGTGTGGAAACCTTCTGTGCCAATACCTGGGATATAGAAAGATGACTGACTGGTGTTACCGCTCGTCCTGATCGACATGTAACTCTTGATGCGTGATACGTTTGTTAATCGATTCTCAGGGTTGTATTCTGATTGACCAGTCCCGTCACAGAAGAGAACGATCCTCCTGGGTTGTTGAGACATGGTGTTTGAGTCACTTGCTCCGTCCAAAGGTAAATGGAGAGAAGATTGTATGTATTGCACGACGCGATATAAGTCACCATTCCCCCTGAAAGGGAAAATCAGCCACCCACTTTTGGGACGTGGGGTTTCAAACGTGCTTCTGCTGCGGTTTCAGCCATTCACATGGGTTGCTGCAGCCCAACGTTCGTCTTCCAGCTTTCAGCCTGACTGCCGGGCGCAGGCTCGAGCGGGTCGGCGGACAACCCATGGTGGACCATAGCAGTCGGACAATGGAGACCAGGGTAGTCAGGGTACGAGAAATGTGATCTTCTAGGGCGCTGTTGACTGTGTCTCAGCCTCATTTAGATGCAACCTAGCCATGACTGGGTTGAGAGAACGGGCGAGCCGGGGTCAGCTTGTTCCAATTTGCTGGTGCGATATATGTGTCGCTTCGCTGCTCGCAGCTGCATTAGGCCACGGATGATGTACTTTGATCCGGTGCTCGCATCAGAGAAACTTACGAAATAATTTATATTTCAGGATGTTGGCTGTTCACACTATAAGTTTCCCAAGATAGTTCCTGCCAATGGTAAGTGTGCACGGCTGTGGTAGGGTGGCAGTAGGCGCTGCATGGCTGGCTTGGGGTTGGCGCTTTTGCTCGGCTAGTCCCGGAGTTAAGCCTGGCCTTTTTGGCACCTTTCCGTGTCAGGGCTGGGCTGCCTAGTTGTGCTACCGGACTTTGGTTTCCTCGTGTCTCTTCGAACGGATGACGAGAAAGGTGGAACTCAAAGGGCAACATGTCCGACAGATGTCATCCATCAACATCACCAGCCTCAAGAAAAACCATCTGGCGAATACTGCAAACTACCCCTCAGCCCATACCATCCGGTTATACCAGACTTATCGAAATGGCAGAAGTGCAAAGCGCACAGCTTTACACTCATAGCAATGCTTTTTTACATTCAGAAGAAGGCTGCTACCGATTGTTCGGAGAGCCGGATGCTGCTGACCTGAGGTACGTCTCACCGTGAACAGCGAAATGACTATAGTGGCGGCATAGGCTTCTTCATTATACAGTCATTATACCAATTCCATATCTCAGGCTAACAATATCAGGTTCGTAGTACTACACGACTATGTCCTCTCGGTTACTCCGTTCCAACCAAAGATACTGAAGCAGAACCCGGTGACATCTTTCATTCAACTTTCGGCAGCGAAGGCTCGGTTGCAGCGACAGTCTGGAATCCAGGACTTTCAGGAACTCTCTCGGTCCCTCACCGATAAGATACCTAATAGTGGTGGCATCGTATTTAGGTATATCAACCCATCTATCAGCTCAATGCACAGGATCCTCTCCCGGACTGAACTCGATAATCACACCAACCGGCTTTTAGATTTCCTAGGCCGAGGGGAACTCGATTCAAAGCATGAGATACTTGTCGGGCACGGTTATGGAGGCTTGATTTGTGAACAGGCCTATATGCGGCTATAAACCAACTCGGCGGACCTGAACTTGGCCCGGGCGAAGAAACGATTGCGCGGGATGCTACTTTGCAACACACCACATTTCCGAGCCGGGTTGGCGCAGTGGACCTTTTTGACTGCGAAAGAACTCAATCCCACCACGGCGAGGAGCAGGGAGGATCAAGATTGGTCAGGATGCTTGGATGATTTCATCAGAATATCCAGGATGCAGGCACAATTAGCCGACATCGTTGAGAAATCAGACAGCCAGATCAGACTTGCCTGCTGTTTTGCAAAGCAACCTGACCCGGTGACAAAACTCGTGAGTTGTTTCTTTGCATCATGTCTTGTCTGTCGTAATTCGTGACAAGTCTGACTTGCAATAGTTCCTGTCTCCAGAGTTTTGCTGCCTTCCTTCTGTCGAAGCGATCGAAATCCATAACTCGAGCCATTTTTGTGTCAACACAGCACAAGAGGATCTTACGTACATCATCGAAAGACTCGCAGACTGGGCCAAAGCAATACAAGAGGGGCAAAAGCTCACCTATGATCTACTCTCGCTGCGATCCCTGGCTGGTTCGTCGCGGTCCAACGATCCAGCGTGGCAGTGGGACCCACAGTCGGCCAAAAAAATACTGGATCATGAGCTGGAAGGGCAAATCGAATATGTCTGCTGTGAGCGTGGCGCTGGGCGACATCATCAAGGAGATGTCCTCACCGAGTTCGACAACCCGACCGATCGCAACGCTAGATGATGTCGTGCCTTTTCAGTAAAAAGAATTAATTGACTTTGGGGTGTCGCGCATCATCAAGAATGACTTCAAGTACTGGCAGTCTCTTCTCAGCCCTGATATTGAGGGCGCGGGCTACAAGATCGTGGTCAGGGAGGAGTGGTCGACAGACCGCACAGTCGAGTACTTGAAGGCTGCTCTGCAGTTACAGGCTGTGAGAGAAAGCCTCAAGGTTGGGGAGCCCAGATTCTACATCGTAACCGGGGTGATCTATGGCAGCAAAGAAGCGGACGGCGATACGAGCGAGCGGTCAGCGGTTTTGGGATACCAATGCCAGAAAGCTTCGGTGGTGCTTCTGACGGCGGCACCACCGAACAGCACAAGGCTTGTCATTGAGCAGGTTGAGGTACGCTTAACCATTAAAACCTTGGACCAACCAACCATGACGGTTGCACCGATACCAGAGGTCGAGGCTGAGTCGTCAGGAGTTCGGTTTATTGGAGAGGAATCCGAAGCCCAGAGACTAGAAGATCAAAAAACTAAAGAAAATATTCTGAGACGTCGCATCAACAGGCTAGTTACATGGTTGCCTCATCGAGCTTGAAATGCTGCATCATTGCTGCATCATGGACAGGCGCAGACTGGCTGAAATATCAGGATCTGCGTAGCGGAAACATGAAGAAAGTAGGCCATGGTGAGTGTGACGAGACACCTCCTGGAGACTGTGGGTTTGAAGAGTCACTCTCTAGAAGTGGCAAAGGCAATGATATGTGCGTACAATGTGCGATCAGACGCTTCTCAGAAGACGGACTCGCTTCAGATTACATTGAAGACTTGGGAAGGGAGCAGACGCCTGTTCGGACTCGCTGAAAGGCTCCTTTCGTCAGGTGAGGGTGAGGGTCGGTCTACGTGCCTGGGTCTTCGCAAGCTGAAAACTACAGAGTGACGGTGTTGTTGTTGAACACCCTCAGGAACCACCAAGGGGGCGCATAGCCACAGCTCAAGATCGCCCAGTCAGGATTCAGGCAAAGCAGCAACGTGCTAAGGCCTGAAGATGGATATGGATCTTGGAGAGGTCAAGATTCGCTGCTGACTATTGTGGTACAGAGCTAACTTCCTGGTATTTCTATGTATATCTCTACATCCCACAGAACAGCCATCTTGTTGTCCGCCGTGGCAGCGCGATGGAAGCCTGCGGTCTGGATGCGTTCTCAAATGCGACTTTCGTGGGCCTGAAAGACCTCGTTTGATTCCTCCCAAGATCTTTGGAATTTGCTACTTTAAGTACTCGCCAATCGCACCCGGCCTGTTTGAATGTGTGCAGTCGAGACGCCGGTGTCTCTCAGATATACATTGATAACCTACACTGCATGACGTCCAGCCACCATTCTCGGTCAACCCTCGCTTGTGGCGCCATCGAAGTCACCGTTTGACCCGATTGACTCCGTCTTCACTGGTCGGGCTGAAGTGTTTTCTCTTCTTTTCAATGCCAAGGTAGAGTTGTCGGGCACCAGGTTTCGTGAAGCCGAGAATATTTCATATCTTTCACTCCATCCAGGCGCTGGTTTTTGGCGTACGATTGCTCTGCTTCCTGACACGTCGTTTTCAATCTCACATCTCATCCCTCCATGTCAGACCTCCGCCGATGTGGTGAATGATCACCCGTTCTTCCTAAGCCTCGTCAGACCATGTTTGGCGCGGTGTATCGCTACCGACTCCATCTCGAAGCTATGTTTCCTTCCCAAGCGCCTGTGCAAGTTCACTAGCTGACATGAATCCCTTGGACCAGCACTTGTCGATAATGTCACCGAGCCATATGCCGCCAGTTCGTGGAAGGGTTTCCCGTGAGGGCCAGACAGTCGGATCCCCGACCTGCGTCCATTCCTGATAGATATCAAAGGCGCAATCTTTGCCGGAGATGATCTGAAACATGACCGCACCGAAGTGTGCAATGTCTGTCAGAATGGAGAAACCGGCGTCATCGCTCCCGACAAAGTCCCATTCGAGCGGCATCAGAGTACACTCGGAAAAATCGAGGAGCTTGATCCTCATTTGATCATCGTATACAACGTTGTCGAGTCGGAAATCTCCGATAATGACACGGCAGGAATGGATATAGGCCATCGTCTGTGCGAGCTGGGTCATCCAGGAGAGTTACGTCGCTCGATCTGGTCGACTTTTGGCCAAATATTGAGTCATCAAGGGCATTTGGATCGAAGGGTCGTCGGAGACGAGGTTGTAGCAGTGAATGATTCCCGGATAAACTCCAAGCCTTCTATAGATGGCCTTTTCTCGTTCAAACCCTCGGATGGCGGCGACGCGCTCGTCATAATCGCCTTCCTCAGGAGTTAACCTCCCATTGTTATACGGCACCCCGTCTATCTCGATAATCTTTGATATCCGGGGGATTTTGACGGCATAACCTCCTCGATTGACGACAATGCCTGCTCCATCAGCTCCTATGATATACTCTCGCACAACTGTGCCGTCGAGGTAGAGGTAGTTGGCGATGATTGATGTCATGTCGACGCTGGAGGGGACCAGACACTGTAGCGAGTCGATATGATAATATCGTACTGGTTTTGTCACGATGTCGGTTCGTCTAAAGCGCGTTCAATGTGACACAGAGACTTGGACTTTGTTACCTCTGTTTCGGTGACGGGATTGTTCCAGGGCGGTGAATATGAGTTGGGTGAAGCGATCCGTCTTCGTGGTGACCTTGAGGAACTGAATCACAAGCTGACTGTGTGAAGCTCACAGGTACGCATTTTACGCCCCAGGAATCTGTGCAGTACTTACTCCCTTGCTCCCACGAGCCCATAGGGCTGACCTGGTTACACAAGGCTGACATGGTGGGGGAGAGTACAAGCCTCGTACTCGTACACACATGGAAAATTAACCCATGGCTGAATAAGTTTAGTTCCCTAGGGTCTATTCCGAGTCCCTTTGAAAATCACCTATGCCCGGAGCCTTACATTCGAGAGATATCGACAAGTACTTGTACAGCCACTCTCCAGAAGAACCAAACCCACACGTCATCTCCCGCCGGGTGAAGGTCGGCTGTCAACTCGGCAATTGTCATTTCGGGGGGGCATGGACATCTCCACATTCTCGATTGTTTCCTCCACTTTCCTCTTTGTGGAGGGTTCGTCATCTTGTTCCTCGTCAATCTGTCTAGTCGTCAACTTCTTATTTCCTTGGCCAGGACTTCTCATACTCAATTACTGACAGGGAGATCCGGCAAAGGTGCGACAAGCCGTCGGATGTTTCCGATCTCCGCGACTTGTCGTCAAGTGACAAAGGGAGCCGCACTCAACCCGATCGGGATTGTCTTTACCCGCCAATATCGCTCTGTGGGGAACCTTATTCTATAATTGCCTCATTCACCCCCATGCGAAGGAAAAGAATATAAAGAAAGGGCACAGAGGGACTGGGACTGAGTTGTAGGGAAAAGAAAAGACAAGGGACCATCAGTCAGCAGCCTGTCACAATGCATCCAGACGTCGCGTCACTCAAAATATGCGTCATTGGAGCCGGCATGGGCGGCTTAACGTGCGCCCTCGCCCTCGCTCGTGCCGGATTCAAGGATATCACCGTGTATGAGATGGCGTCGAATCTCGGCTTTGTCGGTGCTGGCATACAAATGGCGCCCAATATGGCTCGTATCCTTGACCGGCTCGGTGTGTGGGACGACATCGAGAAAGAGGCGGTTGTTCTCAACGAGACGAGCATTCGACAGGGCTCAACCGATACCGAGCTCGGCCATGTCGACCTAAAGTACATCCGTGAGGCATACGGCTTCCCACACACGGTTGGCCATCGGGCAACGCTGGCGGGCGAGCTCTACAACGGCTGCAAAAGAGAGTCGGATAGCATCAAATTCTGCTTTGCGACGACATGTGAGAACTTCACGTTTGTGCCCAAGCCAAGCTTCACGGCCATCCCGCGAAAAGACGCAGAACCGTACCAAGTACAATGCGATATCCTCCTGGGGGCAGACGGCATCAAGTCCAACGCGCGTGTCGCTATGCTCAAGGAGCTCAACGTCGAAGCTGATATCAACGATACCGGCCAGGCGGCGTACCGAATCATGCTCAGCCGGGAACAGATGGCGTCTGATCCGGACTTGCTGGCCCTGATCGACGCCGACAAGGTGACGCGCTGGATCGGCGAGAAGAGACACATTATAGCGTACCCAGTGTCGAGCAAACAGATATACAACATCTCGACGACACAGCCAGACGTCAACTTCGCGGCCGCTCCCTCGGCGACGTACACGACCCGAGGCTCGAAAAAGGCCATGCTGGACGTCTTCGCCGACTTTTGCCCCATGATCCATCGCATGCTCGACCTGGTGCCCGAGGGCGAGGTGTGCGAGTGGAAACTGCGCGTCCATGCGCCTCTCCCCACGTGGGTCCTGGGCTCAATGGCCCTGGTCGGCGACGCGTGCCACCCAACCTTACCGCACCTCGCGCAGGGTGCCGCGCAGGCCATCGAAGACGCTGCGGTCCTCGCGGTAGTCCTCTCTCACCTCCCCTCCGGCGCTTCTCCTGCAGATATCAACAAAGCCCTCAAGCTGTACGAGGAGGTGCGCAAAGAGCGCGCCGAGACGCTGGTCGAGCTGGCCGCCGCGAGTGGGCGGGCACTGCATTTGGGCGAGGGAGCAGCCAAGGAAGAGCGCGATAAGCAGTTTGCAGCCCTCAAGGCGGGAAAGGGACCCGTGCCGGATAAATGGGCTGATGCCGACGTGCAGAAGATGGTCTATGGTTTTGACTGTATGAAGGTGGCGGAGGAACTGGCCAAGGCGCAGTTGAGCAGCGCGTGAAATGGACACATCGACGAGGCAGGTTGGACGCTCCAATAAGGAGAAGAAGAAATAAGACAACAGAGCGCTTTTTTTTTTGCCCCAGTCAACCTTGGCTGCGGTCCGTATCTCATCACCTTGATATGTACATGGTAGATTAACAGTGAGCGCGATCATCCCGTATTCTTTGGCTGACTTCCGTTGTACCGGTATACTGTGGTGTTGACACTACGATCCTGTCACCAACGAAGCTTTGTCTATCTTCGAACTCTGGCTTGCGATACTCGATGAGATCCACACGGATTAGAGAGGATTCGGAAGACTCCTGTTCTCTGATCCGCATACGCAGCATGGAGTTGACCATAAAAAGATAGTGGGAGTGAGAAAGGGGGAGGTCATTCATTCATTTTTCGTACACATAAAAACCGAATATTTCCTTTTATCATACTCTCTCACTTCTTCCACCACTCTCTACCACTCGCTCGAAGCATCGTGGAGTTATCAATCCCGTCCGCATCCACCTCACCCAACCTCTCCCTGCCTCAATCTCACTCTCTCTTACTGCTTCTCCGCCACTGAAATCCTGCCTTGGTCATCATAGACAATCTCGCGCATCTTGACGCTGCGGAGGTGGTCGACGCCCTTGCTGAGCTCGCAGTCGTGGTAGAAGAGGTACCACTTGCCCCGAAACTCGACGATGCTGTGGTGCGTGGTCCACCCCAAGACGGGCTCCAGGATGCGTCCCGCGTAGGTGAAGGGGCCGAGTGGGTGGTCCCCGATCGCGTACACCAGGTAGTGCGTGTCGCCCGTCGAGTAGCTCAGGTAGTACTTGCCGCGGTACTTGTGCATCCAGGCGGCTTCGAAGAAGCGGCGGTCGTGGTCGTCGGCCGCGAGCAGGGCGCCCGTGTCTGGGTCGCGGATCTCGAGCTGATGCACGCTGGAGGCGAAGCTGTGCATGTCGTCGCTCAGCTTGGCGGCGCGGGGCAGCAGCGCCGCCACGTCGTGGCCCTGCGGCTCCTTGGGGCCGGACATGGAGGCGTCGAATTTGCCTTCCTCGGACCAGCACTGCAGTTGGCCGCCCCAGATGCCGCCAAAGTACAGGTACGCCTGCCCGTCGTCGTCTACGAAGCTGGCCGGGTCGATGCTGTAGCTGCCCGGAATGGGCTCTGGGTCGGGCGTGAAAGGCCCCGCCGGTGAGTCGCTGACGGCCACCCCAATGCGGAAGATGCCCTCCTTGTCCCGTGCTGGGAAGTAAAGATAGTATTTGCCGTTCTTGGTCGCCGCGTCCGGCGCCCACAGCTGCTTCGACACCCAGGGGATGTCTTCGGCTTTGAGCGCCACGCCGTGGTCCGTCACGGGCCCGCCCACTTCCGAGAGCGACAGGACGTGGTAGTCGGCCATGTCGTACTGGTCGCCATTGTCATTGAATTTGATATCTGTTTCGCGGTCCTATAAGACGAGGGAATGGTGTTAGTTATGGGGCAGAGAAGGGAAAAGGGAGAACGGAGTCCGGCTGGCAGAGATAGAGTCGCGGTCATTGGAGACACCAAAGTCACCGCGATACATGCTCTTCTGCATCGGCCGTCTAATCTGGCACACTCCCTCCCCATCATCCGTAGCAAGCGACTTACATGAGATGGATAAACGTAGATCTTGCCCTCAAAGACATGCGCTGACGGATCCGCCGTGTATATATGCGTGACTAGTGGTTGTGGCCCCATGACTCTGGTACTTCCTTCTCTCTTGTGACGGATCAATGCTGGTGTTCTTCCTGATTCAGTCCTTTCTGATGGTTCCAGCTGAGAGACACCAAGAAAGATGCTCTGCTTTACGTCTCTTCTCCATCTTATATATCTGCCTTCCCAACGGCTCCATTACTTGAATTTCCCCTACCAAAGAGGATTAGTGTTGGTAGCATTTAGCCAGATTTATCCGAACGGGAGCTCGAGGGGCACAGGGCGCGTGCTATGATGTAGTATTTCCCGAAGAGCTGCCGAAGGGCGTGATTGACCCCTCGATTTCTGGAGCGGAGAGATTTGGCTCTGTCATTTGCTCGTCCGACCAGGGTTTCCGTATAGCTGTTGGTGGGAGCTTTTCAGACGCTATCTGTCTCGTAGATCTGAAGAGAGAGACAGGTAAGTAAGACTGTTAACATTAGCGCTCATTGTAACTTCAGCTTTCAAAGGAATTTTTGGGTCTTGAGCTCGCATTTCAAGCGGGGAGAAAGAGCGTGGAAGAGTTTTCAGGTGGTATTGGCCCCCCTGACAGACGGTAGCCTCGTCAAGCTATACATGCCATAGATTAAGGGCAACATAACCAAGATGCGCACGGTCTTTCGGAATGCCAGGGTCTTCACTGGCTCGCAGGATGCATTGTCGTACGGCATGCACACATGCATCATGATCAATGGCGACAGCATCGAATATGTGGGCGATGGATCCGATGCTGCTGTGCATGCGGCAACGAGTGAAGGAGCCAAAGTGGTCGACCTTGACAACAAACACACTCTAGCGCCTGGCTTTATTGACGGCCACATGCACCTCCTGATGTTCGGCACTTCGTTGCAGAAGATCAGCCTGGAACATTGTCGGACGCTGGCGGATATACAATCCACGATCCGAGACGCTGCGAGGGATGATCCTTCGAAACGTCGCATACTCTGTCGTGGCTGGATGCATTTCATGACCGAGGGACGCGCGTTGGCAAAGGACTTGGACGAGCTTGATGAGCAGGGCAGAGCTATCTTTATCGACTCGAAGGACTTGCACTCCACGTGGTGCAATTCTGCCGCCCTCAAGGAGATGGGCGTGCAGAATATGCCAGATCCGCCTGGCGGAGAGATCAAACGGGACGAGCAGGGCAATGTCACCGGGCTACTGAGTGAGGCCGCCGCCATCACGATTGTGTGGCCGCATCTCGCAAAGGTGGCCTCGATGGAGGAGAAACTCTCGGCGATTCGTCAAGCAATCAAGACTTACAACTCCTGCGGATATACGGGGATGGTAGAAATGGCCATGGATGAGAATGCATGGGAGGCTCTGCTTGAGTTACGGGCCACCGAGGAACTGTCCATTCGCGTGGCTGCGCACTGGCTGATTTATCCGTCCAAGACAGACGAGGAGAATCTGCGCCAGGTTGATCGCGCCATTGAATTGTGGAAGCAATATAACCTGCAGACATCGCCGAATTTCCGCATCGCGGGCATCAAAGTCATCGGTGATGGGGTGATTGATGCGTGCACGGCGGCGCTATTGGAACCATATTCATCAAATGGTGTCTCGTGCGATCCATTGTGGGATCCTGACATGCTCAGGAAGGTCGTTGAACGCGCCGACGCTGCGGGTCTGCAGTGCGCTTTGCACGCCATTGGAGACGCGACAATCAAGATGGCCATAGACACCCTCGAGACCGTCGCTTCGAGCGGGCGACGCCATCGCATCGAGCACTTGGAGCTGACATCCCCGGGGGATGCCAAACGGCTGAGCGAGGCTGGGATCACCGCGTCAATTCAAGCCGTGCACGCCGATCCCGCCATTCTGCGGCAGTGGAACAATTTACTCGGCGAGCAGCGACGTGGTCGTGCCTTTGCGTATCGAGAGTTCCTCGACGAGGGCGTGAATCTCGCGCTGGGCACCGACGCTCCCACGGCCCCCAACCTACCTCTGCCCAATCTCTACGTCGCCACAACCCGGCGGTCGGCGAGGGAACCGGAATCGCAAGAGGTGGTCAACAAGCATTTTGCGCTGCCGCTGTTGAATGCCTTCTCGGCGGCTACGCAGGGAGCGGCGTACAGCTGCTTCATGGACCAGATTACCGGGAGGTTGGAGGTCGGCATGAAGGCCGACTTCGTAGTCTTGGATATGGAATGGTCACCAGAGACTCTGCTGCAGGCAAAGGTCCTCCAGACCTGGTTCGATGGACAACAGGTATATATTGCTCAATGAACATAGACATCAGTGTTACATGGTCGCAGTATCAGTGTAGTCATTCTTCACGACGAAGATGAAGACACACCCGCCACCTTCTCTTTGCTGTCTTCTGCCAAACCTGCAACAGTATCATTCGTGCCTTCACCACCCTCTTTGGCCGCATTAGTGGCTTGCTTGCTGTGTTCCTCAACTGACTTTGCTACATCGCCGCCAATCTCCTTGGTCTTGTCTGTAGCTTCCTCCAAACGCTCTTTCTGGGCTTCTTTGGCATCTGGTGCGGTCACAGATTGATTAGTGATTGTCTGTGGACTGGGTCGGAGGGAATGCTCACCTTGGCTGCCCTGCTTGCTACCGCCTGAAAACATGTCGCCTATTTTGCCGGCACCAGCACCGACCGCACCTCCAGCAAATTGTACAGTGCTGCCCAAGCCGTCTCCGACACCCTGGACAGTTCCAACCACGCCCTCGCCGAGAGATCCAACAGTGTTGCCGACGGTGTCGACGAGTCCTTTTACGCCTCCTCCTACGGTACCTCCGAGGGCGGCGACGGCGCTTTGGGTATTAGAGGAGACTCCTTGAGCTTCGTCTTGGGGGACTTTGCCAGCAATTGCAGCTCTGAAATCACAGGGACCATTAGCAAATGCAGGCGAATGGACCGGGTGTCACTCTCACTCACTTGGTTTGCTCCGAGAGCCTGTCTGCCTTTGAATCGCCTGGGAGAAGGTCGAGATCAATAACACGGTTCTCTGCGACTTTGACCATGGTCAGTAGCGGGGATTTGTTGTCACTGTATACTCTTCAGCCAGGAGCTTTCCGTATGTGGGAGAGCGTGTCATATTCGAGCTTGTCATTTTGCATCGCTGAGCGCTGTTGCAGCGTCCAGTGACGTAACACTGGATGCCTTGTTGCACAATTCATGATTGCAGTGCATCATGACGATATGCTCGAGACATTTGTGTTGCGAGGATGAAGGATGTCATGGCCCGGCCTCTCAGATGACAGAAACAAGGGACTGCGCTGAAGTTCCCCGCAATCAGCACCCGCAGTAGGCGTTGGCTAAGCGGTCCAGATGCGGTATGGCGGCATCACTTAGAGATTTAATGTATTGTGAGCATTGATGCCTATCACCACCTTTCTGTGTCCATACTCTCTTGTGTTTCTGTTAGGACAACACTATAAGTATCACCATAGCAGAGATCGCGGTCTATCGTCCTGCTGCCCTTGACCATTGACCACACATGGGCCAGGCCTTGTGAGTTCTTGGCGCCTTGGCGCTAAGCTCCTCTTCAGGGGCTGAACAGGCGTGCCTCTGTTTCTTGTTCTGCCAGAAACCAACCAGCCGAACTGAAGTTACAATATTTCAGAGATGGCCAAACAAGTGACAAAGAGATTCATACAACGATCATGGAACCAATGGCAGATTTCCACCACAGACGCCCATGTTCCAAGCGAAATGGAATACTCATTACCAGTGAAGCTACAGGTTGTCCCAAAGTATGGATGTATTCTGGCGCTCCATTCATTTCTTTCAATTCCAGCGAATTATATACCCTGATCAAACTATGTCAACAATATGTTTGGGGTCTGCTTCTGATATGCAGCCATCCCGGTTGGCTCTCAGAATCGGCAAAGAACCCGACCACCATGGGTTACCGCGAACCTGCAAAGTGGAATGCTTTGCGCACAAGGCCTCGTAGGCCTTTGGTTCATGGCTCGTCTCGATGTCTCTGCTAATTATGTCAATGGTCCAAACGTGTATTGTTCACTACTAGGGGCAGTATCTGCATGCCTTTCTCTTCCCTTGTACCAGCAAATCCCTCGAGCCTCAAACAGACCCGAGAGATGGACTTCTTGAATCCGCTACTCCTGGCGATAGAAATATGAAAAACAAATGGCACCCACAGCAGCGTATGAAGATTCGCAGGCAGAATTTTTTAAGTGAGAGATGACAGCTGAACACAAGCCACCATCACTGTGGACAGCGTCTTCAACTATTCTTTTCTGCCCCTCAGCTAAAGAATAGTCTGTGGTTTCGATATATTCCCTCACCATCTTGAATTTCCCAACACGGGCCAAGGGTGTGGCTTACGCGTGCTGTCGCCGGGCTATTAAGTAACAGCAACCGCAGCCTGCAGTCCCGAGTCCACTTCTCCGCAAGCTCGGGATTCTGGGGGCGCAACTGAAACTCTGGGGCGCGGTGGGGACCGCAGAGAGTTGAATTTCGGCAGTTCAAAGAATCGCGCTGACTGGGAAGCGGTCTTTTCTTTCTGGTTTCAAAAGGCCGAAAGAGCGGCCGTGAGATACGAAATGTCCTTTGGGCATATTCACCAGTGCATTTATCTCTCTGGAGGTTCAATGGGTTGCGCACCGTATCTATTGTCCTTATCTCTAACTCTGGGTCCGGTGGAGTGTCCACCCAAGATAGGCGGGCGATAAGATGTTGGGGGGGCACATGGCAATGGCTCAAGACCCTACAATGGTCTTGTGTTTCCAATCCAGCCAAGCTGGAGCCCATCGGCCATTCGGCCCGCGCGTTCGAAAGCTTCCTGAAGTTGCCTCGAACAAGTTCACTTCTGCTAACTTTTGTTTTGCAGCAGCTTCGTACTCGCGCAGACCCCCCGACAGCCCGACCTCAATGCATGGGTATATCAATCAACACCCTGTGCGTATATCATGGACGCCTGGAACATTACAGATCCACGCGCTCCTGATATCCACATGAGGCTGGCAGATCCCGTATAACCCTTTCAGGCAATCCAACTCTGGCAATTCTCGTCGCCAGTGTATCTATCAAAATGGCTGTCGTCAAATTTGGCCCACGCACGTCCATGATCCTGGCATTCCTGACCGCCTCGTTCAGTATCGCCATATTATCCTACGATGCCAGCATGGTCAACAACCTCAACATCAATGCTACATATCTTGAACGCAAGTTTTGACACTCAGAAGTGGGAAATATGCCTGGGAAGCTAATATTCTATGCGCAGATTTCGAATTGGACCACAACCGGATCGGCCTCAATACTGCGATTATTAGCGCTGGTGCCGTGGTGACTGGTCCGTTTCTCGGAGCCTGGATCGACAAATGGGGCAGAATCAAGAGCATTGCTTGCGGCAACCTGTTGGTGATCTTGGGTGTCATTCTTCAAGCCAGTGCCGAGTCCTGTAAGTCGACAGTGTCCGCCAGTGATACCAACACCGTTCTGACTGTTAACCTAGGGGCTCAATTCATTGTCGGCCGTTTCTTCATTGGCGTGGCCACAACTGTGGCTGCGACCGCCGTCCCTATGTGGATTGCCGAATTGTCACCACCAAAGACCAGGCAGTTGATCTCTGGTCTCGTCATGTGTGCAGTTCCCTTTACGGCCATCTTAGTATGTTTCATCGTCATGGGCATATACGATGCTGGAAGCGACTGGGCTTGGCGAGGAGCTGTCCTGGTGAGTTGCGCAGCTCTTTTCAAAGAAACTCGATCTGACCGCAAACAGGGTGAGGCTACGGGGCCTCTTCTTGGTCTCTGTCTTTTGCCCTTTGTCGACGAAAGCCCCCGCTGGCTTGTTTCGAAAGGTCAGACGGAGAAGGTCAGTTGAAAGCATACTTGGATTACGCAGAGGAACTGTCACTAATCGAAAGCAGGCAGGCGAAATCATCACCCGACTGCATGCCCGGGGTAATGCGCAAAGCGAGATCGTCGAGGTAGAACTGAAAGAGATTATCGACACTTTGGAATACGAATCGTCGCACGGTGGAACATGGAAAGATCTGCTCAGCCCAGGTACGATTGCAGCTTAAAAAAGCAGTGACGAGATGACTCTGACTGACATTGACTGCAGCACCAAACCGGCGCCGCTTCATCATCGCCGTCCTCACCAACATCTTTTATCAGATTGTCGGAGCCAACATGATCCTGTAAGTCAAAAGGTCACCCAATGCGTACCATGCACTACTAACTCCACAAAGGTATTTCTTGTCCTTTGTCATCTTCAGCGCGGGCGTGACCGACATTTGGAATACCCTGCTGATCAACATGGGCCTCATCATTTGGCAATTTTTGGTGAGCTTGTTCGGCGTCTTCTCCATCCATCGCTTGGGGCGTCGACCTTCTTTGAGTAAGTCTCGCCTCCTCCTCTAACCTAGAACCTTTGCGCTGACACCGATATCTCAGTTACTGGTACTGCTGGCATCATCGTTTGCCTCGTCCTCATGTCCATCTTGGTCGAGCGGGGTCAGACTACAGGCGGCATCCGCTTCGGAATTGGGGCACTCGTGATTGTGGGCGTGTTCATCTTCTTTGCAAGCACCAGCTGGTAAGTCTCGTGCTTTTCCGAGCCTTTGAGAAGATATTGATTTATGCAGGATGATTCTGGCCTACACCTATCCACCCGAGATCCTTAAGTTCTCACAGCGAGGCAAAGGTGTTGCCGCCAGCCAGGCTATTGGATTTGCGATCAGCTTTATCAACCTTTATACCTCGCCTATCGCGCTGGAGAAGATCCAGTGGAAATACTACGCCATCACCGCCGGATGGGACACGGTTATTCTGATTGTAATCATTGCTCTGTTCAAGGAAACCAAAGGCAAGACGCTGGAGCAAATCGACGAAATCTTCGAGCATGTCACCCACAGCGACCACAGCGTGATGGAAGTGCTCAACGGGCACACGATCAGTCCCCAAGTATCCGCTGGGCAAAACGGCAAAGACCAAGGTCTGAAGTCCAAAATGGGCCAAGTTTCAGTCACCGCGACTGACGCTTGAGACCGCAGTGTCGCAGGTGGATTAGTCGTGGGAGATGCAGCCACTTGTCTTGCTGGTAGATTGCGGAGGATTATTCTGGCCGGTGCCGCGACGACAGAGGCAAGGGATGCGGATGCAGCAGGGTTTTGTCGACGGTTGTTGTGCAATGTTGGTCCATAGAACTATAGCTGTTGGTTGTGGAATAGATGGACTTTTGCTTCAAATCCAAGGTTCATATCTGATTGCTTCCACGTAAATTCTTGGACAGGCATATTGCTCGCTGGAACAGAGTCTACCTCGTTAATATCTTAATATTACTGAAGAGCTAGATCGATGACGAAGAGCTGTGCCCATCTGTGTTGGTCCTTTACAGAGGGAGACAAACCATGATATGATTGTCAGACCGGCTACAACACAACGAGATGATCCCGCCGATATTCATCCTGTACAGCCCTCTTTGACGGTGCTCTGCAGTTCTTGTTGGACACATATTGGGCGGAATATAGAGTAGCCATTTGGAGAGAGAGTAAAGGAGATAGAGCACAGTCTCACGTCGCTCATCCCTGCTTTTGGTTGATCTCCATGGCAGCTTTCTCGCTTCTAACTTCTCCTCAACAGCAGTAATGGCAAATATATCAATCATTCATTTCTTATCTTGATGCTTGAGAAAATCAACAGATGTCTGGAGCCGATTGTGGCAAAAGTGATTGTATCATGCTGAACCCTTTGTGTTGTTATCAAAAGGTAAACAACCTTCGTTCAGGCCCTATGATAGGAGATGATAACGCCCCGAAAACGAGCTGGTTCGGGGTTGCACAGGCGAAGTCGCGAGGTCTCGGACGGGCATCTTCGCCCCTGTGTCTGGCTTCTGGGCCCTGATTGTCCCCGTCCCAAGGGCTGCCGTGGCCACTCAGAGGCTCGTCGCCTAAGCGGCTTTGCGGCCGTGAGTATCCGAGAAGGTCCCTCTGGAACTATTAGAGAGCCACACATTGGACGGGCTGGTCTAGTAAGTATTGGATATCAGAACTATACTATCACATACCGATAACCCTACCAGACTACCAGACCATTCGGTGCCCCTATTGCTAGCTATATCCTCAGTAACCTCAGAAGCTGGAAATCACCATGCCGGCACAAAAAGCCCCTGAACGACGCCAAACGTTCCCCGCGTCGTGGTATACAGAGCCGGCCTTTTACGAATTCGAACGCCGCGCCATCTTCTCGCAGTCATGGCTCTTGATCTCACATAAGCTCCGCTTTGGCGCGGCGGGCACCTACGTCCGCTACGAGGTGGCCGGCATTCCCTTCATGCTCATCAAAGACCGGCAGGGCGAGATCCGCGCGTTCCTGAATATCTGTCGACACCGGGCGTTTCCCCTGGTGCACCAGGACGAAGGCAAAGTCAGTATTCTGGCGTGTAAATACCACGGTATGCATCAAGCCCTGAGCTATGCTTTCATCCTGTGTGGAGAGAGAATGTGAGTGACTGAGTGGGTACTGACTACCAACAGGATGGTCCTACGGCCTGAATGGAAACCTGGCCAAAGCACCCCGATTCGACTCGGTCGAGGATTTCGACAAGAAGGAGTACTCGCTGTTCCAGGTCCATGTCCACGTCGACGTCCGGGGCTTCATCTGGGTGAACCTCGACGCGGCCGAGACCCCGACCGTGTCGTGGGAGGAGCAGTTTGGCGGCGTCGACACGCAGCCGCGCCTGTCCAATTTCGACATGGACGACTACGAGTATAACCACACGTGGGGCATGGAGGGCAAGTTCAACTGGAAGACGCTGATTGAGAACTATAACGAGGTATGAATTCTCGTCTTGTCCATTTCTCTACACCCGCCTATCGGCATTCCTGTGGCTAACTTCGCTTGAAAAGTGCTATCACTGTCCGACCGCGCATCCTGGTCTGGCGCCCTTCATTGCGCAGAAGCAGCTGGTCTACGGCTGTGAGCGGTACTACATCAAGCACATGGGCAACGCCGAGGAAGACCGCTCAGCGTTTGTCAGTCCGACATATATGTTTCCCAACTCTTCGGTGACCATGACGTGAGTCTGCCATCTCTCCCCCTTTTTTTCCTTTCACCATTCCCTCCAGTCCCCCCGAATCGTACCGCTAACGGTTGTCCCAGTCAAGAGTTCTTCTACATGATGCAAATCGTGCCCACATCCGCCACCACCTCGACCATGCGGTACGAGGTCTACCGCCGCAAGGGCATCGACCCGGCCAAGCTCGAAAAGGAACTCGACTTCTACAGCCAGGTCGAGGGCGAGGACAAGTGGCTCGCCAACGGCGCCCAGGGCAACCTCAACTCGGGCGCCTTCGTCACAGGCCCGCTCCACCCGGACCTCGAGGCCGGCGTGTCTTACACCGAGTCCATCATTCGCGAGATGCTCCTCAAGCACGCCGAGAGGGAGAAAGTCGCGGGCAAGCAGATCTGGCCCGCGAAGAGGTCCGCCAGTGGGTCGCAGTTGGAGGAGGACGAGGCGTTCTGCAAAGGGATCTGCGATGGTGCGGGAGGGGCGGATGCGGCGAAGCTGGCGTGGTAAGATCGCCTTTGTCCCGGTAGGGCATGAAAAGGCCGTGATGAAAGTGGTGGTCGTTCGTCGTTTTATGGGAGGGGATTGAACAGAGCCAGCATGCCAGGTTAGAATGCGAGTGATTAGATCACGTTGGAATCTTCGACAAACTCGGAGCAAGGGTAATGGAGAGAGTTGGGAAGATACAGTATCATCCACTCACTCATTCGAGGTAGACTCCCACACTACCTAGGTGTACATTGCAACAACATGGGTTCCCAACTCAACATGCTCGATTCCCTCTTTGGTTTCGCGTCGAAACTGTCCTGCCTCTGAATTACATGTGAGGATTGATACCCATCTTTGCTCTTAAATGAAGATCCCCTCGAGTTAATCGACCTAGTTCGTACCAGAAGCCGCCCTCTTTCTGGGTTGTACTACAACTATATATATACCTCGGGTGGTTTTCCTTTGTAACCCTCCAATTGCTCGAGCTTCTATTCTATTTCTATTCCAATGTGGCAGGAGACGCAGCCCTCTCGGATCAACCTCTACTCATTTCCGACCAGGCGCCTGGGCCAGGTAGGTAGGTAGGTATATACCTAGTTATCAATGCTATATGCTATGTATGTACGATTATCCATCGTCTCTTCGTCTTCGTTCAATGTTTTCTCCTCCTCGCCCTTAACTACGCCTTCTCAATCGCCGGCGTAACCGCTTCAAGCGCAACCGACTGCGCATTCTCCTTGGTGACTTTTGTCTCGCCATCGTACTTTTTGAGAAACTCGGTCGCCGCAGCGGCGTCGTCCTTGATGATCTTCGCAATCTTCTGCGAGCGGGGGATGAAGCGTGCCTTGAACGGCAAGGGCCGGTTGACTTGCATGTTATTGTATGCTTCAGGGTCGAGCTTGAGTTCCTTGCCCTGTTTTGTCTCGCATGTTAGTCTTTTGCTATTGTCACCCTTGGGAGTCACCTTCTTCGTGTCGAAGATGTTGGTAGAAGAACAGAAACTTACATCTTTGTCTAGCCCCGGTCTAATCTCAAACGCCCACAGCAGGCACGCGATGGTGAAGAACAGACTCTGCTGCGCCAGCGACTCGCCGCTGCAGACCCGCCGACCCCAGCCGAAGACATTATGTCCCTTTTTATTCGGGTACGGCCGTTCGAGGTCCCCAATGAAGCGCTCGGGTCGGAATTCCAGGGGTTCCGGATACTCGCGCGGGTTGCGGTTGATGGCGTAGAGATTGCCCAGGATGGGCGTCCCCTTGGGGATCCGGTAGCCCTGATACTCGTCGTCCTGGATCGGGCAGTGTTGGGGTCCGCCGAGCGGGAAGACGGGACGCCAGCGCAACGTCTCTTGGACGAGCGCGTAGATGAACTCCAGCTGGTTCTCGTCGGACCACGCCGGCGACCGGTCCTGACCGACCACGCGGTCCAGCTCGACGTGGGCTTTCGCTTGGACGTCTGGGAAGAGACACATGGCCAGGATGCACGAGAGGAGGGACGAGCTGGTCGTGTCGACGCCCGCGCCCATGAAGTTGCCCGTCAAATTGGCAATGTCGATGCGACCGAGCCCGTCCTCGCCCTCGCGGATCAGTCGCTTGGCAAAGTTGTCTTCGGGCTGTTTGGCGCCCTCTTCGCACAGCGCGTAGAAGTACTTGTTCGAGCTGGTCGCCAGCGTCTTCATCATGGCCGGCAGCGTGTTGAGGCAGTTGGGCATGTCGGCGAGGATGGGGATGGCTTCGGTCCAGCACCGGCCAGGCAGCGCGAGCGACGACGATCCCACAAACGCCTGTGCCACGCGGAGTACCGGGTCGTCATACGCTCTGATCCGCCGGCCCCAGGCGATCGTTGACACGACTGATACGGTGTATCGGTCCACCGCATCGACGAATGATTCGGGTCGCTCCAGGCAGTCGTTGACGAGGATCTTGGCTTCTTGACCTTGGAAAGGCTGGTAATTGTGCACGATCGACGCATTCGTCGCGGCGTGCTAGCAGAGGTTTGATGTTAACATTCCTGGGGTCATCCAATACTGGGCCACTGCTTCACTACTGCACTCATCAACCCGAGAGGGAGAGAGGACAGGGACGTACCGTCAACCGCCGATGCAGCCGCCATCGATCACCGTACGGCAACCCCGCCTGGTTCATATCATACAGCCCGAACAGCTTGCCCGTGACCGTCTTGTACGGGCGCGACGAGTAGATATTGGCGCGTCGGTCGTTGAGTTCCGAGATGGTCCAGGCGTCGTTGCACACGATCGTGGCCTTGCAGCCTTCCCAGTACGTGATGATGGGGCTGTTGTAGACCTTGGACCATTCTTCCAATTTACACCATTGCTTCTCCCGGGGCAGCTGGAAGAGGTTGCCAACCAGGGGCAAAGGGAATGGTCCGGGAGGAAGGCGGCGGCGGCGGATCAGCACGTCAACCCATTGGTAGAGGACGATGAGGATGCCGCTGAGCAGGGCGAGAGCAGGGGTGACGACCAAGACTGAGAACGGGGTCAGCAACATTGTGCGTAGCGATGGTGTGTCAGGTCCGAGGCGCTTGAATGGCTTTCTCACTGTCTTCCACACCCGTACGTCTCCCTCCCCTCACTATCTATCTATCTATCTACTCTAGGTGATACAGCCCTGAAGACAAGGGTCTGGCGGGGCGGGTGTTTCGTACCGAGCAAACCGGCGGGACTCTCCTTCCCAGTATTGACGCTTCGGGCGAAGATACGAGACTCGGCGAGAGCAAATCAGACTCGACCCAATTCCTGCTTTGGACGCACACGTCTGAGCCTCGGAGGCGCGGCAACGGCCATTCATTTTCCCTGTTCCTGTCTCGATGCGAACTGATGGGAGAGGTGTAGTGTGGTTGGGCAGATTTCAGTCTGGTCGGATCAGCATCACATCAGGTTGCCATCCATTGCTTATCCCTCCCCGCGGTCGCGCTAGAGCCGCCTATCATATGTATGTTGGATCTCGATAGTCCCATTATTGTACAACCCCCCGACCGAGGGAGATCAGGCGATGTCGGGTCGCCAGATTGACACTTGTGTGATCACGACACTTTACCAGAGATACATACACCCCGCCATGGACAAGGCTCAGGGTGGACAGGGGAACCTTGAGCCAGCTACGAGTAGTGATCAAGACCAGCAGCAGCCGCCATCGCAATCGGGGAACCTCGGCGGCGTCGAGGGGACCGACAACGCCATAAAATCCAGATCGTGCTTTGCGTGCAGGAGAAGAAAAGTCAAGTGCAACAAGAAACAGCCCTGCGAGAATTGTGTCAAGATGCAGATGCCGTGTAATTATCCGACCACGTCGAGAGGAAAGCTGCTGGCCTCGTCGCCGGAGCTGTTGAGGACGATACAGTCCCTCGCGCAAGCGGTGCATACACTAGAGCCTGCTCTCCGGCAGAGACAGATTGAGCCTGCGCCTCGACCCGTGTCACCTCGCCCAATCCAGCAGCCTGGGCCACAGGTTTCCCTTCCTCAGTCATCTTCCCAGCAGCGAATGCTCCCAGAGGCTCCCAGCCAGCTGCACACTCAGCCCGGGGTCGATGTTGGGAGAGAGTGGGTGTCTGCAACGAGAACACCCGACTCGGCTGGGGGCAGGCTGGTTCGTGATCAGGGTAAACTGACTTACGTCAAGGAGTCCCCGTGGAATGCCTTGAACTTGCGGGTATGTATGTGGGTGACAGATGTGCATGCTTCAGGGGGCTATATTGACGTAGATCAGCCGCCGGGAGCCTCTGTTTCGGAATCAGAGGACGAAGACGAAGACGCAGACGAAGAAGGAGGAGAAGAAGATTTTGTGTCCAAGGAAGAGGAGCCTCAGCCAGACTACAGCTTCTTTCTCGGCCTCGACCCGGGTCCTGACAACGCAAGCTCTCTCCAGCTTCCTCCAGAAGCGAGAATGCTTCTCTGGAGTATCTTCAAGGAAAACATCGACCCCATGACGAAGATTGTCCATGTCCCCACGCTCGAACCTAGACTGGTCGACGCGATGAGACAAGATCATCGACCTTCCGACAGCCTCGAAGCGCTCTGTTTTGCCATCTTCTTCGGATCCGTCACCAGTTTGTCAAACGAAGAATGCCAGTCCCTATTCTCCGAGGATCGGTCGACGCTCTGTTCGCGATTCCGCCTCGGTGTTGAGCGAGCACTGGCAAAGTGCAAGCTAGTCTCGACGGACGACCTCGAAGTCCTGCAGGCTTTCGTCTTATATCTGGTCTTATTACGAAACCACAGTGCCCAGCTATCGTGGAAGTTGACCGGCCTCGCTGCCCGACTGGGACAGTCGCTCGGTCTACACCGCTCTGGTGACTTTGGCCTGCCCTTGTTCCAGCTGGAGCTTCGACGGAGGCTATGGTGGCAGATTGCGATTCTCGAGGCACCGGCCTCTGAAGATTCTGCATCCGAATATACCTTGTGAGTAGCTGGCACAAATGCCAGTGAGAGGGTGTTTGCTGACTAGTGTTTCATCGCAAGACTCGAGGTCAGTAGCTTCGACGCACAACTCCCGCGGAATCTGGACGATAAAGACCTGTTCCCAGAGATGACGGACTACCCGGATCGGCAGGAAACATTCACAGACACGACTTTCATCCTCCTCCGGTGCGAGATCACCGACATCATGAGGACCATGTCCGATTCACGACGGTATCTTGTCGAGATGGGCAAACGACTCTGCGACATGTCTCTTCAGGAGAGACACATGTGGGTGCAATCATGCGAACAGCATTTATTCCTTCGGTACAGCCGGCTCTGTTCCCCCTCGAGTCCGTTACAATGGGTATGTGTGTATACAAGGCCTTTGGATACCTCTCGCTTCCTCCAGGCCAAGAGCAAGAAGGGAAAGGAAAAGCTAATATCTCTACCAGGCCACACAGCAACTCGTTTCGATTCTGACGCGCAAGCTGCGCCTCCACATCCAAGAGCCCCTGCAGAGACACACCACCCTGACCGAAACCGAGAGGGACAGACTATTCGAGGACGCCGTCGAGACTCTCGAGACGACGTTCAAGCTCCGCACCGACCCCCGGACCCAGAAATGGCACTGGTTCTTCCACTCCTTCAACCAGTGGGAGGCGCTGGCCTATGTCCTCTACTGCCTCTGTCTGCAGCCCCTGGGGAAAAAGGCCAAGCGCGGCTGGCGCGCCGTCGAGGAAATGGCCGTGCTCAGATGGAACCCCATGTCATCGGGGATTCACAGGGAGGCGCGCCAGTGGCGGCAGACCATGCGCATGATGGACCAAGCGAAGGCACAGAGGCGGAAAGCCCTGCAAGCCGCGAAGCGCAGACAGAGCGCGTCGGTGCCTTCCACAGGTTCAGGTTCGGCTTCGGCTGATGTGCGAGGTCCTCCTCCCAACAGCGTGGGAGGAGCGGTAGAGTCTGCGTCTGGCAGCCACGAAGGCGCAGGTGGGGAGATGCCGTATCCTGCTCTGTCTTTCCAGCAGGAACAACCACTCGACGATCCGGCAAGGATGTCTTTCAGTGACCACAACGCCCTTTTCTGGCTCGACCAGCACGAGACAGACGGGGACGCGGATCAAATGCCCGGCTTGGACTTTGGCGAAGACATCCCCGACTTTACCTCTGCGGACTTTAACATGGGAGGGTTTCCATGACTATTCATAGAGGCTGTCTCTGTCAACTAGTGCACATTATGGCGCTGGATTAAAGGAGAGTGTCTGATCAATCTCCTAATAGTTGGTTGAGCGAGTTCAGAATACCACAAGCACACAATATACACATGTCCTTAATCATTCCCAAAGCAATGAAAAGATTACCCACGGATTCTAGATCTAAGACCTGCGACTACATCTTGGATTGACCAAGCTTCTGGTGCCTGGCTCTACTGCCCTCCAGCCCAGCAAGCGACGACTCGTCGAGCCCTGGGATGATCATCTCAAACGTCTCCCGCACGACCGTGTAGTCGTAGTACCCGCACCTCGCGATCGGTAGCGTCTTTTTCGGATCCAGCTTCCCGTCCGTGAGGACCTCGTCCTTGATGTGCACGGCAACAACTTTACCCACAACCACATCGACCGTGCCCATGGGCGGGTTCCCAGGGAGGCGCAACGTCGTATGATAGACGCACTCGAACTTGACGGGGCTGTCTTTGACCATGGGCACCTTCTGGCCCGGCAGGACCTGACTCCATTCCTTGTCGAGATTGGCCCGCGCGAACTCGTCGACCCCGTACTGCACCTGCTCGGCGGAGACGTTGACGGCCTCGCGCAGGTCCCACGTCGCCAGGTTCCAGACGAACTTGCCCGTCTTCTCGGCGTTGCGCACCGTGTCTTTGCGTTCGAGGTTGGGCTTCTGGTTCGCCGAGAACATGACGTACGGGGGGTCGAAGGTCAGGTTGGTGAACTGCGAGTAGGGCGCCAGGTTGTGCACGCTTGGGTCGTCTGCCGATATGGTCGAGATCCATCCTATCGGTCGGGGGATCACGCAGGCTTTGAAGGGGTCGTGGGGGAGGTTGTGTGGTGATTTTCCGGGTTCGTAGAGCATGGTGAAGGTGTTTGTTTTCTCTCGTGCCGTCCTAGGTAGGGAAAGTCTTTCTGTGCTAGGTAGGTAGGACTAACTGGACTTCGGCTGTAGGGATGTGATTCACTCAATCCTTGTTGGGGGCTGGATCGTGAGCGACCGGATTGATGTTGCTTCAATGTCGATGGTCGTCGGTGCGCTAGAAGACCCCATTGTCCCTGATGCCAACCTGCAGCAGCAGAGACGAGGGTCCAATCTCCGTCGGGCACTGAACCCGACAGTCTCTCTCGCAAGCAGAAGAAAGCCATCTCCAGTGCAAAGTCGAGTGAGGCCTGGAACGTGGTACCCCGGACGCCCTGGACTTGGTATGGAGGCCTCGGCGAATATCGTCTTGTTTCCACATCGGCCGCAGCAGCCGAGAGCCTCGCACCAGACCGCCGACTGGTGTTACTCAGGACAATGGTAGTAACTGTGTTTATCAGAGCAAATGGTCTGTGCAATGGCCAGAACCAGCTCCAGTATCTACGAGATCTCTCCTCTCCTGTCTCTTTTTCCTGTGAACCTCCAATCTACAATCAAAAATGGGCGAAGAATTTCCGGGCCATTTGCTCAAGTTCCCCCAAAACGGGATCCCCGTCAACTTCGTCCCGGCCAAGGCTGGCGAGATCATCCATCTCGGTCCCATCACTTGTCGAGTGCTAGAAGATGGCTCACGTACCGGTATGTAAAGCAGGTAATGAACAACAAGGTGTTGGAATGCTGACACTGTATCCAAAAAGACAACCGCATCGGTGCCGCCGAATTCACTCTCCCCCCGGGAATGAAAGGTCCTCCGGCCCATTGGCACGAGATGCACGATGAAACCTTCTGGACCACCAAGGGGACAATCCGCTACCACATCCCCCGCGAGGACGGCACCGAGGAGACCATCGACGCCAAAGAAGGCGACTACGTCGTCGTGCCGATCCGGGCACCACATACATTCAGTAATCCCACGGACGGCGAGTCCAAGTTCTTCAACACGTACACGCCGGCGTTTTATATCAACTACTTCAAGTTGTTGGGCACCATGGTGAATGGAGATCGGCCCATCACCGCACAGGAGCACATTGACGCCATGGCGAATTATGCGACGTTGCCTATCCCTAAGCCGACAAAGTCATAAACGCTGTGGCGGTTTGTTCATGAAAGTGTCTGAAATGTATGCCAGGTTGAAAGTCATCTAGGAAGCACCATAGATGGACGATTGCCTTTAGTTAAACAGAGCACTTCTGTAACAAGAGCTGCGAAGTGCCAAAAGTAGCACAAGATGGGAGCTGCATGCAATGAATGGACCTCTAATAATGTATACAATCCGTAGAATAATTTCGTCTCGACACCTTGACTGCCTGGTTACCCCCTTTGAGGATTCGTCGGGCGAGAGCCCCGTAGCCCAGGAAGGCTTGCACCTTGTTAAATTGCACGAATACCACTTCTTTTTTACTTAGATCAACACTGCTCCCGAAGGGAGGATAGAGACGCTGACCACAATCTTTCAATCCCTCCTCCAGTGCTGATAGTTGAGGATGGGCCTGAGATCCAGCATTTTCAAACTCGCCAGAGGCACAACAGCTGTCGGCGCCACCTCGATCGGGTGCTTCTACCTCTTTACCAGAAAATGCCAGTGGCACGAGATCAACGACGCGTCCGATTCGATCATGACCTCGCGGTTCTTCGACAAATACAACCCGTGGCACAATCCCACCCTGATCGATGTCTGTGTCCGTCGCGTGCGCCTGTCGGACCTGCCCCCGGAGCTCGTTGGCGATATGCGGCAGGGAGGAACGAAACTCATTGAGAGGTTCTGTGGAAGCGTCTGGGGTGGATTCGGTGAGTCCGTCCCATAGTGTTCTTTCGGACAAGAATGAATATAACGGGTCGGGTATTGACCAAGGATGGGATGGATCCAGGCTTCACACCCCAAAGACTCCTCTGGGCAAAACTATTCCGCGGCCTGCCCGGACGTTCAACACAGCTGTGGGAGTCTGCAGATCTGTTGGCGAGCGACTATGAGATCGGCACCATCGTCACCGATCATCTCGAGGTCATCGCCAAAGGGCCGACGTCCATCTTGTTCCGCGCCGGCAAGTCGCAGGGCACCGCGGGAGAGTCTCTGCGCGACCACGACAGTCTTCTCGAAGTCGCCATCGACCCGGATTTTGACGCGGGTGTCGCCGATCTGAGTATCAAAACCGCCATGTATCAGGGTGCGAGCAAGGCGGCGACGACGGAAAAGCCGATGGAGAAAGTGCAGCGACTGCATATGTGGTATACGGAAATGTTGATGGAGAGTGCATTGTACTATCTACGCCGTTGAGCTATATACTACCTAATTGAGAGGGACAACTTCCCAACATGTTTATATTCCCAGCATCTGCATATCAATCACGAAGTCCGCCTAACAACCCCCCGAGTCTCCTGTATGAACTTGTGAGATCAAGTCGCAACCGACCAGATTCCACCCTCCGGCAAAGGCACAGCAACCTCGTCCAACGGCCCCGTCTTGCCAGCCCTGATCTCCTCGGCGACCTTGGGGAAATTCTCCTCGGCCCACACCTGGGGATCCCACGGCTTCAGCTTGGGGAATCGCTTTTTGGCCCATTCTTCGGGGTTGGCTTCGATTTCGTCCCAGGGGATATTCCGGAACGCGTCGCGGTTCATCTGGCCGCTCTTGTGCACGGCGTTGGATCGATGGTACCGGATCCTCTGCGCGGCTTCCAGCCCGAGCCGGACGTCGCCGTCCGCTTCGGCCAGGCAGTGGGCCACCGTGACGGCGTCTTCTAGGGCCTGCGACGCTCCCTGGCCCGCAGTGGGCAGGTTGGCATGGGCGGCGTCGCCGATGAGAATCGTCCGGCCCCCTTCGCTCGTCCACTTGGGGATCGCGGGGCGGTATACCAGTTTGAAATCGATCGTCTTGTGCAGCGGGGTGATGTCGAGGAGGGCCCGGGCGTCTTTGCCGGTGAAGGGCTTCATCCACTCAATCACCTCTTCCTTCTTTGCGATGTTGGACCACGATTCGTCCGAGTTGTCTTGTTCCTGGTCCGGGGATTGTCAGTAGTCAGTCAGTCATGTCGAAAGGAGGGGGAGATGGTCAAATACCGGATGAATGAGAACCCATGCGACGTCTTTGCCTCCGTTCCACTGAAACGCCATCAGGCTGAGATGCTCCCACATCCAGAACCGCACTGTGTCCTTGTCCTCGTAGAAGAAGTTCTGGAGGTCGGGGTGCTTCCGCGCCGCCTCGTCCGTCTTGAAGAAACTCCGAAACACGGCCCACGAGGTCCCGTCCTTGACGTCCGTGATGCCCAGCACCTGCTTGCGCGCGATGGACCGGGGCCCGTCCGCGGCGATGACACAGTCGCCCCAGAGCGTTTCCCCCGTGCTCAGGCGCACGCCGGCTCTGTCGGTTTCCTCCAGGTACTCGACCACGCCGACACCGACTCGGACGTCCTTGACCTGGCTCCGCGCGTACTCGGCGATGATGCTGTGGAGTTTGCCCCTGTGCCCGGCGTAGGTGACGTCGAACTCCTCCTCGGTCCGCGCCCAGGGCACGTCGACGATGTATTTCCCGTCGTACTTGTACAGCTCCATGGCGCGGATCTTGTTGCACCCCGTCTCGTGGATCTTTGCGCCCACGGCGCCGTTGGCCCAGCGCTTGATGACCCGGCCGCCGTTGGGGAAGAAGTCGAGGATATCTATGAGGGGGAGAATTTAGTTAGAGATATGTTTTCTTTACTCTCTTCGCCGACGGAATCAAAGGTATGCTACCGTACCGCCTTGACTGTTCGAGTCCGTGTACTTCTCCAGGATGGTGACGTCCATTCCGCGCTGGGCGCACTCGATGCCGGTAGCCAGCCCAGCGAAGCCGGCACCGACCACGAGCACCTTGAGGGGTGGTTTCTGAGCGATCATTTTGCTTGAGTACTGTCTGACTTGGAAGGCTGTTTGTGTAAAGCCCCTCGAAGCAAGGACAGATGCAGTGTGCAACAAGAATGCCGGGCTGTTATACAAGCATATACGAGGCACAGAAACACAGACCGTATCAGCCCACACGCGACAGCCGAGAAGTATATTCTTCCCTTGGGCTAGGTATCCAGGCCCAGACACACTCACTTACCTACCACGTTGCGTCTCAGTATCTGTCTCTCTACCCTGCACGGGTCGGAAAATCTCCCGAAGCGCACCCCCTTCACGCACCTCTGTCTGGAATCTAAAGTGGCAAGAGGGTGGCATGTGGGCTTCCTCTCGGTTATGCGGAGGCAAAGTGACGAGCTCGCATCATCTCGGACAAGCTGCGTATCTAACCACCGCTTCTCAAGGAGCGAATCATGGTCGTGCCAGACGGTCTAGAGTTGCACATGGGAATCCGCTGTCATGCGAGGAGTCGTACTGTGTGTAGCCTGAGCCATGGGGATTTGAAGACAATGCGCTCCCCGTGATGGATAGTAATGTGGAGTGGCGAAAGCCCAATGCTTTGTTTTAGCCTCTTACAGTAAATTGGAGTTCGGTGTACTTGTACTTGGAGTACTCTTGAGACTTAATAGGATTCCTGGCTTGGACTTTGTTTCGAATTATTGTCCTTGTCAGCAGCTCGATACTCTCGCCACATATCAGTGAGGGCATCAACTCCTGCAAGGGAAGCATTCTCTCAGGCTGTTCATACCATTGACCACCCGAGACTTCCATGCTAGCTACATAGATTTCAAAAAGACAATAGCCCTAAGCCTCGAGGCTTCACTCTTGTTGCTGCCGCAGCGTAGCCAGGGCGGCTCTCACATCGGCCTCGATGTCATATTCCCAAATCCAACGCATCCGGCTCGCAAGTAAATCTCGGATCTTTTCTACATCGTCTCCCTCGAGCTCAAAGTGCCACAAATGTCCAGACTCTCTACTCGAGGTCACCAGCCTCTGTGTCCTCTCTCGTCGTAGCGTATCAAAGGCTTGAAACGCCGACTCCAGCTGATTTCCGCTCCGGATATTCGCCACTAGACTCCCCAGCACATATGCGTCCTCCACCGCCATACCGGCGCCTGCGCCCTGAAAGGGCGTCGATGCGTGAGCTGCGTCGCCCATCAAGCATAGTCTTCCGCGCGTGTAGGTGTCGAGGCTGGGGTGGTCAAAGAGCGCCCAGATGTCCGACGGGCCCATCAGGTTGATTATGTCCTTGACTTGCGTGCCCCAATCTTTGAAATCTGCAAAGATCTGTTCCTTTGTGGCCGGTATTACCATTCTCTCGTGCCGCCATTCGTCCTGCGAGTGGAACGCGACAACGTTCATCATCTTCCCCTTCGCAACAGGGAACGTCAGGATGTGGCCATGATATCCCATGTAAGCTTGACAATTCTGCGCGAGCTCTTCGCCCAGCTTCTCCACTGCAAGGTGCATAGGGATCATGCCGCGATAGCAGTATTTCCCTGTAAAAGTCGGCAGGACCTTGGGACTATCCTCCCCCGCAAGGATCCGCCTCGTGCGACTCTTGATTCCATCGCAACCAATGACTGCGCTGTGCGTGGCTTCTGTGCCGTCTTCAAAGCGCAAGAGCACACCAGCAGGGCCTTTGTCCTCCAACGATGTCAGGATCTTCCCAAAGGTCCCGAAATTGGGCGGGAGCAGGTCAACGAGGATGTCGAGGAAGTGAGAGCGGTTGATCAAGCCACTGTGCGGTTCTGGCTCGTCGACCGTGCAGAGGAATTGGCTGGCTCGAACACCTCGCTGCCGAGACTCTTCAGTCTTGCCATCCATGCCGATGCGGAAGTCAAACCATGTATTCTTCTTTTCTGGCGACAAGTTGGACGTTGCCCGGGCTTGAAATCTCGAACCAAACTCCTTTGATATCAGGGACATGGCCCGCACTGCATTGGGCCCAAAGGCGACGCCGGCACCGATCTCCCCAAATGCTGGTGCTGCTTCGTAGAGGGTGACAGGTATGGAAGAGTGGCCAATGATGGACAAGGCGAGGCAAAGGCCAGCGATGCCCCCGCCCACGATGGCAATGTCGAAGTCTGGTTTGGTTGACATTTTCGACAAACGGCTTACCTGGAGGAAGATCCGGTTGTAGATTGGGGCTCTCTAGATGGAGAGTTTGGATACCACGCATCATTGTATGACCAACCATGAGGGGTTTAAGAGATGAGCACTACCGGGAAACTCGAGCAGAGGCCCGAAGAGCATGGGCCATCATGGGAGCACAGGTTGAACTGGGGCAACTCCACAGTCCTCCTGGAAACTGGGGTACTCCGCATCATTCTTGCAGTAACGGTGCCTGATACCTTTAGTCCGAGGGATTATGAGCTTTGGTCCTCATATGTGTGACAGATAGGCAGAAAGCTCAGCGGTTGAAGTCGTGAGCAGAGCGTCAACAGCGAGGAAGACCTTTCCATGGAGAGAGCTTTATTGATGGGTGGATGTATTGTTCGATATTGTCCAGCTCGCAACGATAGTGGGTTAACACACTTAGGACACTCCTAGTTGGAGCTGACCAGTCAGGCGTTCAACAAGCTTAGCTTCAGACCTGTAGAGGAGGCACCTGCCCGTGTCGCTGGCGGGGCGTGGCACCTTCCAATCCCCTGTGAGGTCCATGTCGAGCATGCCTCGACAGCATGTAGATGGCCCAGATTCTAGCCAGAGCTGCGTATCGGTCGGTGTATCTGGGACATCGGTGCCGATACCAGTTCGTCCGTGGTGGAGCCAGAAAGTCAGATATGCTCTGGTGTCTCGTATCCCAAGAAGTGATATGATTGGTGTCGGCCCCGAAAGGCGAATTCCCATCTTTGCCGAGACTCACCTTTGCATTCGTGATGCTGAGTATCTTGTCGGACCCTGCTCCGGGCCCAGCTCCAGCCTAGTTGTCCCTACCAGGCAACGAGTTGCATTGCCTTATTCGGCCATGAAGGGTTTTCTGATCGGACAGACAAGATGCGTGAGGTCTCAGGCTTTTCTTTACATTGTGTCCGCTGAAGGCGCTGGATGTGTGTTAGACGAAGCGGGTGGATAATTCTCTCGATCGTGATCGTCCAAGCAAAGATGTGGTCGCTGCTGGAGTCACCGCTTACAGGCAACATTCGGACAGGCCAGGTGGCGGTACTGGCTTCAATCTCGGTTCTGATTGTCATAGCTTTGTTCAATGCCCTGCTCGCCAAATGCACGGGAGCCCACAAGCTGCCTGACCTGCCGATCGCTTTGCAGGAAGAACTGCCGAATGAAAAGGATCGGATTGAGCGTTATGTCAATGATACGAGAGAGCTCTTGATCCACGGGTATCGAGTGGTATGGGGTGACCAAAATCTAAGAGAGAAGAAACGCTGACAGATGACTATTCAGTTCAAGGACCAAGTGTTTGGGATCAACACTACCGAAGGTGAGTAATGTGCTCCGAGGCCAGAGCGTGTGTGGCTAACGATATGTCCCAGGGACCAATATTGTTCTTCCCCTGAAGTATCTGGATGATCTGAAAGGCCAAAGGACTTTGACGTTCGCTGCTTTCCTCGAGGAACAGGTGAATCTCAACACCATCTTGGGACATACGGATCGTTGACATGTCTCTAGTTTACCCTAAAGGAATATACCAAACTAGGAAACCTTACAGAGGCACAGATCCAGGTCTACATCAGAGACTTCAATCCACTGCTGCGTACGTTGTCCTTCCTCCTTGACGAGACAATCACTCATAACTCTCCAGCACAATATGTCCCAACTATCCATCGCTGGATTTGTGAATATTTCCCCATCGGAGAATGTGAATGTGAGTAACTCCAACGCAGATATGAGATGTAAAGTACGTTGACCTAACCTGAGCTACAGCCTGGACTACTACCAAGCCCTATGTGCCCCTCAATCGACTGGTTTCGAGGATTTGCGCGAGAATGTTTCTCGGTGAGGCTGCTGCTCGGGACGATCGCTGGCTCGATGTCGCTGCCGTCTACATCAAAACTGTCGAACACTGGATCACCAACTTGAAGAAATGGCCAAAATCACTTCGTCCGCTGGTGTGGCGATTTGTCGACGGTCGAAGACAAGCATGGCAACAGTTCGAAGAGGGTAGAATGATCGTGTCGGAATCGCTGCGAAAGAAGAAGGCCAATGGAAACAAACCTCTGAACGATCCGCCATCGCTGATGGACTGCCTCACATCGGACCAATACTCCGACTCCATCAACGATACCGAGTACCACACTATTGCCCAGATGAATCTGTGCGTGGCGGCAATCCAAGCTCAGGCGGCAACCGTGATGCAGTGTTTGATCGACGCGTCCGGATATCCCGAATACATCCCCGAGCTCCGTGAAGAAATTGAGCAAACTCTGCAGTCATCCGGTGGCGTGTGGACGAAGCAGGCCCTGGACCGACTCTTGAAGCTCGACAGCTTTTTGAAAGAGACTCAACGTCTCAATTCACCTGACTTGAGTAAGTTGCCGCATCCAGAAAAGCACATGCTAGGAAAAGACTTGGAACTAATAAATGAAAGCATCCTACCAAAGACGAGTGATGCAACCACTCACCCTTTCAAACGGGATGCGCATCCCCAGGGGTGCCACGCTCGTCATTCCCACCGGAGCTATCAACATGGACGGCCAGTACTTTGAGTCTCCAGAACAATTCGACGGGTTCCGATTTTACAGAAAGCGATCGGAGAGTGAAGACAACGCAAAGAAACACCAATTGGTCACGGTGGGCAAGTACGATCTGGCCTGGGGCTACGGCCGACACGCCTGTCCGGGGAGATTCCTGGCCGATATTGTAATGAAGCTCATCATGATTGAGTTCTTGACGAGGTACGATGTCAAGTACCCGACCAGCAGGGCCCGGCCTGAGAACGTCATCTACGAAGGAATTGTAAGTGTTGCTGGGGACATGCATACCCTACCACGTCTTTCATTGTCCCTCTGAGCTGACGGTCAGTGTCCAGCTTGCCCCAGATCCGGAATGGGAGCTGTCGTTCAAAGACATGTGTTAGATCGATCGCGGGGGCCTGATGGTAGCCCTGGTTAGTATACGCATTTGGAGCTGCCGACGCACTACCAGTTGCAGAGTTCGGTGCTCGCCGTAGCATGAAAAAACACA